AAAGCACATGAACTGTTTTGGAATAATACTGTTTTTGGAATAATACTGTGTCTGGAATAATACTGTGTCTGGAATAATACTGTTTTTATTTGATTTGTATCTTTTACAATACTGTTTAAAGCTAATTCTTGGATTTGATGTTTACTAAATAAAGAATAGATTGGCAACTGGTTCTTATACAAACTAACACTATTGGCATACTTTTTACTTCTTTCATGACTTTTTACCGCCTGAATGCCCATGTTACTTAAATCAAATGTTTTTCGACAAATAGAACACATTGTCTGTGCAGGACTATTGGAAACTTCTTTTAGCCAAAACCAATCAGCGTAAAGCGTTTTATTTAACCAATCTTTGCTGAAGTAACATTGTTTTGACATTTTTAAAATATAATATTACAACACAAACTTCTAACTTTTTTAAATATTTTGGAATTAAAAGTATGAATATTAACTTAAAACAAACACTATGTACCGTAGCGTAGGGAAATCGAGCACTTCATGGGGTAATTATGCACCCGTTAACATATTCATTTTAAAAGACAAGTAAAACATTTAGTATTAATGCTTAGTTAATTTTCAAGTTAAAAATACATAAAGTAACTTAAGGAAAATATAAGATGTTAATTATAGCTCTTTTAGAAGAAAATAAATAACCGATAACAAGTTAACTATATCACGGTGTAGATTCATAGAATTCCGTAAAAACTATCAACTCGAAACACGGTAAGCATTTGTAGTTAAAACTCCAGTATACCTTACATATATTGAAGTAAACTCGTACAAGTTTTCAAGTGTTATAAATTAATTGTTCATAAAATATAGGTGTTTAAAGTAAGTTGGGGTAATTGAGCACTTTTATATGGGGGAAATGAGCACCTTTAGAATTTACTGGTTTTTATTCTTATAATATTTTTGATAATAAAATTAATATTTTAAGATACAAATAATTTGAGTTTTTAGCTTATATTTTTCACTTTTTTATAACAGATTTGTGGAAATGGCAAGAAACTATTTAAAATCAACTCAAAAACAGTCAAAAACTTACTCAGAAAGTGAACTTAAAAGAGCTATCGAACTTCTTAATGGTGAAGAACCTTGTAAACGTGTGGCAAAGCTGCTAAACATACCACACTGAACGATGTCAATTGCACAATACATTGCAACTTTTAGTGATTTTGGGTATGCATTTGATAAAATAGACCTCAAATTATTTGTAGAAAGTTTTCTTAACAAATCTGGAAGAGGCTGTCTGTGTTTTAGAGAAAATTTGCCTGATGATGATTGGGTAAGATCATTTTTAGGGCGGCATAAAAGTCTTTTGTCTTTTCGAGCATGTCAAAATATTTGTAGAAAGCGTGCTGCAATCTTATGTGACTCTGTAAATAGGTTTTTTAACAACCTAGAAGATACAATAAAAAATTTTCTACCTCATAACATAATAAACTATGAAGAAACTAATCTTTCTGATGATCCAAAATCAAAACAAATGATATTCCGGAAAGATACTAAACATGCTGAAAAAGTTATAAATACATCAAAGTCATCAGTGTCTATAATGTTTGCATGTACTGCTGATGGTGTTTTTCTTCCTCCATATACAGTGTATAAAGCTGAGCGTCTGATGGACACTTGGGTACTTTGAGGTCGAATTGGTGCACGCTATAACCGCACAAAATCTGGTTGGTTTAATGGCTATTGTTTTAAAGATTGGCTGAAAACATTAGTAATACCTTACTTCAGACATGTTGACAACAACACTCCAAAACTTCTTATAGGTGATAATTTAGCATGCCATTTATCTATTGATGTTATCGAAATTTATGAAGCTAACAACATTAGGATGGTCTTCTTACCTCCTAATAGTATACATATACTACAGCCTCTTGACCTTGCAGTTTATGGACCCATGAAATCAGCATGGAGAAAAGTAATTACTGAATGGAAAATCGGTGAAGGAAAATTTCATACATCCCTACCGAAAAATGTTTTTCCAAGTTTGCTCCTTAATTTCTTGACTAATATGAATACAAGAGTTTGGTGTAAATGGGTTCAAAACATCTGGTATCTACCCATTAAACAGGAAAAAAAAATTATTGACAAGATTTTAAGGACAGACATATCTAAATCTTCTCAGAACTTAATATCCTCATTAGTTCTTGAACATCTTGCAGAACTTCGAGAAGCTTCTGCTAAAAAGCCTGGGGCAATAATGCGTGGGAAAAAAAGTTAAGGTTTCACCAGGAAAAAGTGTTTTGATGAAAGATGTTGCAACAGATTCTTCTACTTCTAAATCCCAATCAAAACACAAGCTAATCAAAATAAAAAATACCCAACTTAATGAATCCTTAAAGATAGAAAGAAATTCTATATTAAATTTGAATACTTTTAAAGAAATTATTGAATATGCTATGCCTTCAAGCTCCAAGATGTATATTGAGCTACAAGAAACTTCTGATTAAAACTCTGATTGTATACAGAAAGAAAAAAGTAAAACCTTAAAAAAAAAGATTTTTTAGTTGAAAAAAGTGATTCATACAATGATGATTATGACCTCGAAGATTCACTTTTCCATCAAAAACAAGCACACGTGCTGAATAAATTTAATATCTATTCAAATGAAAGCATTTGTAAATTAGATTCTATTTGCTCTAAAGGAATATGTGATCCTGAGGTAGTTGCAACCTCTGAATATTTATTAGAAGAGGGCTTTTATATTGTTGTACGGTTTGAAGGAAAAAAGACACCATATCATTTTGTAGGCCAAGTTGTAAATATAGAAAAAAAAAACAATTAGAATATCAAGTACTTTCGACGAGATTTCAAACCCAAGAATCATCTCCTTCAAAGAACCACAAGTTCCTGATTACTTTGTTACAGAAAGAAAAGCAATTATAAAACAGCTTCCTTGTCCCCTATATGAAAAAAACAACATATCTTTTTTGAAAGAAACTATTGGTGACTTATATATGCGTTGGTATTATGTTAGTGTGTTTTTCATATATTTATGTTTTTTTATATACTGTTATCTTAGTTCAAATGAATTATATATTATTTTATATGTTTATTATATATATATATATATATATATATATATATATATATATATATATATATATATATATATATATATATATATATATATATATATATATATATATATATATATATATATATAGATGGATAGATAGTACTTACGGATTTTAATATAACAGATTTTCTCTGTCACTTTTAAAAGTTATTAACTAAATTAGCACCATAAATTTAAAAATCTAGACCATTTAACAAAAGAGCAAAGTCAATATTAAGAATTTCAATGTTTTTATCATACTTTCATTGTAAATATTTACTCTTGAAGTTACCTACAATTTTCTTGATATATTTCATGATATTGGAACAGAAATTTTATTTTAATTTCGAATTATTTATATATATATATATATATATATATATATATATATATATATATATATATATATATATATATATATATATATATATATATATACACACATCGAATTAGGTTCAGTTTATAACCAAAAACAGAAAATTTTTGTCATTTTTATTACTATATTTTATTGATTTTTTTTTTTTTTAATTATTTTATAACTTTATTTTATTTCTTAACATCTTAAAATTGTCTTTTTTTAAATGCTTCGGTGATAAGGCTAATTTATGCCTTCTTCGTGCTCCAGCCAATTGTACTTTTTATATTGTTGTAGATTGTGAATATTAACTAAAAAAAATTAACTTAAAAACTAACTATATGTATAATATATATATATATATATATTTATTTTATTTTTTCTTAAATCCAACATTCCTCTAAAGAAGATTTAGTGTTGTACTAAAAAAACATATCTCACTTTTTAAAATTATCTACAAGTTTTATTTTTATTTTGAAAAAAGCTTTAAAAAAGGTGCTCAATTACCCCACGCTACGGTATATTTATAGAATTTGACTATTTGCAATAACAAAAAATACTACAGTGATAGATTAGAACTAATTTTCTCACTAATAACACAATATGACAAAATAAAAATTTTGTTCCCTTTCACACATTTAGTCATTTAGCCCTTTTGAAATAAGTGAAAAAAGAGACTGCAACAAATTGCTTTCCTGTTTGATCTTTACATAACATTGACAAAATATTTTTGAAAAGTAAGAACCAATATGTGAAAAAGAATAATAATAAAGTTATACAAAATAATTATATAGCATATAAAATGTAAGATTTTTTAGTTTCTAATACGCAATAAAATATAAATATTTTGTTACTGAATCCACCAAAATTCCCTGACTTTTCCATGACTTTTGGAGAATTTAACATATTCCCTGACTTTTCCCTGACTTTTTAGCATAGTTTAGAATTTCCCTGACTTTTCCAGGTTTTCCAGGTCGCTGGCCACCCTGGACATATATACAATGCTAAGGACAGTTTGTTCAGTTCGGTTCGTTCTCAATAATTTCAAAGTTAGGGTTCGGTAACAAGTAAAGTTCGGGTTTGTTTAGGTAGCCTTCTAGTTCGGTTCGTTCAGTTCTGGTTCGGTTCGTTTCCCATTTCTAGTAGTTATTCAACTTTTTAACGTCTCCAATTAGTAGGGCGTTAAGAAATTATCTTTTTTAGATTATAATAAAAAATTTCAAATTAATGCGCATTAGCACGTACTTTTAAAACCTAACGCGTACTTTAATCCGAGAAGGAACATGCAGCTTTTCATGCAATAACTGTTGCTTCTAAAATGATAAATACTTATTTACAGTGTTTAATTATCACATTGATTTTGCTATTTACCTAAATATCACTGTTTCCTTACAGCTTTCTGCAGATATAATCAAACAATAGTAATAAAAAAAAAAAATCAAAATAAAGAATGAAAAATTAATTTAATATGTCAAATTAATAACATTTGCTTTTATCATTAAAAATAAACCACAAATTTTCTGTTTTTAGAAAATACTAATAAAATAATACAAATAAATCAATAGAAACATAAACAAACAAACAAAACATAAACAATCAATTAATTCGTATAAATTATATATTATATTATGTTAAAATTTTAGGTTTTTCTAGTAAAAAGATTTTCATTTTCGTCTTCATCTGAACAATACGAACCGTCATTCAAGAATTTATCAAAACCACTGTCGGCTGAATAACGATACTTTGGTGTGGCACAACAACTAAAGAACATAGTTTTATAACGCAGATTTCGACTTAATTCACGTTCACGAATAGCGAAATTTCTTTTTTTATGTTTATACACAAACTGGATAAATAGAAGAATTGCAACAAGCACTATTGGTGTTGCCAAAATAACAACTACAACAATAATAGGGACCAAAGCAACACCATCTTCACTTGAAACATCTCCCGAAGATTCATCAAAAGACCTATTTACATTATGAAACTCCTCTAAAGAGAGAAAACGGAAAATAAATGTATGTATGTATTTATGTATGTATGTATGTATGCATGTATGTACGTACGTACGTATGTATGTATGTATGTATGTATGTATGTATGTATGTATGTATGTATGTATGTATGTATGTATGTATGTATGTATGTATGTATGTATGCATGTATGTATATATGTATGTATGCAAAACGCGCTAAGTCCGAGTAAACTGATTTTGAGAAAACAACGAAAAACTAAACTACTCTTATTTGCGCATCAACAGAAATTGATATTTTATTTATCCATTTTCAGGAACAAAAATTTTTTAATTGGTCTAATATTTAAATAGATAATAGATTTCAGTATGTAGAATGGATTTATTTTTGCGACTAAGCGCGTTTTGCGGATGGGCTCCTTATATATACAGTGGTGTGCAAAATAATAGGTAATTGTAAGCATAATGCGTCTACCACTTCATATTTAAGAATGTGCTTGACATAAACGTAAGAATCCCACATATATTTATAACCTTGCTCTCTTATGTATATCGTGTTGTTTCCTGGTAATGTATAAACAAATTTTTGCGTGTATTTATTTGATTTTTCTTGAATACTTTAATTTAAGGTGTGTAAAATAATAGGTAATGTATATTTTAAATTAAAATATTTGCAATTATTATCTATTTATTTAGTTTAAAAGATGAATTTTATTAACAGTTACTATAAAAGTTGTTGAATTAAAAAGAAAATATTCATTTTTTTAGAGGAAAAAAAAAAATAATAGAAAAAAAGAAGAAAAAAATGAGGCGTAACGTTTATTGTTCGAAATATAAAAGAAATTTAATTAAAAATTTACGAAATCAGGGTAAGACTTTGAAAGAAATTTCAAATATAATGGGCTGTTCAATTAATATGGTATGCAATGCAATTAAAAAAGAAAATACACCTGAAACACGTGGTCTTGGCCTGCAAATTGATGCTTCAACAGTTAGAAAAAACTCGACAATATGTTAAAGCTCAGATTTAACATATTGTCAGAGTTAACTTTGGTCATGTGACACCAAAATTAACTCGTTTGGGTCAGATGCACTGAAAAAATATGTCAGAAGACCAAAAGGAAAAGAATAAGATCCTAGATACACCGTAAAAACGCTTAAATATGGTGGTGGAAATATTAAAGTATGGGGTTGCATTTCATATTATGGAGTAGTCCCCCTTTTTTTGGATCAAAGAAAATATGAATAAAGAAATATATTTAAATATACTGCATATGTTATGCTACCATTCGCAGAAGAAAACCTACCTTTGATATGGGGGTCTATCAACAAGATAATAACCCAGAGCATACTGCGAAGGTAGTAAAAAATTCGTTTCATAACAAGAAAATTCGGATTTTGAAGTGGCCAGCCCAATCACTGGACATAAATCCGATAGAAAATCTCTGGGCACATGTAAAAAATGAATTAGGAAAACCTCCTAAGACCAAAAATAAAGATGAACTGTGGAAAAACATTCAATACATTTAGAAAAACATTCCAATAAGTACATGCCAAAAATAAGTTAATACCATACCAAAAAGATGAGCGGCGATAATTGCAAATAAAGGGTATACAACCAAATATTAATAAATCATAAGTAAATTAAATTTTTACTTATTATTGTTCATTATTTCAATATTATATGTACTTAATTTTAATTTACCTAGTTTTTTGCACAGTAGATATTTGTAAAAATAATCTAGTTATTTAGACTAGTAAAAAAATTTTGTTATGTTTAATGTTGCATTTTTTTAAAAATATTAAATAATAGTTAAATTAATTATATAATAACAATTTAAATAAATTAGATTACTATAAAGAACTTATTTCGTACAAAAAGTCAAACTATTTAACAATTAACTATTATTTTGCACACCACTGTATATATATATATTTTAGAACCTGAAGTGTATTTAAATGTATGCATATGTGGTTGTGTCTTATCGTATAAGAAAGTTAAAAGTCATTTGATAATTACCCATATAACTTTGAATGTAATACTGCAAAATCTTTTGCTCACTATTTACTGCAAGATATAATTTATTTTCATAAGTAGACAAACATATTTTAGTTGGACCATTAAAAACCTTAAAAAAAAAATAAAACATTCTGTTTTTGATATCTCTTTCCCAAAAAAGAAGAAAAAAGTATAGATTTTAAAGTAGAATGTATTAAATTATATGAATTAATAAAGAATTATTTAAAAAACATATCAAAAGAGAACAATACATTTAAAAAAAATTGATTAATGAGTTATCGAACTACACAATTTTTTTATAGATTTAATATATTAATGTTATTGTTAACAAAAATATTTTAAAAAAATATATATTTTAATCATTTCACTCTAGGCTAAAAATATTTACAAAATGTATTTCATTCTAGGGCCCAAATTGATGTAATTATAATCATAACAAAAACAGAAATAATAACTATTGTTATTGTACTAATTTTTTTAGGAACATTAACAATATCTATGATTTACAATTATTATAACATTGTAATACAACAACAATAAATATTGTATTGCAGTTCATCTTTATAATACAATAACAATATCTAAAAAAAAAAAAAAAAAAACCTTAGTTGTAATGTTCCAATACAACAACAGTAAATGTTGTATTGTAATTCATCTTTATAATACAATAACAATATCTTAAAAAAAAAATGTTGTTATGTTAAAATTAAAAATTTTTTTTTAGTATTTGTATGATTTTTAGTGAATATAATTAATTTTAATTCTAAATAACTTATTTTTTAAACAGTTATTATATTATTGATCTCAAAATAAATAAAATTTATATAAATGGTTACTAAAGGGTCCCATGAACTTATTATTTAATAAGTATGCTTAATAGGGTAGATTCGGGTAATATGAGCATACCAAAAATTTCGAAGATGTAAGCAGTCAATTTAATGTTACTTTGTATTTTTTAAATCGACTTCGTGTGATGTGGTGATAACAGCAACCAGTATAATTAGCGTAAATTTATATGCAGTAATTAGCGGCTCTCATCTAATTAAAGCGCTGTTTAATTTTGCTTTGTGAAAATATTATCATTACGCATGAAAGAATCTGCAGTGCAATATTTTGATGTTAAAATAATGAAGCTTATCTAATATAAATAAATAAAGAAAAATCTTAGCCAGAAAATCGTTCCATCTTTGTGTGTAAAAAAATGGCACGGAAACACTTGATATCATTTTTTGTTTAAAATGAGCATGCTTATTTTACAAGTTTGCATCAAAATTACCTTTAATTAAAGTTAAAAGTTACCTCTAATTAAAGTTTAAAATTCCTAAAACTGCAGTGGTTTTAATTGCTTTTTGAATAAAAGCAAAACATAGTAAAACTTTAAGTATTTTAACAATACTTTATATCTTTCTGTAATTTCAAAAAATTTAAAAAATTGTTGAGATAATAAAATCGAAAAAATAACGAATTAAAATTATTTGTTTACATAAAACAGTTGTATTGTTTTAATTAAAAGTGGAATAAAATTTTATATTTTAATGATAAATTTTATTAGTAAGGAGTCATCATATTTTACAAATAATTTTTAGATTGTTTTTTTTTTACCTAACTATATTTTGAGCTAATTTAAAGTGCTCATATTACCAATTGGTCTGGTAATATGAGCACTTTTGCTACTTTTTTAAAACCGCTGTGTTTTTAAGAAGATTTCAGGTGCCAAAAATCTAAGTGAATCATGAGTAGGAAGCAACCAAGGTTGGAATTTGACAGGGGGGCGAGGCCTGGTTTGATAAAATATAGCCAGGGCTGGATTTGTGACTGGGACTGCATAAACATTTATACATCCCAAAGTATTTTTTTAATTCAAAACACATGTTATATTTTGTATATATATGCATAAATAAACATCATTATGATCAACCTGATCATTATTACCATCATGATCATCATTATCATGATCATTGTGATCATGATCATGGTCATCATCATCATCATCATCAGGCTTTAGCCTTCCTTATCTATGCTGTTTCTCTAATATTAACAATCTAGAGCATTTTCTTTCTTTAACTAAAGCTCATTCATACAATATGTAAGACACTCTTATCAAGTTTTCTTACATCTACCTTTACCATTTAATCCTGAATCTGCTACCTCTATACATCCTGATAACTAGATCACTTTAATCATCTCTAACAGACGTTGTTCAATAATTTTTTTTCTAAAAATGTTGTGCCGAACAATTTGTATCTTTTCTTATAACTCTTACCTATCTTTATGTTTTTCTTTTATATACAACCCATAACTTTTCAAGTCTTTAGTTAACCATTTCCTAGCTTTTTAACCCTACTCTCTATTTTATTTCATAACTTAACAGCGGTTGCTTTCAACCTTGTTGGAACTAAATAAGAGTTTAAAAATATATAAATATATGCCGATATTTAACAAATAGTAAATGTAAGTATAAAATTATAATATATAATAATAATTATAAATTATAATTATATATTATAATTTTATAGTATACCTTAAGAATATCCAATTACCCTTTGAGAAATGTATTCTCAAGTGGGTAATTGTGGATCTTCTCAAGGTTTAAGTGGATAACACTTGTTTAAGTAGATAATATTTGTTTGTTTCACTAGAAATAGTATGTTTTAATAGTTTTTCTTGTTTTTAATTGAAAAATATTTGTTTAATAAAATTTTTTCTGATCAAGTTTTTTGATAGTCTTTAATCCATCAAAAAAACTTTATTTTAAAATTTCATTTTAATTCTGTTCTACAATGGACAAACAGATTTATTCTTTTATTGGGTTTTCTTTGGAGGTGTAATAAATAATGGTGAATAATGGTGAACAATGGATATACACCTAAAAATATCAAAATGTTCATCGAACCATGTTCATTTAACAATATTGACTTGCAAAAATAAATTTGTTTTTTTTTTAATTTTCAAAAATGTTTTTATTTAAAAAAAAAAAAACATTTTTGAAAATTAAAAAAAAGTTGTTTTTATTTTTTATTTTTTACTTTTATTTTAGACTAATACATATTGAAATTTTTTAATTAAATAAATTTTTAATTTAACAAACACTTTTCTATATTTTGATTATACCATAAGAAAGTTTTTAATTTTGAAACACCTTAGTTGCGATTACAATAGAAAAAATAAATGTCAATTTAGCCAAATGCTTTGTAAGTTGTATAGGTAATCCTTTATCGAATTTGAGAACTTTGTTCTTTCTACCTGTAGTCTTTGTGTTTCTTGCTATCATGGGTTTTATAAAAAATTTTGTCATACAGGCAATGAGTTGCTTTCAAACTTGCTAATATGCTAAACTTTGTATATAAAAGAGGTTCAGGTTTGTCACAAATTAATCACGATAGAGAAAAATTACAATAAAAAGATTTTATTTCAAAATTTTCAAAAACCTACTGTCATGTAACAACCATAAAAATAAAGATGGTTCCAAATTATTTTCTATAGAAAATTTAAATTCTTTTAAAAGAAAATAAATTTTGATAAAATAAAAAAAATTAAATAAACACCGACTAATATTTAACTCCATTTGCCTCAATATTTTGCTTTTAACGATGTAATGTACTTTCATAATATCTAAGTGTATAAAAAATTATTAAAATTTGTATTATTTTGGTAAAGAAATATATGTTCTTCATAATAAAATTTTATTTATTTTTTACTTGGTATTTTATGTTATTGCAAAAATAAGAGTTGCAGAGAGTGACGAACCGATGTCATGTTGTGACGCCATATTTTGGGCTATATCTGTAAAAATATGTATTATACATATACATATATTTTTATGTATTACATATTAAAATAACTAATATGTAATAAACTTATAAACTTTAATTTTTATAATACAGTAAGGTTATTGTAATATAATAAAGTTTATTTTTTATTTTTAAAATGTATATACCATAAAATTTTCTTTTTTTCAATTAAAAACACATTAACGCATAGCATGGAATTGCTGTATTGTTGATTTGTCTTTATTTAATAAATTATCATTCTTATTATTGTTTTGTGCAAGCTTTTCTTGTCTCTATATTAAAATACTTACATAATTAACATAAATTAAAATGATAAATAAGATAAGTTAAAATGCTTACATAATCAACAGATATTAAAATGCTAACATAACAATCAGAAATTTAAATGTTTACATAACAGTGATAATTTAACAGTTAAATTGTAAATAACACTTTAATATTGAAGTTAGATATTACCTTTCTATCTTTAAACCAAGTATTCAGAACATTACCACTTTGAGCATTTAATGTTAAGCCTTGCGTAGCTTCTCCATAACGATTATATAATGCAAACAAAACACCACCTACATTTTAACAAAAAAGTGAACTGGCACAAATAAATGTATATAATTTTAAAAAGTGAACTGATGCATATATATGTTTATAGCTTTAAAAATTGAACTGACACAAATAAATGTATATAATTTTAGAAAGTGAACTGATGCAAATAAATGCATATAATTTTAGAAAGTGAACTAATGGAAATAAATGTATATAGCTTTAAAAAGTGAACTAATGCAAATAAATTACAACAAACATGACAACTTGCATAAAATATAATTTTACAGATTAAGTGACTAGAGAGTTCAAATTTTAGGTAAAATTATAACTCTATATTATATAAAATTATATATCTATAACCCCCCTCTTTTATATTTATAACCCCTTCTTTTTATTGAACTCAAAATTATAAAAAACTTTAAAACAGTAAATATACACAATGTAACGTATGTGGTAATAAATAATAGTGTATCAAGTTCAGTAAAGTGGTAATAATCTGAATGAAGGGGTAACAAACAAGAATTCACACACTTTTTGTAACAAAATTAAAGCAAAACATCAGCTTTTTTTTTTTAAATTATAGTGATTCACACAATTTTTTGATTATTGTGACCCCTTCTCATAATTTTTTGATTGATTATTGTGACCCTCTTTCACAATTTTTTAATTGATTATTGTGACCCTCTTTCGCAACTCTATAACTTAACAATATGAATAAATTTAAATGTGTTGGGGCATGAATTCCATACCTTACATAACAAGCAGTCTACCTTTATAATACTATCACAACACTATCAAAAAAATTTTTTTTATGTTTTAAAAGTTATTGTTCTCCATAAAATAGAGAATTTATACTATCCTTACAAACACTTATTGCAACATTCTAAATTTTGCAATACTTTTCCTGCCACCTTATGATGAATCTTATCTTGTATGATACTAATCATACTAGCAGGATTAGGGTGGGATCATCTCCACACCATAATCATAATATTATTATTAGTTCCGTGTCTTAACTTGAGAAAGAATAAGTATATATATAAAAAAGTATAAATATTATATATTATAAATATAAATATACTCTTTTTCCCCCTATTGCACCACATTTAACCACAAGAAAATGATTTTATCTAATTTACTACTAAAGATACGACACTATTAAAACTTAAAAAAATATTGTAATTCTACACTTTTATTCTTATTAAAAATCTTTTTATTTATAAGAAACCTCTTAAAAATGAGTGACTAGTGAAAAAGTAAAAGTGTATTTATAAAAAAAATAAAATTGATTTTTGTAAATTTGTGAGAGAACTTCTCATTTGTATTGCTTAAAGAAAGATTGGGAAAGATACGACTCATAACTTTAAATAAAGTGCAAAGTTATATGAGTCAGGAAAACATTAAGATGGGAGAGATTTCTGCAAGCCCTAAGCTGTCAGTGGTGTACTGACCCCAGATGTTTTAAGCTCTTTATCTTTGAAGGACCTTTTGGAAAAAAAAATTATACTATGTTCTTTAAATGATTAACAAATAAACTAAATAATACTTGCGTAAAATGTTTATTTTTACATATACTTACATATTTTTTATTTTTACATATATTTAAATATTTTTACACTAGATTTTAATAAACTTCTTTTAACAATTAAAGAAGCGTCAATAGTTAAATTAAGTAATAGCAACAGTCAGATGGGAAATCGCAATCCTGATATTTAATTAAAAGAAATTACAATCGCTGATTTTGAAGTGTTAATTATGTTCCACTTCATTATAGGCATATTACCTACATCTTTATGTTTCTAGATTTCTATGAAAAGTTCTGAAACTTGTTGGTTGAGTAAATTAATAATGAATCAAATATTGGTATGCAGCTGTAAATAAATTGTATTGTTTATCTGTTAAAATTTTTGTGGAACTTATGATGAAATAGAAAATGTATGTCATTTTAGTTTAAAAAAAGGTACCCAATTTTGTTAACAACTTTTTGTTAAAATTATTGATTAAACCAAATAAAACTTTATTAGTATTAAAAGTGTTTAGATTTAAATGATATTGGAGATAATGTAATGGAGATGTAATCTTTAGACTTTTTGTAATGTGTTTTTATAAATAAGAGCAGTCTTTTGAAAAAAATTGGAAGATAATCTAACAGGGAAATCCCGCATAAATAAGCTTAAATTAGGTTGTGACAGAGCAGAGATCAGATTCAAAATCTGATGCCTATTCTAAGCAATCTAAAAGTGGAGAATTTTTGTGAAAACAAGAGTATAAAGTTGAGTGGTCAGCAAATAGAGCGATGTTAGATGTAAGTTTGTTAAAGAAATAGTTGAATAATCTCAATAATTTTCCCAGATACACCATTTATATGGTGTATCTGAGAAAATTTGCAAGCAAAATGGAGAAAACTTTATTAAAAGCTTTTGATATTTCAAACCCTTTACACTTTTACACCTCCACCTAATTCACGTTAGAATCTTTCAATTACAGCAGTTTAGCAAATCAGCCGTGGAACAAGTAGATTGAAATCTATATTGATTGTCAGAGGTAAGTTATCAGACTCAAGATAAGATGTTAGAAATTTGTAGAATTGTAGAAAGAGGAAAGATCCAGCATTCATTATCCTAGGTAGGAAACAATGTAACACTGGCTTATATCAATCCCAGGCTAATGGATGAAAAAGGGATGCAAAGCTTGTTAACAAAATTACGCTGCATACCCCTAAAGTCTTTGAGTAGGAGGCCTTCTACAAGATAGTAGTTGGATACTGTTACCCTCTGCCCAAGATAATTATTTTTATTGAGACACCATCTCTAGCCTTTACTCAACAAGAGCTTCAAGGTAGGGTATTTTAAGTCAGAGTTTATTTTTCCTAGCTTTTACATAGATAAATGAATCCTATAAGGCAGCAAAGCTGGATTACATTCTACCAGTAGCAGGGTGATCGTGATAATCCTGAACTTGTACTGACCTATTATTAATTAAAATTTTTTATTCATTATCAGATATGAAGTAAAGATTTTTTTATTTAAAAACAATTTTCAAAAACATAATTTTTTTAAAGATGAAATTTCGAATCCAACTAACCTTGCAAAGAGCTAAATGCTATAGAATGAAACTCTAAATGTTCTGTTTCTTTAACAAGCACATGTGATAGCGATCCATCTGGTTTGAAAACTAAAATTGAATACCTGTAAGCAACATACAAGAGTTCACCATTGTCGTCTGATGCAAGAGCTAATGGGTTGGTTTCAGCTAATAAAGTAAACTCAATCATTTTTCTTTAAAATTGTAAAAATTTCTGTTGATATCTTATTTATAATAATTATAATAATAAATTATAATAATCAAGATAAAAAACTATTTTTAAATAATTAAGATTTTAAGAACTTTAACTTTAGAATTGAGTTACAAAATTTTACTTACCAGAACTAGAGGGACTGGTGAAATCTTTCAAGAATTTTCCATTTGCATCAAATTTTATAATTCTGTGGTTGCAATAACTTTAATAAAAGTAAACAACATATTAAGAAATATATTGAAATAGGTCTACACACAACATCACAATCATACAAATATAGGAAGATGTGGTGAAAAATTTACATACATTGACTGAAAGAATATGTTGCAGGCAGATAAAGTCTACGTATGAAGATCTACTATGGTAAAAAAAATATCTTTTTTATTGTAAGATAAGAAAATATTACCCATCAGCAACAAAAATAAATGACTTCATAATAACTATGTCAGATGGTTGACAAAAGTGTGTATTATCAAAACCAGGTGTTAGTCGCTCGCCTAATGTTAAACTTGGTTCCAAAAGATTTTCCATGGAAAATTTGAAAATCTAATAGGAGAAAAAGAAACTTGTAAAAAATAAATATACAGACTAAAACTTTTTAGTTTTATAAACTGATATATAAAGTATTTAACATGCTGAGTTGCCAGTTTTTAACTATTATTTTTGTTTTTCTATTTAAATAAACAAAAATATAACATTAATTTATAAAAATCATTTTATACCTGATGAAGTCCAATATCAATAACCCATATGCTGTTGCTGTGATGACTAGTTTTTAATCTCACTGGCATGATAAATCTTTTGAGAAAAAATAACGAGTTATATTTTTTAAACGATTTTTGCAAAACAGCAACTTTGAACTTTTTTTATAAAAAAAACTAAAATTAAAAAATATGGTAAAGTCTGATCTGGCATCTCTATTAAAACAAATAGGGCGGAGTGGGATCTGGTACCTTTTTTAAAAAAAAATATTGTGGAGTGGGATTTGACATTCTTTTTTTTTTTTTTTTTTTATTTTAATTCACCTCCTCAAGGCCGAGAAGGCCACTACAGACGAGGAGGCTACTTATTTGTGGTTATAACCCTCTCTCAACTCTATAACTCCGAAACACGAACCTTGACGAGCAAGGCCGCTGCGTGGAGAAACGAGTTGAACTCTATAGAAACAAATATGGGGGAGTGGGATCTGGTATCTTTATATAAATGAATTTAGTTCAAACTGAAAAAAATATGATAATTTTATTAAAAAATTATTTTTCTTTCTCTCATTACTTAAAAATTTGGTTGGACAAAAACACCCACACCACCATATTTTATAGCTTCTTTATAAAGTTTTTGTCTTTAAATTCATGACTGATAATGTTTAAAAGCATAAAAATATTTAATTATACACAGAGCAGTCAACACAACTTTTTTTTTAAAAGTTAAAGAAGTTTTTCTAGTTTTTTATACAAACTTTTAAGTAAAAAAGATTTTTCATTAAAAACTTTTACCAATAAACAAAACTGCAAAATAAAATAAAAGTCCTAGAACTACTTATAGAAGATCATTACATTCTAAAAAGTGCACCAAGCATGAATTATTATCTAATAATATCATGGATCCAGTGTTTCACAGGAAGACATGCGATCACACGCCATTATATGACCACGCAAAAAATACTTTGTTTTGACAATTTGACCACGGCTTTTAAACCCAACTAAAACAAAACTCAACTAACTAAAATGCTAAGTTTATTTAGATGTTTTTAATTACGCTCAGAATAATTTTTAATCTTTATTAATCTTTATTAATATTTATATAATATTATCGAAAACCCTTAAAATAAAAAGAACAATTTACTTTTAATGATTGTTTAAAAAATACTCACACTTAATTTAAATCTTAGTGTTTTTTTTTTACTAATTAAAAAATATCAGTTTACATGTAAATGTAAACTAGTAAATAATTACGCATTAAAAAAACCATTTCATTCTTTGTTTGTTTAAATTTATTTCAAAAGATTAACATTTATCATAAAAAAATACATAACTATATAAATAAAAGAAATAATGATAAAAGTTTATTAATACTTAATATAAAAAATCATTAGAAGTGGACTTCATTAAAAAGTGTTTCAATAATATAAAAACATTAAAGATCAAACTTATTGTAACAGCTTTCAAAAACAATTGTCTTTTTTTTTTTTTTTTTTTTTTTTGAAGAAATCATTCTTATTAAATTGTTACTTTATTTAAAAGCAAATTGTTAATATAAATACGTTTGTTAAGAAGATTTGATGTAGGGGAGAGCGGGGTTGGTTGTCACGCGGGTTGGTCGTCACAAAGTTTATTACAGAAAATGTAAATAAGATATAGAAATTTCAAATTATACAATGGAAATGTTATATAAAAAAAACATTTTTACAGTAATTTTTATCTTTTCTTAGCGTGCAGAAGAAAAGTTATTCGTTTTTATAGGTTTTTGATATGAAAAAGTAAAATTTCGCCTACTCAGAAATTTTCTTATACCAAACGAAAATTATTTTATTGTGTTTTGAATGTAGATTTATAAAGTACTTTATTCATTTGAGTAACTTAATCCGTAAAAAAATATCATGAAATTCTCACGCTTTTAGGTAAATGTACAGGTGTCCAGTAACTTACTCAGAAGGGGTTGCTTGTCACAAATTATATGGGGATGGTTGTCACACTTGCCTCGACTCCATGCGCTGCAAATTAAACGCCGCTTGCAGAATATTTAGTGGCTTTGTTTATTTTCCGCATTATTGAGGAATATTTTAATGTTTAAGATATTCTTTAAAAATCTAAAGTCAAAGTGTTATATTTGTTTAACTAAATATCTGTAATCTAAATTATTTTTATTTCAACGTGCATAACTTTAGATTCCGATCCAATGTTTAGTATAATTATAGAAAAAGGATTGCAGAAGTTCAACTGTTTATTGTTTTGTTTACAAACTAAACAACTAGCTGTTGTTTAGTTTGTAAAACTGTCTGTTGTTTTGTTTGTGCATTGTTTATATTTAGTGGGTTTATGTATATATATATATATAATATATATATATATATATATATATATATATATATATATATATATATATATATATATATATATATATATATATAGTATATATACATATATATATATATATATATATATATATATATATATATATATATATATATATATATATAATATATATATATATATATATATATATATATATATATATATATATATATATATATATATATATATGTATATATATATATATATATATATATATATATATGATATATATATATATATATATATATATATATATATATATATATTATATATATATATATTAATGTTTTGTTTACATTATTTGCAAATATTTTTATTTGCTTAGTAATAAACATGGTACGAAATTTTAAAAGAAAAACTAATAGAGGTTATACTTCTGGAGATGTCATAATGTGTGCTGTTAAAGATGTAAAGATTAATAACATTTCTATTAGATCAGCAGCAAAAAACCATGGCATTAATTACAGAACATTAGCACGTTATTGTAAAAAAATTATTATTACTAACCCATCACATGGTTCTATAGCAGATCTAATTGACAAAATTGAAAACCCCACCTCCCTGAATGTTATAGGATACAAAAGTCGATTGATATTGCCAGAAAAAGTAGAAAAAGAACTGGTCACCTACCTGTTGCGAGCAGCAGATATATATTTTGGTTTAACTCCTACCGAAGTAAAAAAGCTTGCTTTCCAGCTAGCAATTAAAAATAATATGAAGGTTCCCAATTCTTGGGTTGTAAAGGAACAAGCTGGTAAGGATTGGTTTACAGGATTTATAAAGCGCCATTCAAATATTTCCATTAGGCAACCTGAAGCTACTAGTTTAAGTCGAGCGACAAGTTTCAATAAGCAGAATGTTGCATCATTTTTTAGCAATTTGCAGCACTGTATGCAAAAATACTCGTTCTCACCAAATGACATTTGGAACATGGACGAAACTGCTGTAACTACTGTACAGCAACCTAAAAAGGTTATTGCGAAAAAAGGATTAAAACAAGTAGGAGCCATCACGTCAGCTGAAAGAGGAACTCTTGTAACATTAGCATGCACAATAAATGCTATTGGAAATAGTATTCCACCCTTTTTTATTTTTCCACGTAAAAACTTTAAAGATCATTTCCTAATCAGTGCACCAACAGGAAGTGCAGGAGATGCAAATCCAAGTGGTTGGATGAAAGAAGAAAACTTTGTAAAATATCTAAAACATTTTGTAGGCAATACAAAATGTACTAAAGAAAAGCCTTGTTTATTGTTGCTTGACAATCACGAAACTCATCTTAGTATTGAAGGATTAGATTTGGCAAAAAATAATGGAATAGTAATGCTTACCTTCCCACCACATTGCACACATAAATTGCAGCCCTTGGATAAGGCAGTTTATGGTCCTCTCAAAAACTACATAAATACTGCTATGACATCATGGTTAGTAATGAATCCTGGAAAAACTGTTACAATATAAGATATTCCAAAAATAGTAAACATTGCATTTCCAAAGGCTGTATCTCCCCACAATATTTTAAGTGGTTTTTCTGCAACAGGTATTTACCCGTTAAATCCTGATGTGTTTACTGAAATTGATTACTGTCCTAACTATGTAACTGATCGCCCTGACCCACTTTGTTCACAGGCTGATTCAAATAAAAAAGACTGTGAATCTTATTCAATGCAACCAGAACCATCAAATAAAAGATTTAAAGAATCTATTCAGATACCAGGTAATCAGGTAGACATAACAATAGAAGATCCAGTTGTATTAAATAAAACCCCTAATCAGAACCCAATCACAACATTAGGTTTTAACAATTCAATCATACCACCTGAGAGTATTAGGCCTCTGCCTAAAGCAGGTCCGAGGTTAGCATCAAAAAGAGGTAGGAAAAAGCGGTCAACTATGATTCTTACTAACACGCCTGTCAAAGCATGGCTTGCTAATTATAAAAAGAAGAAAACTAATAAAAAAAAATTTACTAATGGAAGTAAAAAAGAATTAATAAAAGCAAATCTTGCTACGAAAAAACCTTCTATAGTCTTAAATTCATCTGAAGATAAAGAGTATCTGTGCATCTATTGTTTTGAATCATTTTCCAACAGCCGATCAAGAGAACAGTGGATTCAATGTCAGGTTTGCCAAAAATGGGCTCATGAAGAATGCACACCAGGCTTACAACAGTTTATTAGTGAATTGTGTTCTTTATCCAATAATTTTTAAAAAACCAAACCTAAAAACATTTATAGTGATAAACTAAATTTGTTAATTGTGTTATATTTAAAATATATATATTTCAGTTTATAGTATTTTATTTTTGTTTTTCTTAGTAAAACATAAACGAAATTAATTTGTACTCGTTTTACATTAAATTCTTATCTAAACTTGTCAAAATCCAAATGTGACAATCAACCCCGCACCATGTGACAACCTACCCCGTGAGCGGGGCTAGTTGTCACACAGAAGTGGTCTTTGAAAAATGATTTTACAGCAATAAATATTTCACTCAATGTCATAAAAATATTATAATAGTTACTGGAAATAGTTAAATTAGCTTTGTGCAAAGTTTGGCATTGATTGGATGAAAATTAAAAGCTGAGCAGCCTAAAATGTAAAAAGTGTGACAACCAACCCCGCTCTCCCCTAATTTATTTCTAATAAGGTATATTTTTAAAATATTTTTCATTCAGCACGTTTTTAAAATGCTTTTTAAAATAGCGGTCAAATTGTCAAAGCAAAATGTTATTTGCCTGGTCATATAATGACATGTGATTGCATGTCTAGTGAAACATTGGGATCATAACATAAACTAGCAATCATAAACATCTACCTGCACCCAACTTTTTAATTAATGAACCGTGTATAAACCAGACATCATACCATAACTAAATCTAATATTCAAGAAAATTTTAACATCAAAAATTACTTCTTCAATACTTCTTTCTTTTGTTAATGGTTCTTATAATTCTGTTGCGTATGTTCTTAATGACTTCAGAACTTTAAAAATAGAAATTTTAATAATTGTTTAAAATAAATAAATTCTATCTACTTTTATACTACTTATAATAATATTAACTTCATTAACTTATTTATCTTTCTCATTATAATGTTCAGCAATTTTATTTTTTATTTCTTATTATAATGTTTAGCAATTTTAGTTAAGAACTTTTAACATTATTAGCAACCTAAATGATAAATAAACTAAATTTAAAATTTTCAAACATTTATTAAAATTAAATTCTTTAGATTCTTTAAAATAAGTCATTTTTTACATTTTTTTTACATTTTTTACATTGAATAAAATAAATGTTTAAACTTACATTTACATTTTAACATTTTTTACCTGAAAGTGAAATAAATAACATTTGCACTTTAAACTGACTGTTTTACAAATAAGTGTTTTACAAATATGTGTTTCTACTAATCTGTGCTACTACATATCTGTACTACTACAATTTTTTGCTTCTACAAATCTTTACTTCTACAAATTTTTTTTCACATTTTAATTGTAAAAATATATGAATCCATTTTCAATAATGCAAGTTTTAATTTAAACATGATATTAAAGAAGATTGGAAGAAAAAAAAGGAATGTTTACAACAACAGGTTACACTAAGATGAAGTTTATTTTATAGATCGGGGCAAACGCTTGTTCTATGTACAACCTTAAATTAGTTTTCATTATGGTTGCAGAAATTTTTTTTATTTAAGAAACATTAAAATAAAGAATTTTTAGATGAATCAATTTATATTTAAGTAAAATTAGGGTGGTCCATTTTTTTACTTTTTACAAGGGTTTTTTTTATTGCAATATTTTGTTACTCTTTTTATTAATGAAACAAAAAAAAACAAACTAAAACAACAAAAAGTTCAAAAACAAAAACTTACAAGTTTTTACCGAATGTTTTATTAAGACTTCCATCTGCATTTAAAATAAAAATAATATTTTCATTTATTGGATCATGTAAACCTATATAGTAGTTTTCTTCATCAAACAAACTGAAATAAAATAACAAACTTATCATTAAAAGATGTAAACTTTTTCAATATCAAATAAGTTCTTTGCAGATAATTCTGCCATATCTTTGGGAGAAATAAGATCAGACCCTTATATTTAAAATGAAGTATATATATGTATATATATATATATATATATATATATATATATATATATATATATATGTATATATATATATATATATATATATATATATATATATATATATATATATATATATATATATATATATATATATATATATATATATATATATATATATATATATATATATATATATGTATACATATATATATATATATATATAACATATAGAATATGTATGTATGTATGTATGTATGTATGTATGTATGTATGTATGTATGTATGTGTGTGCTAAGTCCGAGTAAACTCATTTTGAGAAAACAACGAAAGACTAAACTACTCTTAGTTGCATATCAACAGAAATTGATATTTTCTTCGTTCATTATTAGGACTGAAAATTTTTTAATTGGTATAATATTTAAATAGATGATAGATTTTTTATGAAAATGGAATTAACTAAAAAGGGCTCATATATATATATATATATATATATATATATATATATATATATATATATATATATATATATATATATATATATATATATATATATATATATATATATATATATATATATATATATATATATATATATATATATATATATATATATATATATATAAATATATATATATATATATATATATATATATATATATATATATATATATATATATATATATATATATATATATATATATATATATATATATATATATATATATACTCTTGCATGTCTCTTGCGTGGCATCAAAAAAAGTTTCCCATAAACTGTAGTTTTAAAGAGCGCGTTAATAAACCAGACTAGAAAAAGTTTTAAAAATTAAATTTTTTTTTTTAATTGATAGACTGCCTGGCCAAACCAAACCCTCAGTCGATGTAGCAGCACTCTCTTGCGAGTCAGGCTATTTGTCAGTCGTTGTAGCAGCACTCCCTTGCGAGTCAGGCTATTTGTCAGTCGATGTAGCAGCATTCCCTTGCCAGTCAGGCTATTTGTCAGCCGATGTAGCAGCACTCCGTTGCGAGTCAGGCTATTTGTCAGTCGATGTAGCAGCACTCTGTTGCGAGTCAGGCTATTTGTCAGTCGATGTAGCAGCACTCCGTTGCGAGTAAGGCTATAAGATAGTCGATGTAGCAACATTTACGCATGTTTTAAAAATGTTTTTTATAAAATCAATAACAAAAACACCACTAATTAAAAAAAACTTTCTAGTCGTTATAATTGCGGTTTTTTAAAAATTTTTTAAAAAACAATTAAATTTAATGTACTTCCGCATAAATTAATTGCTTTGACATTTCGATGACAATCAAAAACAGCTTAAGAGACGAGGTAATTAAAATTGTAGTCGTAAGAGACTTTTTTTACATTAAAACGCTCTTAAAGCTATACTATATGGGTATATATATATATATATATATATATATATATATATATATATAAATAAATATATATAAATGTATATATAAATATATATATATATATATAAATATAAATATAAATATAAATAAATATATATATATATATATATATATATATATATATATATATATATATATATATATATATATATATATATATATATATATATATATATATATATATATATATATACATATATATATATATATATATATATATATATATATATATATATATATATATATATATATATATATATATATATATATTCAACAAGTGCTTATCAGAGTCTTGTTTTCCAGCCAGGTAGAAAGCAGCATCCTTTCTTTCCAATCATAAAAGTTGTCCTTAATGGACAGCACTCTTCTTCTTATTCTGTAACCCCAGGGGTTCCTTAAGGTTCAATCCTAGGCCCCATATTCTTTTTAATTTACATTAACGATCTTCCAGATATTCTCACATCTAAGGTGGCATTGTTTGCTGATGATACTACCATTCATTCTTGTCACGATAAGAAGCCAACTCCCTCTGATTGCTTGCAGGGGGCATTTGAGCTTGAAAAGGATCTCACTTCTGCTACAGCATGGGGCTCACAGTGGCAATTACTTTTTAATTCAGATAAAACTCAATTTTTTTAGGATTAACTCTTACTTCTGATCTTTCTTGGAAACCTTATATTAATTCCGTTGCAAAATTAGTATCTGCTAAAGTTGCATCTCTTTATCGAGCTCGACACTTTCTTACTCTGGATTCTATTCTCTATCTCTATAAATCTCAAATCTGGCCTTGTATGGAATACTGTTGCCATATTTGGGGCGGATCTTCTAATGATGCCATTTCTCTTTTAGACAAGGTGCAAAAACGCATTGTAAACATAGTCTGACCTGCTTTTTTGTCACACCATTTAGTCAACCTTCAGCCTTTTTCACATTGTCGTAATGTTGCTTCTCTTTCTCTTTTCTACAAACACTGTAATGGGCACTGCTCTAAAGAGCTAGCGTCTCTTGTGCCATCTACTAAAATTCATTCTTGTGTTACTCGTCATTCAATTAAGTCTCAACTATTTTCTGTTACTGTTCCTAAGTGCTCCAAAAACTCTTATTTGTCTAGTTTTTTTCCTCGAACATCAGTTCTTTGGAATTCGCTACCTTTATCTTGCTTTCCTGATTCATATAATTTGTAATCTTTTAAGTTGTCTGTCAATCGTTATCTTGCTCTACAATCTTCATCTTTTCTCTTCCAGTAACTTCTAACATTAATTAGTGGTTGCTTATATATATATATATATATATATATATATATATATATATATATATATATATATATATATATATATATATATATATATATATATATATATATATATATATATATATATATATATATATATATATATATATATATATATATATATATATATATATATAAATGTATACGAAGTATTACTATAATTTATATTAATATTCATATCATAATGTAAATATAATAATATTTATATTATATTTGGTAATATTTTATACAATAATATAAATATTACCAAACAAAAATGTTTAAGCATATTATAAATATTAAAAACTTTTTTATTGAATAATACTTTATCAAGTCTAAAAATATCTTTGCAGCAGTTTGAAAAATTAAATTTTTTTAACCCCACATTACTGTAAGTAAAAAAAAAATCTCATTATTTACATATAGATTAAAATCAGATTAAATGTTTTTTTTTTACTAATCAGCTTTTTAATCAAAATATTTAATTTAAATTTTTAATCAACAAAAGAAAAATTTGTTGATTGTTTGAATAATACATCACTCCCATATTCATTGCTCATATTATTTCAATTTATCAATTTCAAACACTTTATTTTTTATTTTTCAAAGTAATAATAAAAATTCAAAAAAACCTGAAACCAAATCTCAATAAAAATTTGACTTACTCGACATCCATAGAGATACCAGCACTACTTAAAATGATAATACTCCCACTGTTACTAACTGCAACAGATGTAACATTTGCAATTAAATTCAAAATGTCATCTTTAAGCTTCCATGTCTTAACAAAGACAGGCAAAGGAAATGTTTCTATACTTTCTGGTAATTTATTAGATTTTGATGTTATTAAAGATAAATTTGTTTTCTCATTTTTTGAATAGTTAGAAAATCTACTTGATTTAAACACATTGCTTTTTGATATCATAGATGGAATAGATGGTAATAATGTAGTATTTGCATGAGCAACTTTATCCAACAATGCCCCTATATTTGAAAATAATACGCAAATCAATAAATATTTGAAAATAATACGCAAATAAATAAATATAACAAAATTAAAAAAATAAAAACTCAAAATTACTTAACAACTAAACTAATTTAAAACTTTGAAAATCAATAAAATTCACTTCAATATTGCAAATTTCTTTGCAATATTTTTTAATGAAACTACTGCAACCTTTTAACAAGTGAGCATTTGACCATGTGAAACTTTTGACGTGATAACATCCATCAATAACATAGTTGTTTCCAGTGTTCACTTTATAATACGCAAGATAGAAGGTAAAAAACTGTTTTTTCTTTCTTCAAAAAAAATTTCCTTATTTTAATAAAAATAATGGATTAAAAAGTACTTGTAATTCAAGGTATGCATACAATTTAAAGCAACAAATACAGTGGTTTTCATAAATTTAGACGCACTCATATTTGAGAATAGAAATTTTTAGTTTTTCAACGATAAAACAATGACAAAAAAAGATTTTGGTTTAGTTTTTTTTCTATTTATTAGATAAATACATACAGAATACAAAAATTAAAAAAGTTTACAAAAAAAATGAAATACTAAGTAATAATTAGGTACAACTACATGGTATTAAAAAAATTAGACAAAAAAAATTATTCATAAATTTAGACGCACGATACATTAGAAGGCGTAATTTATAAACCAATCAATACTTTGTGTATCCGCCTTTTGCTTTAATACAACTAAGAACTCTTCTAGGCATAGACTCAACAAAATTTTTGCACATCGTTTCTGGTACCCCATACCAGGTCTCCTTAAGGAATTCCTTCAGTTGAGTAAGTGTGGAAATTTGAACCTCTGCTAATTTACGGTCAATCCAAGCCCAAATCTTTTCAATCGGGTTTAAATCAGGTGAGTATGGAGGCCACGGTATTGTCATGATACTATTATCGTTGAACCACTCCTTTGTATAGTATGCAGTATGTGCAGTAGCGCCATCTTGTTGAAGTTTCCATGGTTTATCATTGAGCATAAGCAGGTCAATGGATGGAATTAAGTTGTTTTCCAGTACTTCTACGTATATTCTGGAGTTGATTCTTCCGGTGTATGTTTGGCACATACCAACACCTTTATAATTGAAGCATGACCAGATTCCTATCGAGCCTCCTCCACTTTGTACAGTCGGTCTAATGTACCTGGCGTAATACTTTTCATGAGCCATTCTTTTGACTGTTATGTTAGATTTGCGATTGATAAGCTCAAAGTTACTCTCATCACTCCACATAATGTTTTCCTATTGCTCTATTGTTCAATACCATCTTTTACCACACCATTTTAGTCTCCTTGTTTATCATATGGACGCAGAAGTGGTTTCTTCAAAGCAGTGTAGACTCCAATCTTGTATTTGATAAGTATTCGGCGGACTGTGCTTTGAGAAATAGATGTATTTCGCGTTGTATTGAATTCTGTGGTTGAATCTTTGTAACTAATTCTTGGATTAGCTCTGACAGCTCTAAAATGAACACTATCGTCCTTTCTGGTGGTTGACAAGGGTCTACCTGGCCTCGTTTTCTCGCTGGCACCACCAGTGTGAAGAAAGTTTTGTTTCGTTGTCCGAACGCATTTCTCAGAAACTCCAATTAACTTGGCGATTTTCTATTACTTTTGGTTCCTTCTTTGATGTACGCAATAATTTGCCATCTTTCACCTTGAGTGATATGTCTTTTGCCCATTTTTCGCGTCTTTTTAGTGCAAAACTAACTTAACTTTTGTTTATTTATTAATTAATGATTAACTAATTCCAGGTAAGTCATATTTATATAAGGTTTTTTGACAAAATCAACTACTTTAGGCCTGTTAATGAGAAATATGGGGAAAAAACTACTAATTAACTATCGATTAACAAGATATAAGACTTTTTTGATTGTGTGTCTAAATTTATGAACAAAATAAAATCAAGCTTATCAATTAACTTTTTTGTGTTAATCGGTATAGAATGAGTAATAAACATCGTGTAAAAAAAAATTAAGGTACTCTTTAATAGAGTTTCACTTCCTCTTGTAAATTATATATCAAACATAGCGGTAGTACTTTTATTTTATTTTTATTTTGAGTATTTTCTTACATAAATGAAAAAAAAATGAATGCGTCTAAATTTATGAAAGCTACTGTATAAACTCTATATGTAACTTTATTAAATTTGAAATTTAATGAAACTTACATAACTTAAAATATGTAAAAAAAACTAATTCTAAACACTAAAAATGCTAATATTCTTGTTGGTATTTTCAAATGATTTAAAAAAAACACAACTTTTTTACTGATGATTTAATTGCAGTTTCCCTCAGTACTTTTAATGAATTCAACTCTATTTTCATTTTGATATCTTTAAATTATTCTGTATGCATGTTTCCGTTTTGTTTTAATACTTTTTTTAAATACTTTAACATCAATAGTTGTTTTTATATCATCTTCTTTTGCTGCACTAACAAAATAATTATAATTATATAGAAATTAATTGTTTTTTTACCTGATTTGAATTTTCAACAAAAACTTCAGATATAAACTTTTTAATACTAATGGGATGACTAATTTGTAAATCCAAATAACAAGTTAATGCACATTTATTTTAGTTTGTCACATTTAATTGTAAGCATACCTTAAAATATGTAAATATAAAAATTTAATGTAACATTGCTGAATAATATTTTCTTACACTTTATTGAGCTGTGTTATCACGTTTTGAAATTTGGTTCATGTAATGTATGTATGTATGTATGTATGTATGTATGTATGTATGTATGTATGTATGTATGTATGTATGTATGTATGTATGTATGTATGTATGTATGTATGTATGTATGTATGTATATGTATGTAAATATATATACATATAAAAAAATATCTTTTATAATGATTTTAAAAACAATTGAAAGTTTTGATATACAATTTATTCATTATTTTTATTAAGAAACTACTTTGCTATGTACACTAGAACTAATTTTTAATTTTTTTTCTTATGTTTGTTTGTTTTGTACCTCTTTTCACTTGTAAAAATGTTTTTGCTGAATTAGACGTTTTATACAAAATATCTTAAATAAAAGAATAACATGATTTTTTTTAATGTATAATCCAAATTGTGCATTTAAACCTGATATATATATATATATATATATATATATATATATATATATATATATATATATATATATATATATATATATATATATATATATATATATATATATAAAACAAAAATGCAGATTATTTCAATTGGGGTATTGAAAACAACCAAATATTTTATATTTAAATATTAGTATTAATGACTTTTTATTTTTTTACATGAAAAACTTGTTAAAAATTTTTTTTACAAATAAATAGCAATTAGTTTTCTTGCTTTCCTGTGCATTCTTGTGTAAAAACAAATTAAAAAATTGTCCATGTTTCTAGCGCAAATTATAAAGTATTTCCTTAATATACTGACTGAAAAAAGTTGAAAAAAAAATGTATATCAAAAAATATTTTTATTATTGTTACATTCTTATCTACCTTTTTCCTCAACTTATAGCAATTTTGGTAATGGAAAATAACAAATGCCATAAAAATAAGAAAACAAAAAAAGTAAAATATTTTGGTTTTTTTTTTTTTTAATATTCAATTTTATTAGATTTTCTATTTAGTAGAGTCTTCAGTTCTTTTCTTTGAGTATTGCTGTTTTCTCTCTAGTTTCTTTTACCTTTATTTTGCCGCAAATTCTTAAAACGTTAACTATATAAAAATGTGGTTAAGTTGTTTAAAAAAATTACGCAGACAAATATTAGGTGTGGACAAAAAAGGTGTGCTTTCTGGCAAGGCTTGATATATATAATATATATATATATATATCTTGCTTCTCCATGTTTTTCAAATTTATAAAATATATACTGCAATCTAGACTATAATCTAAATCTATAATTTATTCAAGTACGTTTAATTCCAAAGAGTTTTAGTATACAACTTCATTATAGAATTTTGTTAAAAAATCTAAAAATTCTTTTTTTCTTCAAATTATAAAACTTTTTTTTTCATCATTGGTTACTAAAGAATTTGTTTAGTTACTTATTATATTTTTTTCATCATAAACTTTTTTTATCATAAATTACAAAGTTTTATTCAATTTATTCATAAATTACTAAATTATTATTTTTCATCATAAATTAGTAAGTTTTTCATCATAAATTACTAAGAATTTCTTTCGTTATTTTATTTTTGAATTTTGCCAAAAAAAAAGTAATTTCACATTTTGAAAAAAATATATTTCACATTTAAAATGTGAAAAAAATATTTCAGATATTTTAAGTTTGTCTATCGCCTCAATATAAAGTTTGCAACTAGAACAAGTAAGTCTATTCATTAGTGAAATATATTTAGAGCTGTAAACGCTTGAGAGAAAAGAAGCAATTGATTATATTAGAAAAAGTATTAGTGTTCTAGAAATACTAGAACAGGTAACTAAGAGAAGAAAGTGGGAACGGTATATCCATCTTATTATTAAATAAATTTTTTTGCTTGCTTTATATTTATTTTATTTTAGAAGCCAAAATCATGACCTAATTATAAATATTTTGTGATTATTAGAGTTTGCAGCTAGAGGAAAAATTGAGGCAATGTGATGCAGTTTCTTATTTTACATTTATAGTTTATATGGTTCAATAGAGTTTAATTTGTTTTATGCTTAGTTAACATTAAGCTTATGGTTTAATGCGATTCTTCGTTTTTTATTAATATTATAACTAACTTTTGTATGTTTTAGTACAAATATTTGTTTTAACATTAATTTAGCTTGATTTATAAGGTTATTTAATAAATTAATTTGTTTTATATTTAGTTTTTACTCAGTTCAATTTATATGGTTTATTAGTCACTCATTTTATATTCAGTTTATATCTAAATTAATATGTATGTTTTAGTAAAATCATTCTTTTAGTATTTTGTTTATATTTAGTTCTAACCAGTAAAGTTAATTATAACTGTTCGTCATATATAAAATTTACATTTTTTTTAGGTAATACAGTTTAGTGACGTTGTTAATTATTTCTCTAGTTTATATATATTTTAATTTTATACGGTTTATTAGATTTATATTATTTTATACGGTTTAATTTTATACGGTTTATTAGATTTATATTAATTTATACGGTTTAATTTTTTTAGATTTATAAGATTATTCGTTCTAGCTTTTGTTTATAATTGAATTAAATGTTTATTATGCAAAGCACCTCTTCGTTTTATACTCAGCTAACATATAATTTAATTTACATGGTATATTGGAATTATTTGTTTTACATTTACTTTACATTACACGATTTAGTGGAAATATGCATTTTTTATGTTTAATTTTTATTTAGTTTTACTTAATTGTTACAGTGCTGTCCGAATGCTCTGGTTTAAAATTAGTTTATGTTTAACTTGAACAGTTCAAGCCTGTAGTAAATTTGATACATGGGAAGAGTAGGTATTACACTTTCAACAGAAACTTCCCATTAACCAAGAAGAAACAACAAAACTTTTTTGTGTGTATAAGGAACAATCTGGATTAATAAATGGATAAGTTAGGCAGAAAAAATTAAAAATCTGATGATGAAATAACTATAAGTAGTTAAACTGTTTAATTTATTATCAGAGTGAGTAATTGTCATAATTTTATCAATGTATTTTGCAAAAACCAATACAATTGTAAATGATTGCCATCCCTGTGGTAAGAATAATGTGATAAATCAGAGGAAACAAGGAAATTTTGTGAAACTTAAAGACCCATGAGGAATGATACTAATTAATAGTTCATTTGTGATTTTAAAATACATTTTAAAATCACAAATGAACTCCCATCCATAGTCGTTATACTTTAATGCACTCAACATGACACTGGTGCAGTCCTCTTTGAAATGCACAGAGTAGGCAATTGGGAGAGACAAGCAATTGTTTCCATTGTGAAGCAACTGTTTATGAATAGGTGCCATTCAATAGGATTACATGTAATACCTATTGCGTGAAATAGACCCGCAACATCGTTGCAGAAGCACAGCCCATCATGCTGACTGAAAAAGCTTAAAAACTTTGATTTTGCTTCCTCTAAACCATGACTTGTATCATCAACCAAGTTCCACTGTTTGAGCCTGGATATCAAAAGCTCAGCATTTGATTTTGTAAGCCCAAGGTTCCCAATTAAATTGTTCACGTCTTTCTGGTTAGAGAAGTACAGCTTTCTATTCCCAAAATCTGTGGAATCGTAGTTCATTAAAAAAAATAAAAAATTCAAGATTTTGAATTTAAAAGTTTGGAATATTATAAAAAATAAAAAAGAGAGTGTAGGTCAAAAACTGAAAATGGTCACGACTTTGTCTATTACATCTGTCCCCAAAGACAGAAGAATTACAACCACTAGTATAAGAAATAATAACTGTTCTGGAATTAACCTATTCTTTGAATTGTTCTTGAGGAACTCGGGTATCTGAAGTAGGAGTTGGTAACAGAATAGTTGCAAAGAAACCTTTTTTTTCACACTTCCCCCCACCCTTAAATTTGACTTCAACAAATTAGAAAAGTTGTTATGTAGAATGCCAAGAATATGTAAAGCAATTATTGTTGTTAAGGGTGGTTGCATAGATGAGAGTAAATTAGAAATTAATTTAATTTGATTTTTTAATAGCTTTTATGTAAACTTAATTAATTAAGCAGATAGAAACATTGAAAATAGAACTTAAGTTATTGTAAAGAAAAAGTTCAGGAGTTGATGGAAATTGATTTTTAACAGAATGTGGAACCAAAAGAAAAAGTTATGTCTAGACAATTTTTATGGCCATCTTTACAGCATTACAAAAATTTTATTAAAGAATTTCTTTATAAACATACATACATACATACATACATACATACATACATACATACAAACATACTTATGTACATACATACATACACATTCATATATATTTATAAAACTGTAAACATACCTAATTCTTAAAAACTCAGTTTTATTTACATTAATGATGGTATGAGCAGCCTAAAAAAAAATTTATGCTGTCAACTTATATCATCATACATCTCATAAAATACTTGTTAGTATTTAAAATATTTTTTTACCTGATCAATCATTTACTGGCCATTTTAAAATTGAAGAGACAAAGACTGAATATAAAATCCTGGCTAAGTGGAAAAAATAAAATTTTCGGTCTGATGTTAACATGTGTACTATGTGAAAAACACTAAATAAAAAGTAAAAACTGGGCTAAATGATATTCACTGTGGAAATAGTCAGCTTGGCCTTTACTGTGTAGTTTAATGGCACATAGAATAGTTTTTAATATAAAACCAAAAGTTTTCATTTTTGACATATAGCCCGAATTTTATATTTATATAACAAGTTTATTAAAAATTAAAACAAAAACAAAACCAATAGACAGATGACTTACAAATAAACACAATAGTAAGTTGTTTTATAAGAATAACAAATTCTTATTTTTACAAAGCAACTTATAAAAACATTTAAACAATTGTTATTATTTAAATGTTTTTTTTTTAAATAACTTTACAAGGTTGCAACTAGTATTAAAGTTAAAAACAATGTTGCAACCTGATGCATCTATGAACCTAAGTTGGGGTACAAGATCTATCAACTTGTTGGGAGTTTAAAGAAAATCTATTAAGTTGGGATTTAAAAGAAAGCAGAGAAGAGAGTTAAAGTACAAGAAAATAGTTGACAGAAAAATTAAAAATCTGTATACTGTGTGAATAAGGAAGACATTTAAACCAGAAAATTCCAAAGCATTGATGTGCAAGGAAAAAACTAGACAAATAAAAAAGATTGGGTCAGAGCAATCTCTTGAAATTTTGAAACCTGAACCCAACAAACAACTAATTAGATGCAGGAAAGCAAAATTTAGTTAAATAATTATTGAATAGTTTAGAGTATTTAGTATTAAAGAGAGGTCTGGTGAACACAAAGACTGTGACAGGAATGTTGTCTGGTGACAACATTCCTGTCACAGTCTTACCTTTGTAAGACTGTGACAGGAACGTTGTCATGACATTTAGCTGTAAAAGAGTTTAAATAACAAACAATTTAACTGGGGCCAGATTAATTAGGATGTCTAACAACTAATTAACTGATTAGAATTCTAGAAACTTCTTAGGATAAAATACAAAACTACTCAGTGTAGTTAAGGAACTTTTTTATTATAGCGTCAGTATGATATTTTGTTGACTACAACATATTTCCGTTAAATGGTCTGGTCTGTGAATTATAAAAAGAAGAAAAGTATTAAAATGATAAATTTTGCGGAATCATAAAATATAAATGTTTGTTGCGAAAAAACCCAGAACGAAGATTATTTAAAAAAAAAAAAACCATCTTAAAATCACAACCGCTTGTTCAAATTTGAATAAGATTTTATATTAATACATTTTTTAGGTAAAATGAACATTATAGTTTAAGAATATGATCTGTTCTGATTGTTTATTAGTAATTTTCCATAATTATAAGCGGAATTGATCTAAAGACTCCAGAATAGTGTTCTTTAGATTCACTATTACGGGTAGTAAAAAGGTTTTGAAAATTATATAAAAAAAAGAAAAGTTTCTTTAAATATTTTAAAAACCTTAAGTAAAAAAAATTATTACATTTAAAGATCTTGTTTGGACATAATATGCTGACAAAACCATGCTAATTCGAAATAAAAGTATTTGAATATTTTGTAAATCGCCTTAACTACACCGAGTAAATAGTCTGAAAACAATGATCTTCAGCGTATTTCACAGAACTTTTTTTCATTAATTTCTATAGAGAAAACTAGAGAGAAAAAATAATATAAACAAACCTTTCATGTAATTCTGTCATTAATATGTGTTTGCAGTGACATAAAACAAAGAAATTTATTTCAGAAGTTCTAATAACTTTCCCTTATAACTTGGATAAGTTATTAGAACTTATAAACATAAAATTACTTTGTATTAAAATTAATACAACACTGCAGTGTTTTAATTTATTATTGATTATATAAGTTGCATATCTAATAACAACTTTGCAGTGTTTTAATTAACTGTTGCATGCATAAATTGAATACCTAAAACTAACATTTAACCTCATAATAACTTAATAGCAATAACCTAAAAAGCATTTTTAATTATTTGTTGCATTTGAAAGTTGCATATGTTAAAATAATAAACTATTTAATAAGGTAGTTTAACTTAAAAACTTAACTATTAAATATAATTATAACTATATAAATATAAACTATAATATTAAATTTCTAAACTATTAAGTTAAAATTAAAAATTAAACTAGAAAACTAAAAAAAAGACAAAGCATAAACTTTTATTCACAACTAATAAACATTATTACAAAAAATATTATAAAAAATATATAAAATATACTATAAACACCAGATATGCTAAATAGAAAAGAAATTCATCACTGCATTGTTTGGGGAGGTTTGGAATTCTCTGCAAATATGACCATTTCTAACTTATAAGATATTTAGATGTCATAATGTATGAGGTATATTAATCATAAAATATAAGATATATTAATCATAAAATATGAGATTTATAATCATAAAATGTGAGATATATTTATCATAAAATGCAAGATACCATGGTGTATGATAACAATATTTTAACAAAAATTACCAATATATCTGCGCCATGAATTAAAGACCTATTTTCTTTAGGAATCATGATAAAACCCTAAAACAAACATAAAAAATTGTTCAAGTAAAAACAATTTGTTATCAAAACAATGAGTAGAGCAATAATTATGGGAAAAAAAAATAATCACCTGAAGATGAAGGGCATTAAGCTGGCCTATTAAATACCTATCACTATTTCGAATTCTATAAGCAGAGGTTAAACCTAAATAATATTTTGTTCACAAATTTTTAAACTTGTTTATCAATTATTGTAAATAACAAAGTAAAAAAAAAACCTGTTATATTTTTAAAAAACATAACACTAGATTTTGTATTTTATAACACGTTATGTACCGTTATGTTAAATGTATAATTGGTATGAAAATGTATAATTGGTATGAAAAAAACATAACAGTATTTGCCGTTATGTTTTTTTCACACAAATGAAAAAACATAACGACCTGCTTCATTAAAGTGCCTACGTTAACTACTCTGCAGGCATTTTTTTTTTTGATTTATGACTAGGTCATGTCACAGGACGCAATATTTGTTGATTGCTACATCAAATTTGTTGATTGCTAAATCAAAAATACATAAAAAATGGACCATAAATGGCTGTAAATGCAGACTGACGTGTTAAAGTTCTGAATCTTTGGTTTTAAGATAAGATTGTTATTATTATTTGTTCTCATTAACCCATCTTTCCGCCTTCTGAAAGATGGGTTAATAAGAAGCTATTCATTTTTCAAAAGCTTAAATCTAAACATATTTTTCCAAAACTTGTTTAAGTTATTTGACTGAGCTCTAGAACGATCAAATATTAAATAAAATGATTTAGCCTGCGCAATTGCAAGATCTCTCACCTAATTGGATTTTTATGGGAGGAATTAAAAGAAATGTCAAAAACTAATTCTAAATGATGCATAAGATGAGGACAAAACTTATTAGTTAGTGGCATAAAATTGCCTTCGACAAACTGGATAAGTTGTTATGTAGAATGCCAAGAATATGTATGGTAGTTATTGACTCTGATTAAAAGGCAGGTAAATTATAAATTAATTTAATCAGACTATTATTAAATTTTTTGTAGACCTAATAAAAAGATAACATATAATTCAGGTAGACTTTGCTTACAGTTTCTCTCCCAATAGTAAGTAAAGCTATGATATCTTATTTTGAAAAGTACGACCATTCGAAAAATTATGGACGATAGTGTATATACATATATATACATATGTATATATATATATATATATATATATATATATATATATATATATATATATATATATATATATATATATATATATATATATATATATATATATATATATATATGTCCATACATACATAAATACTCTAATTTCAATATACATATATACTCTAATTTGAAGTTTTCATTTCTTTCCCTTTTTCAAATCATGCCTGATAATAAATTTCACACAAATGCGTATATATATATATATATATATATATATATATATATATATATATATATATATATATACATATAAATTAGTAAAAAAACTTATCAATTTTTTTCTTTAAAGAAAGAAATTAGATAAGTGTTTTTACTAATTTATTACTGCTCTGTTCTTTAAAAACATTTTTTTTTTTTTTTTTTTTTTTTTTTTAACATCTTCACTTCCAACAAGGCTGCAAGCAACCACTATAAGAGTTGGAAGTTACTGGAAGAGAAAAGACTAAATCTGTAGAGCAAGATAACGATTGACTGATGACTTAAAAGATTGCAAATTATATGAATCAGGAAAGCAAGATGAAGGAAGCGAATTCCAAAGAACTGATGTTCGAGGAAAAAAACTAGAAGAATAAGAGTTTTTGAAGCACTTAGGAACAGTCACAGAAAAAGGATGAGACTTAATTGAATGGCGAGTAACACGAGAATGAATTTTAGTAGATGGCACAAGGGACGCTAGCTCTTTAGAGCAGTGCCCATTATAGTATTTGTAGAAAAGAGAAAGAGAAGCAACATTACGACGATGTGACAAAGGTTGGAGATTGGCTGCCAGAGCAGGTCCAACTATGTTTACAATTCGTTTTTGCACCTTGTCTAAAAGAGAAAGAGCATCATTAGAAGATCCGCCCCAGATGTGGCAACAGTATTCCATACAGGGACGGATTTGAGATTTATAGAGATAGAGAATAGAATCTGGAGTAAGAAAGTGTCGAGCTCGATAAAGAGATGCAACCTTAGCAGATGCTAATTTTGCAATGGATTTGATATACGGTTTAAAAGAAAGATCAGAAGTAAGAGTTAATCCTAGAAGATGAATGGTAGATGACTCATCTAGTACATTACCATTCATAAATATAGGAAGATCTAAATTATTACGATAACGATTGGCCGAATAAAATTGAGTTTTATCTGAATTAAAGTTCACCAGCCACTGTGAGCCCCATGCTGTAGCAGAAGTGAGATCCTTTTCAAGCTCAGATACCCCCTCCAAGCAATCAGAGAGTGTAGGCTTCTTATCATGACAAGAGTAAATGGTAGTGTCGTCAGCGAATAATGCCACCTTAGATGTGAGAATATCTGGAAGATCGTTAATGTAAATTAAAAAGAGTATAGGGCCAAGGATTGAACCTTGAGGAACCCCTGAAGTTACAGGATGTGAAGAAGAGTGTTGTCCATCGAGGACAACTTTTATACTACGATTGGAAAGAAAGGACTCAATAATCTTAAAGACGTTACCAGCTACACCATAAGAAGAAAGCTTATGGAGAAGACCAGCATGCCAAACTTTATCAAAAGCTTTAGAAATGTCAAGTGCGATAGCCTTAACCTCTCCACCTCTATCTAATGCACGGTAAAACCTATCGGTTATTACTGTTAGCACATCAGCTGTAGAACGAGAAGACCGAAATCCATATTGATGGTCAGAAAGTAAGTTATTTGATTCAAGATGAGAGATTAAGTGTTTGTTAATTAAAGATTCAAAAACCTTGCTTATGACAGGAAGAAGACTAATGGGACGGTAGTTAGATGAATCAGATCGCTCTCCGGAATTTTTGAAAATAGGGATAACAGATGCTGCTTTCCAGCATGATGGAAAACAAGACTCTGATAAGCACTTGTTAAATAGTTTAGAAAGTATGGATGAAAGCTCCGGAGAACACCTCTGCAAAACTACAACAGGACTGTTGTCAGGACCACAAGCTGTTGAAGAGTCTAAGCAGGAAATTACTTTAGATACAGAAGCTGAAGTGATGCGAATGTCAAGCAAGGGATCAACCTGTTTGACGGCTATGTCAGGTAAAACGCAACTAGTGGAATCAAGAGATGATATTGATGAAAAGTTCTTAGCAAACAATTCAGCTTTGTCTTTAGGTGAGGTGACAAAGTCTGAACCATACAAGAGAGAAGGAATAACAGATTTGCCCTTATTATTGATACTGTTAAAGATTCTCCAGAAGTCTCGAGAGCCTAATTTTTGTGATGAGATACGAGATTTAATGACCTGGGAATAGCGAGTTTTGGCGTCAGACAAAACCTTTTTACAATGGTTTCTGGCGATAGTGAACAGATGTCTGTTTTCTGGAGAATTGTTTTGCTGATAGATATGGAAGTAACGGTTTCGATTAGAAATTGCTGCAGCGCAATGTGAGGAAAACCAAGGAGAAGAGTGAGGCTTAACCTGGAATCGTCGAGAGGGAATAAAAGATTCCATGCCAGCCTGAATCCACGAAGTTATGTAAGAAGCACATTTGTCAGCAGGAAGACGAAAGATTTCTACCCAAGGGCCATCACGAAGAAAATCACGGAGGGAGTCCCAGTCAGCTTTAAGGTAGTTGTATGTGGTACGATGATAGGGGGATTCTGATGAAGTAGAAGAATTTGATAATAGTTTTAGAGAGATCAAACCGTGATCAGAAGTACCTAAGGGTGAATGTGGAGAAATTGAGCACTGACTAGGATCCAAAACAAGACATAACTCGAGTAGAGAAGGTAAATGATTAGGGTTGTCTGGAAAACGAGTTGGAAAGTTGACTATTTGAGTTAGAGATTGAGAAAGGCAAAAGTTGAGGGCCTTATCGCCAGCAGAGTCACTGACACTAGAGCCAAGCCAATCGGTGTGATGGGCATTAAAGTCACCAACAACGACGATATTGGCCGATGGATAAAGAGAGAGGGCTTGGTCAATTTGATCAGAAATAACATCAAGAATAGTGCAATCTTGGGATGAAGGAGAGCGATATAGAACAAAGAGAAAGGCGATAGAGTGAAGTTGTGCTAAACGAAAGCACATAAATGAATAGTCTGTAGATTCAAACCTAGTTTCACGACAAATGGGTGAGTTCTTACGAATGTAGATGCCCAGGCCAAGCATGTGATTATTGGAGTCTTTACGAATTAAAGGAAGATAACCATCAACACTAAGATCACAAGATGGGACAGCCAAACTTAAATTAGTCTCACAAAGAGCAAGTAGGTCTGGTGAACTTTGCAAGAGATAAGACTTAACAGAAGAAAAGTTACTTCGAAGACCACGAATATTAGTAAATGATAGGTTTAGAGAACTTGGTGATGACAATGGTTTTTTGTGTTTTTTAGTTTTAGGTACTTTAGTCATTTTAAATTTATAAAGAACTTGACTCAAGTATAGATAGTACTCAGTACACTATTTAACAACTAAGCAATAGCCTCATTACTCTTAATAAACCCTAAGCCGTAACAAAGGGCTCCAAATGTGGCCTCTGCAATGCACACCAAAAGTACAAACAGGGACACCATCCATGCGCAACATGGCACTGTTAGCACTCTGATATTTTTCGGCTGTTGATGGAATCAGCCTCTCTGAGAGCTACCACAGAGTTCGGGAAACCTGACTACCAGCCGGCCTCAGAACCATAAAACTGAGTTTTAGAGCTGTACCCTCATTAGGAGATAATAGAATGAGTTGCCCAGTCATAAAAATAGAGACACAAGCAATACCCACGCATTGAGTCAAGAAGATCCAGCGTTCAACATCCTAAACTGGAAACAATGTATTAAGAATACATCTGCGCCAGCCTAATAGATGAGGAAGGGGTGCGAGGCTGGTCAACAGATAGAATCTGTTTACCCCTTAAGTCTTTGCCTAGGAGGCCTTCTACAAGACAGCAGCTGGATGCATGTAACATCTGCCCAAGATGAGTATTTTTATCGAGACACCATCTCTAGCCTTTACTCAACCAAGAGCCCCAAGGCAGGGGGTGTTTTAATTCGGAGTTAACTTCTCCTAGCCTTTGCCTAAAAAAGCGTATCCTACAAGGCAGCAGGACATGGAGCAGGTTGTACTGGGTTACATGTTACCAGTAGCAGGAAAACCTGACCTGACCTTAATTTAGTACTTTATTTGTAGAATTCACTAAAAATATATATATCAGGCTTGGACAAGAATGGTGTGCAATCGCATGTCATTGACCACATTCTTAATTTTTTTTTTACAATTTGACCATGGTGGTTTTGATGTTTTAACAATTTAAAAGCTATAAAAAAAAATTTTATGTTATGAATAACTTTTAACCGTTGATCTTTTCTAAAGTTTTTATTTTATGCGAAGGGTTTAAATAAAATAATAAACTAATTATAGTGATGATTTAAAGTCAACGTATTTTGTGTAAATTAACAAACAATATTTAAATTTTTTTTATGTAGACGTACTTTTTATGATAAATTTAAATGTTTAAAACTATATTTTTTATGTCTTTAAAAATATTCTGAAAGATAATTTTTTAAGTTACTTCAATTTATGAATAATTGCATAAGTATTTATTTTGGAAAAAATAAATACTTATGCAATTCAAAAATAATATATAAAACACTTTTAAATAATTTAAATAAAATTTGTTTATTTATTAAACAACCATTAGAAGTAAATTTTTTTGTTTAACTTTAATAAAACATTTTTAAAGATATATAAGTTTTAAAGTAATTTATTTAAAAAGCAATTAAAAACGTAACAAATAGTAATTTTTGCTTCAAGTTTGAGTTTTATCTCAGCGTTTATATTTTTTTTTTCATAAGGAATTGTTTTCTTTTTTGCGATTTTTTATTTTAATTTTCTTTTTAGTATACATTTAGCTAGTGTTTCTTTTTTTAGCGCATTTTGAAAATGTTTAAAAATCATCTAAACAGTTGTGGTTATGTTGTCAGAAAATAAAATCATTTGTCTGGTTAACAATAGCGCTTGATTGCACGCCATTCCTGTCCAAATCTGATATATATATATATATATATATATATATATATATATATATATATATATATATATATATATATATATATATATATATATATATATATATATATATATATATATATATATATATATTATGTTAGTGTATATATAAATATCAGTCTTTCACAGGAAGATGTGTGATTGTATTTATATGAAAAAAAACATTTTAAAAACATGCTGAATAAAAAATATTCTGAATTTTACCTTACATGAAATAAATTACATCGAAACTTTTAACAAACGTTTTTAAATAATAATAAAATAATATAACAATTTACTGATAATGTTTTTTTTTAAAAGTAAATTGACAGTTGTATATATATATTTTTAATTTATAATATATAAATTGGTAAAGTGTGCACTTTTTATAATAAACGCTATTAAAAAATGAAAAATTGTTTTGTTTTTGTATTTGATTACACGTCTTCCTGTGAAACACTGATATATATATATATATATATATATATATATATATATATATATATGTATATATATGTATATATATGTATATATATGTATATATATGTATATATATGTATATATATGTATATATATGTATATATATGTATATATATATATATATATATATATATATATATATATACATATATATACATATATATATATATATATATAATATATATATATATATATATATATACATATATATACATATATATATATATATATATATATATATATATATATATATATATATATATATACAAATATATATATATATATATGTATAGGAAAGTGCTAACTGAATATATAAATCTTATTTGATAATTAAATGCAATTGTATACAATTACATTTAATTAAATACAATTGCATGCATGTTTGTAGCAAGTCCCTAAATTTAAAGTCCTACATTATGCATAATATCAAACTTTTTAGCTGTTTCAAAGGAAAGTTAAAAAATAATTGTAATGCTTGGTTTAATTAAACATACATTTGAATTCAAACACCACCTTCTTCACCACCTTAAGTGCTGAAATATCATATATAACCTTTGTTTGACCACTTCTCGAATATGCAGCACCAATCTGGAATCCATCAAAGAAATACGATATAGCAGCTCTCGAAAAAGTTCAAAGAAGAGCAACTTAAACAAAAAACCTCTCGTATTTAAGTTATAAATCACAATTAAAAAGGTTTAATATTACAACCCTAGAAACTCGAAGGTTAAGAGGAGATTTTTTTTTTTTTTTTAATTTTAATTCACCTCCTCAAGGCCGAGAAGGCCACTACAGACGAGGAGGCTAATAAATTTAATAGAGTGCTTTAAAATTATTCACGGTTTCATACAAGTTAAATGGTGTATACCTACATCAAAAATAATAGTAAGACCTGATTAGTTAATGGAACAATTTGCATACAAAAAAAATCCCATTCGATTCAAAAAAGAACTAATAAAGGAATGTTGTCCAGTAAGAGAGAATTTGAATTAAATTTTCTTGTTACAATTTTTGTTAATGTAACTTCTTCAAAAACTGTTTTAAGTTTATCTTGAAATACATAACAGAATTTCTCAGATACAGAGTTTATTATTTGTCATATTTCCATTACTCCAACAGACAATATTTTATTTTGGTTACCATCGTTTGTTGTTGTATTTGATAGTAATACTAGTGATTAGTTTTAATGAGACCATCTTTATTAAGTGGATAATTTTGGTCATTTTTCCACAACTCTAAGTTGTTTCTATATTTATAGAGAATTTTATTTTAAAAATACCCATTCCATGACAATTTCATTTTAAAATTCCATCTGGACTTGCACTTAGGATAATCAGCATCAATGTACAAACTTGCAAAAAACAGTAAGGTTTTGGAAAAGATTTATTTTTTGTAGAGATATTGCATTTAAAAGTTTACATTTTGCAAATTTTTCCATTTTAAGATTATAATCTGTTAGAATATAGCAAACAATTTCAGAATATTACATTATTTGATTTATAAAGACTTGTTTTACTCTATTTTATAAACAGATTCAGCATTTTATAAACAGATGCAGTCCAGCCCTGTGGATTTTTCAAGAAGTGTTTTTCCTTTAATTTTTAGACAAATTTTCATTAGTATTAGGTTGATTTGGATGAAATTTCATAAACAATTTGAGTGAAACTTGATTTTTCAGTAATTTCATCATAGCTTTCATTAATAAGCAATGAGCAGTAATTGGTTTGGCCTGAACTTTAGGAGTAAAGCTCATTTTCATGCAGTGTCTGTTATATTACAGTTCTCTCTATCATCAATTTACTAACAAACAATTTTTAAAACAACAGCTTTTGATGCTAATTTATGTAAATTTTGATTTTCAATTTTGATACGAATTCTTTGTTTTTTCTATAGCCTAGCTGGATCGATAAAAGTATGGATTAATGGATGTATATCCTGTTGATTATAAATTTATTTTACTTTTAAAAATTTGTAAAGTATTTTTTGATAATGGTTAACAAAATTCAACACATTTTAACGCGCTGGTTTCACTTTAGTCTGAGACTTCTATTCACATATATCACATTTTTGCACAAGCGCTTTAGAATATAAAAACAAAGCAACCCATCTATATATATAATATATACAATTGTTATATATAAGCATATATAACAATTAATAATTTATATATAAAGAAACAAAGAAGCAATTTTAAAATATTCAAGAAATATTCAAATAAAATTTAAAAACACTTTCTTAGTTTATATTATAATACTACAAAATATCTAATATTAATAATATGAGATGTTATAAATATAAACTTTTAGAAAACATGTATTTCTATAATTTTTATCAATGAAATGAATACTATATCAATCAATCAATATATTTCACACACAAAAAAATTCTGTTTACAAAAAAGTTCTGTTTATAACGCTAAATTTTTCACTTACCATTTTGTTAGCGTCATACTTTTTACTGTGCATAGATGTTTTTAACTATTTATTTTTTAAATGAAAAGCAAAGTTTTTTATTGGTTATAATGATCAAAGGCAATTACCTCTATTAAAGCTGTAACCAGTATATGCAAATGCTATAATTGGATCACCATGATATGTACATTCTAACTCCATATCAATAACAATATCTATGTTATTGCCACTATTTATGTTACCAACATCTAAAAAGTTTTTAATAAATTTAATTTTTTAATTTCTTTTTATTTACAATACATATATATTATTTACAAGGAAAATACTTTAAATAAGTGAAAAGATTGAATAAAAAGAAAGGAAAAATAACTTAAAAAAAGTTGAAAAAAAAGATGTTGTTAAACACAATAACAGAAAATAATAATAAAAAAACAACTTAAAAAATACAAAAAAAGCTCTAGTTTATTTCAATTTCAATTTTTTAATTTAAATCTGTTTTTAACTTTTTATTTTAATTTCTTTTTAATCAAAAAGTAATTAAAGAGAATGTAAAGAAATCAAACAGCTATTTTAGTATATAAATCTATCTAGCATTCTATACTTTTTTTTTAGGTTCTTTATATTTTATTAATGGAGTTTTTTTATTTGGTTTGCTTTATGTTCATTACCATTTTTGTTGCTTGTTATTATTTTTTTTCTTAATCTGAGCTTTTCAACCACATCTCCTTAATCATGATCTTATTTGCTTATTCTCTCTCATATTATCTCATTTAATAACTCATACCATTTATTCTCTCTCATATTATCTTATTTAATAACTCATATCATTTATTCTCTTTCATATTATCTCATTTAATAACTCATATCATTTATTCTCTCTCATATTATCTCATTTAATAACTCATATCATTAATTCTTGTTATTCATTATTATCATTGTTATTATAGTCTTTTTTGTATTAACTGATTTACTCCCAAAAATGCTGCATGCCACTATAAAGTTGGAAGTAACTAAAAAATAAAGAATACTGTTAAAGAGCAAGATACCAAATAACAAAAGACTTGGAAAGATTAGAGAGTTTCAAGAGAGATTCAAGATCTGCTTCCTGTTCTAAGCAATTGAAAAGATAAGACTTTTTGTCAAGATATAAAGTTGAGTCATCAGCAAAGAGAACCACTATAGATGTAAGATTGTCAGGAAGATAAAACCAAATAAAATTCAGATAAAACCAAATTTTTTTTAGCCAATCGTTACCACAATAAATTAGATCTTCCTATATTTATGAATGGTAATGTACTCGATGAGTCATCTTCTAGGATTAACTCTTACTTCCAATCTTTCTTGGAAAACATATATCAAATCTTTGGCAAAATTAGCATCTGCTAAAGTTGCATCTCTTTATCGTGCTCAACACTTTCTTACTCCAGATTCGAACCATTATCACATCATCATAATGTTGCTTCTCTTTCTCTTTTCTACAAATACTATAACAAGCACTGCTCTAAAGAGCTAGTGTCTCTAGTGATATCTACTAAAATTTAGTGCAAATTCTTGTGTTATTCGTTATTCAATAAAGTCTCATCCTTTTACTGCGACTGTTCCTAAGTGCTCCAAAATTTCTTATTTGTCAATTTTTTTTCATTGAACATCAGAATTTTGGAATTTGTTCCCTTCATCTTCATAAAATTTGCAATCTTTTAAGTCGTCTGTCAACCGTTATCTCTTGCTCTATAAACTTCATCATTTCTCTTCCAGTAACTTCCAACTCTAATAATGGTTGCTTGTAGACATGTTGTAATTGAAGATGTTAAGAAAAAAAAAAAGATCATTAATGTAGGTTAAAAAAAAATACAGGACCAAGGATAGAATTTTAAGGTACCCCAGAAGTTACTGGAAACGAAGAAGGGTGTTGACTTTCAAGGATGACTTTAATGCTGCCATTAGAAATAAATGACTTAATAATCTCAAAAACATTCCCAGATACACCATATGAAGCAAGGTTATGGAGAAGACCAGCATTCCAAATATTATTGAAAGCTTTTGACCAGTCAAAATCAACAGCTCTTACCTTGCCGCCTTCATCTAACGCACAATAAATTCTTTTAGTTACAGCAGTTAGCTGTAGAACAAGAAAACTATAATTAGAGTCGGGATGTTAAAAATTTGTTGATTAAAGACTCAAAGATCTTGCTAATAATAAAGAGAAGATTGGAAAAAATGAGGGGTCAGAATGGAATTTTTGAAAATTGAAACCACAGATACATTTTCCAGCAGGCAGAAAAGCAAGACTCAGCCAAGCATTTATTAAATAGTTTAGAGAGAATTAAAGAAAGTTCTGGAGAACAATTTTGTAAGACTATGACTGAAATATTGCCTGGACTGCAAGATGTAGAAAAGTTTAATCAAGAAAAGACTTAAGCAACTGAAGGCAGAGTGATTTGGATGTTTAACAATAAATTAACCTGTTTAACTGGAATGGTAGGAAGAGTACAACTATTAGATTCAAAAGTTAAATTATAAGGAAAAGTTATAGATAGCAAATAGGGAGAGGTAAAAAGAACCTATGAATTAGAGATAGAAGGTTCCACATACCTTTGTTAATGACTTTGTTGAAAAATTTCCTAAATTTTCAAGAGCTTTACTTATTTTTTGTATATATAGTTCGCATCAATTCTAGGAGAATTGATGTGTAAGTATATGCCCAAGCCAAGAATGTGAATATTGAATTATTAATGAGATTTAAAGATAAAAAAACATTCAAAGATAAAAAAACAATTAAAGACTAATCAAGATAAAATCATAGATAGAGCAGGACACTCTAAGCTATGAGCTAAACGAAAAGAGACATAAAGATCACTTTACTTAATGAAAAGCCCTAAGACAGGGTATTTTAAGTCAGAGGTATTTTATTTCTCTCTTTAATCCTAGTAAAGCAAGGAGTACTATATCCCACTATTTGCCAAGTAAAGCAAGAAGAACTGGATTACATGTTACCAGTAACGGGGTGATCATTATGATCCTGAACCTGACCTGGAGTAGTTAAAATAAGTTACTTCTTTATGAAGTACTTCAAAACATTGAACAGAGCTTTGACACAATAATTTTGGACTATCAGGCTGGCTTCAGTGATGTTGGAACTACTTAAAGCTGGCTGTGCAAAAGATCAGCTGTTCATTTTCTGCACTATAATGCAGCTTGAACACAGCAGTCCTTTGTCTCTCCTATTTGCACTGTTAAAGCTAAAAAGTTGTTTTTTCTTCGAAGTCAAATATTTGTGTTGGGTGGACATGAAACAATTATTTTAATTGTATAAGGCACTCCACGAGGTATGCACTAATTAAAAAACAAAAATATTTCATTAATTATAAATGTTTGTTTTAAATTAACTTAATACAGAAAAGTTTTTATAAAATTACAAAACTTGCTTTAAAAAAAGAGATGAGCTAGAAATTTCACAACACTCCACTTTTATTTACATTGTGTTCGCATGTACTTAGTATTATTTTTGTAATTTAACATTCAAAACAACCTACTAGTACCAACTTCCCTTTTGAGTCTTTTTTTATATGACAGCTGCAAAATGTTGTTATTGAGACATCTTGAAAAATGAAAGTAAAATTATTTAATTATGAGTTACACTTGTACAACTTTGATTATAATCGATGCCTAGAAGCTTTATAAAAAATACTAAAAGTAGAAAAGGACAGTAACAACGCTTTCTTCTAAACAGTGCGAAGATTAAGTTAGAAAACACCAGTATTACCATTTTCCAATCTTTAAGAAATAACTGCTTTCCTTTTTTTTCTTGTTTTATATTTTAAACTTAATATTTAGCTATTTTTTTAATGACAATAATATTATGAAATATTTTTCGTTAAAAAAGTTAGTAACTTCATAAATAAATTTTAAAAAAATTACATATAAATCAAAACACAAACATTGTACACACTCTGTGCAGATGTTTTTAACGCTTTTAAGTATTTAAAAAAAAGAATTAATAAATAAATAAATACATACAAGTAATTAATTTAAGTATTTAAAAAAAAAATAAACAAATACATAAATAAAGCATAAGTCAATAAATAAAATTGTATTTTTAGTGTATTTATACAATAATGAAAATTTATTTATGCAGTAAAATAAATGTATTAATACAATATGTAACTTATACAGAAATCTTCAAAAGTCATATTCTTTCAATACAACAATCTACTGTATAAATACACATATTTTTATTAAAATAAATTTTATTAAATAAATTTTGTTTAAAATTTGGTTGCTGTACACGGAATTTTGAGATAAGACTTGTCACAAAAGAATATTTTGCAAACAATTTGGAAATAGATAGAATTTTTTTTTTTTAGCGAATTCTTAATCATTAACCTCAAAGCATATTTGCCACAAAATTTCAGGCAAATCAAACAGCGCTTTCAAATTTCATTGACTGTATAAATGGCGATTTGTAAGTGTGTTTTACATTAAACAAAAACTTTTTTTATATTGCAATATTTAGATATTTATTAAAGAAATTTTTTTTATCATATGCTAACTAATTCATTATATACAACATTAGTCTCTCGGTCATAGATTAATTGCAAAAGCAAATAAAAAACTTTTTTCTTATAAAAAGGGAGAAGTGTTTTTGTTTAAGAAAATTCTTCTCACTAATGTTTTTAAAATTAAAGTAAAGCTACCTTTTAATGAAGACTTAGCGGTAATGTGTGGATTAAATATGAAAATTCCACCAAGAAACTTCGGTGGATTAGTAGTATAACTTATTAAAACACCAGATTCGTCTTTTTGATTTTCTAAAATATAAAAAACAATTTATTTAATTTTTTTTTAATTTTCAATTTTAATTCTTTTTATATATAAAAATATATAGAAAAATGTATTACTTAAAATTACATTAAATACAAAGTAATTATTATACATTTTATTAACCATTTAATTTTTAAATGTATATATGTTTCTTCAGATTAACAAAGAACATTTTTAAACATTCTTTTTAAATTAAAACTTCATTTTCATTAAACACATCAAAACATCTTATATCAAACCTACAGCTAAAGTACATACACCACTAATAAACTATATGTAGCACCAATACACCATACTATTGCACCAATGAAGTTGTCTACATTTACTTTACTACCCCACTGATTAATTCTTATTTCATATATAATGTTCATTACTTTTTACACAAAACTATAGTTCTTTGTTTATTACTTGTTTTGTTCATTTGATTTTCATTAAATAAACTAAACTAACAAAATCTAAAAATTTTTAGATTTCTTTTCTCTCCAATTTTTAATTTTAGAATCAAGTTTTATTTTTCTTAATTTTTTTTTGGCTCAACAAGTTTTAAACTTAATTTTTTTTTTTTTTACATTACTTTTTTTTTTTAATTCTCTTGGAGTTTTTTATTTGTCATTTAATAAGTTGAATTAGATTCTTAACTTCATTTAATGTGTTATACATTATCTCATTTTTAATGTTTAAATTTATATTTGTCTGTTTTTTTAATATAAGTATTACTTAGGGTAACTCCATGTCAAACGACCCAGAAATTTTTAAAATTGTCACCCTATATCTCAGAATTTAATGATTTTTATACAGTTGAGAGTACTTATTAAAATAAGAATTCCTTGAAAATTTAAGTCTCTGGCTCCAAGAAAATCCTGAAATATAACCAATTTAACTTTTAGCAGATACTGGCCAGGCCACTTTTGTCCCCTTAGAATTGCAACATCTATTTAAAAGTTTGAAGTCACATAACTTTAAAAATATTTGGTATTTTTACTTAAAAATATGTAACAGGCTATTTCAGGGGTAGCAAATCCAATGAAATAATCAGAAATGTAAAAAATTATTTTTAAGTACCTGTATTTATCAGTATAAATAAATTTAGGCAATTTTTTATATACCAGATTTTGATGCTCAAGAAACCCATGTAGCCTCGGTGGTATCAAAAAAAATCACACATCATTCTATATTCATTGATCTTTCAAAAAATATAAAGATTTTAATCTGCAAGTATATGGATTTCCATAACGGAAATCCATATACTTGACAGGATAATGGTACTTGATCCCCACTTTTTTGTAGCAGAATATTGCAATTGACTCACTAACTTTCAGACAAGCTGGAGCTCTGAAACTTTTGGCATTTCTGTAGTGCCAATGAACATGCATGTTGAAGTTTTTTTAAGGCCCAAGACACCAGGGGAGTGGGGCTGGGTCATGGGTCCACTTTTTTGAAGCAGAACTTTGTGATAGATTTTTCACTACTTTTCAGACAAATTGGAGCTCTGAAACTTTCAGCATTTGGGTAATCCTGATCAATGTGTGTTAAAATTGTTTCCAGAGTAGATGACCAGAAGGTCCATAAGGCTGGGGCACTAAGGGTCATGCCAAAAAAATTTTTTTTTTTTTTGCATTTTTAATAAAGTAAAGATAATTTTGAAAATATCGTCTTCAAAAATGTTTTTTTATATTTGTTTTTTTTGTCCCGTTTTTGATCATCTGTATGTTTTGACCTGTATTCAATGATCTTTCTTAAAATGTTTTAAGAATGGATTAAAAACATCCATATAAAATAATGTCATCCATATAAAATAATGATTTTAACAGAATTTTACATTGTATAATTTAAACCGCTTTGAATCAAAAAGAAAACAGGTATAACAACATTGATCTGTCAGATAACAACAATTAAAGAATACAAATTGTTATCAGAGGCAATAAACAAGTTAACAGTTCATTCCCACGTTGCAAAATGTCAAGCAAGATACCTAAGGCAACAAAAAGAAATTTTGGCAAAAGACTGCTTGCCGTCTTTTGCAGAAAACTACACTTTTGCGATTCAAGGTGAAATCTTAAGTTACCATTGGTGCCAAAGTCAATGCGTGCTAAACCTTGTTGCCTTCTATTTATTAAACGAAATTGACCAGCTTAAAGGAAAATCATTTTGCATCATGTCAGAAGATAATGAGCATGACATTGGTTTTGTCTAAGAAGTTAGACATAAATAGTTTATTATTATTTCAAAGATTCTTTATTTATGGTTGTGCTGCACAGAATAAAAACCACAAAAACTTTTACAATATCTGTCTCCATAAAGGTGATTTTAATATTGAAGCAGAATGGACATTTTTGCTACAAGTCATGATAAGTCACCATGTATTGGTGGCACTGTAAAATGATTAACTACAAATGCAAGGAATTATGATCTATCAACATTTTAACTCAGAATCTGTAGATGCTATTAGTTTTAAATGAACAAGTGAAGATTTTAATATAACAGGCATGTTTTATTTTTCTGATACTTAAAATATTTAACCTAATCAGCAAAATAATATCAACACATTGAAAATTAACATTAATGCATTGAATTTTGGTGAATTTGTTCTGTGTAAATATGATACATTTGATTGTATTGGTATGAGCAAGATGTTATGGTAGCATTATGCGCCCACATGGTCCTTTTAAGAAACTTTTTTGACCATCTAGAGCAGATGAGTGTTGGGTTCCAATTACCAACATAATTTGTACCAATGATGCACCTACAGCAACAACTGGACGTATGTATACTTTGACAGTTGACGCTTCTAAGCAAATCTTAACACAATCTTAAGAATTTATACTTTTGTATTTTATTTTGTAAACAATTAAATAAAACAGAACAAGTACAAACCAAAAAAATTTTTAAAAACAATATCATCTTTCTTTTATTAAAAATGCAATAAAATTTTTTTTTTTGAGAAAATAAGTGGGGTATGGCCCCAGTGCCTTGGACCATGGAACCTCTGGCCGCAATTTTAACACCCGTTCATTAGGACTACACAAATGCTGAAAGTTTCAGAACTCCAGTTTGTCTGGAAGGTAGTAAAAAATATATCACAAGATCCCGCTACAAAAAAGTGGGGCACTTGCCCCAGTTCCCCCTAATGTCTTGGGACCCTGAAAACAATTTTAACATGCACATTCATTGGCACTACAGTTAGTCTGGAAAATAGTGAAAAGCCAATTGCAACATTCCGCTAACAAAAAAGTGGGAACCCTGCCCCATTATACATATATGGAAATCCATATACTTGCAGATCAAAATCTTTATATTTTTTGAAAGATCAATGAATATAGAATAATGTGTAATATTTTTTTTTTTGATATCATCAAGGCCGCATGGGTTTCTTGAGCATTAAAAACAGGTATTTAAAACATTGCCTAAACTTATTTAAATTGATAATTACAGGTACTTAATAATAATTTTTTACACTTTTGATCATTCCATTGAATTTTTCACCTCCAAAAATAGCCGGTTACAAGTTCTTAAGTAAAAAAAACAAATATTTTTAAAGTTATGTGACTTGAAACTTATAAATAAATGTTGCAATTATAAGGGGACAAGAGGGCCAGTATCTGCTAAAAATAAAATGGTCATATTTCAGGATATTGTTGGAGCCAGAGGCTAAAAATTTCAAAGAATTCTTATTTTACTAAGCACTATCAACTGTATAAAAATCAGCAAAATCTGAGATGTATGGTGACATGACCTGGGTCAGTTAACATGGAACTACGGTTTAGCAAGTACAATAAGTATGACGATGAAGAAATTGAAAAAGAAGAAAAAGAGGAAGAAGATGATAATCATCATTATCATCATCATCATCATCATCATCATCATCATCATCATGAGTTACATTTAAAATGCTTTCAAATAAATATATTTTTAGATATAAGTAGAATAAAAATTGATTATTTAAAGATTTGTTTTATTTTTTAAACTTTATATTAATTCTGTAACTTATTATAAGTTGAATTTTAATTTTGATAAGAATGATAAAATAGGAAGAGCCAATATATGCATCAACATCATTATAAATATTATTTTGCTAAGAATGCTTTTAGACAAAGCATTTGAAAGGACTACTCAGTATTTTTGTTATTAGATATTTGCTATTTAATTTATTAGTGAAACTGAAATTTCTAATGCTTAAGATATTTTAATTGTTGAGTTTTTTCATTACTTTTAACATATTGTAACTAAGACTAATTTTCTCATTGTTAATTTTTTTTTTATGTTTCTTGGTGAGTAGTAACCTTAGCTATAATCACCTTGTTAATTATGGTTTATGTAGTTTCTATGATACTATGATGATATTTTATGTAATTATACAACATATTTGTAATCAGAGATGATAATGCAAAGTAGCTTTCTGCTGAAAAGCTGACTTTTTAGGGAGGCGGAAGCTGTTGGCGGCGGCCTCCCAATCAATTTTTAGCTGCAAAATGTTCTTCCTTCCGCCTCCAGTAGCTTCTGCCCTTCAAGTGTCGACCGTAGCCAGAGTTATTTTTTGGAGGCAAAATGTCTTGGAGGTCGACGCCATTAGGGAGTCTAAGCCATTGGTGGTCGCTTCCAGAAAAAATTGTGAAGGCAGAATCATTTGGAGGCAGCTTCCAATGGCTTTTGCCTCCCAACTGGCTGCGGCTGCCAAATTGGAGGTGGAAATATTTGCCTTCAGCCGGCGAATGTAATTAAAAATAATTGCTCATTTGCTTTAAAGCAATTAAATATTAACTAGAAACAAATGCTATTTGACATCAAGTTTCATTTTATATGATTATTTTGGTTTTTTATTTTAATTGATAAGTTTGGAGTATTTAAAAAAATTCAATTTTTTTTTTTTTAAATTAATAAATTAAGTAGAATAAATTAAAAGTTTTATTATTCAAAACAAAATTTAAAAGTTGGATAACGTTAAATAGTTATTTTTAGTAATTGGATATTGCAAAAGTTATTGAAAAAAATCTGCTAACGTTTATTAAAAATTTGCGACCACGCTGAATTACGCTAATAGTTTTGCCAAATTACAACAAAAAAAAATAAAAGTTATAAAATTTAAATATATATACTTTTATAAATATTATTTATGTTTTACTCTATACTTTTAAAACGTTTTAAAATATAGACTCACTTTTACACGTTTTAAAGTTTTAAGCGATTAAAGTTTTAAAACGTTTAAAAGTTAAAAATTTATTTGAAAGTCCTAGAAAAACAACCGCTCTGACAAAATTATAATTTTTTTTTCAAAAATTTTTTAAATAGTCAATAAATCATATAAAACAAAACTTTGATGTCAAATATTTAACATTTGTTGTCAGTTAATATTTTAATTTCTCGTTAACTTATTTTTTAATACATCCGCTGGTGGGAGGCAAATATTTCCGCCTCCAATTTGGCAGCCGCAGCCAGCTGGGAGGCAGAAGCTATTGGAGGCGGCCTCCAAATGGTTTTATCTCCAAAAATTTTTCTGGAGGCAGCCACCATTGGCTTCTTCCTCTCTATTGGCGTCGGCCTCCAAACCATTTTGCCTCCGAAAAAAAACTTTGACTGCAACCGCCATTAGAAAGGCAGAAGCCACTGGAGACGGAATAAAGAAAATTTTGCTGCTAAAAATTAATTGAGAGGCAGATGCTATCTGCTACGGAAGAAAAGTGGAGGCGAGAATATTTACACCGTTTATCAACACTGTTTGTAATAAAATATTTCTTTTTGGTGATAAAGTTATTCTTAAGATTACAGACATTATTGACTTTTAACAACTGGAAGTTGCGAAGAAAGGTCAATGTGTAGAGCAGAATCATTATTCTTGCCAGCCAAGTGGTTTTACCAAGTTATAGTATTACTTAAAAGCATTTAGTTCCAAATGGTGTTACTAACTTAGAGATAACAATGTCTGTGAATATGTAGTGTAATGTGTACTTACAATTATCTTGTGCCCTGTGTTATTGTTGTACATTGTTGTGATGTCATAGTTGTGATGTTTTTCGTCAATAGACAACATAGCTTACCTTCTTTATCAGTATCTATTGTTAAAAATGATTATTGGGCAGATAAATTATTGAAACTCTCTACTTAAAATTAATAAGTTTTTGAAAAATTTATTAATAATTATTTTTATAATTTATTTTTACTTTGTTTGTTTTATAGATGTGTTGCTTAACTTTTTTGATAGTACAGAAAACTGTGAGAAAAGCCTACAGCTAAATAGAGTTAACATATTTAATACACCTGTAGATACCAGCGATTTTCAATTTTTTTTAGAAAAATCAATTGCTTCAACCGGACATTTATTAGATCATGAAACTATAATGTGCAAAATTTGAAAGTTGCAAGTCTAATTCATTCTTATTTTAATTTTTTTTTTTTTTTACATATAATTCACAATGAAACATAAACTAGAGTAAATTACAATTAATAAATTTTTAAAACAGGTGTTTCCCGCTTTTTTTATATATAATGAAACATAAACAATTTATTTTTTAATTTTTATAGTTTTTTAGACATGTTTGGGTTTTGCAAAAATGTTTTCATAAAACCCATATATTTAGACTAACTTATGTAAATAGAAAATTTATTTAAAAAAATGATTTTAAATGTTGCAACTTATTTGGGTTTAGATTACAGTTAACAAAAAAAAATTTCAGATATTTTTGTTTTCAAGTTAAAAAAAAAAAAACATCTTTTTAGCTTGAAAACTTTAAATTAATGCAAAAAATTAAAAAAATTTTACCTTTGGAATGTTTTCATTTTGTTTACGTTTAACTTATTTTTAATGACACATTTCTTTATAATTCTACAAAAAATGGCGTCTTCAAAGCGGTTATTTATGTTGATTTCAAACTTATTTTTCAATAAGTTGGCTACTACTTAACACATACTTTTTTATAAACTAGCTTGAAGCAACTTAATACCAAAAATTGCTGGTACCTAATACCTAGCTCCATTAAACAGTTTTTTTTTCTTGTTTTTTTTTTTTGCTTGTTTTTCATATTTTTGTTATTATTTTGTAAATTTTGCTTTGTAGATTTTTTTTACTAAAAGTAATGGATATTTTGAGTCACTTTATTATTGTTCTATAAAAAAAAGTCATAAATTTTTAATAATTTTTAATAAAATTCAATTTTTAACTTGTTACAAAATCATGATAAGATTCTAGAATTATTAAAAAACTTATTCAATATAATAATAAACACAAATAACTTATGACTTTAAATTGTACTGAAAGTCCGCTATCACCAAAATACAAATAAATCCAAAATTAAAATTAATTCAAAAATATTTATTAGTGTTTTTAAAGGTGTTGTTCCTTGTGCCATTAAAATTTGTTCCACATTGTTAACATGTTAACATGTTAACATTGTTAACATTTGTTTCCACATTGTTAACATGTTTGTTGACCATTTTTATTCTAACGAACATTTTATTATTATACAAATAAAAAAAATAAAAAAATAACAATAAATTAAAATACATAAGATGAAGTGGGGTCCAAGATGAAGTGAAGTCCAACATTGACACATCTCTATAAAATATTTTTTTTTAACTGTGACAAACTAAATTTGGTATTCAATATTTCTATGTTTAACAATGATAATAAGCTTTAGTTCTGATAGTGTCTACTTAAAAATGTAAAAAAGTATGTTGATTTATGATAAAAAAAATTTTCTCTAAGAATTGTCAAACTATTAAGTTCTACATCATGATAATGAAGTCATTAATGTGATGTAGAGTTTAATAGTATAAAAAATTACAGCGCTGTGAGATTTTGTCGTAATCAGATATTTAGTCCTAAATATCTGATTACGACGAAATCCCACAGCGCTGTAATTTGTTACATTTTTTAGCGTTTGGTTTAATTTCAGAAACAAGATAATTTTTTACATTTTCAGTTTTTGATAGTTTGTTCTTACCAATATTATGCAATATTGTTAGGTGTGGATGTTAACCTTTTGCAAGTGTCAGTTTTTAAATCTGTTTACATTTGATGTATTGGTACATTTATTTTTATTTTTTTAGAATTACTCTTTTAATTTAAGGTTTGCTTGGTTTGATTCCATTTTATTTAATTTTAAAAGATTCATCAGATGTAACATTTTGCCAACTTTTGCTTGATTCTTGGCCAGTGGGGTGACTTGAGCATTCCTTTCAGTGTTACCCCAAAACTTAAATATGCATTTAAAAAAAAATCCTACAAAAAAACTTTAAATGCTTAGTATTTAGAAACAACATCATAAAAAACCTTATTAAAATGATATTATGTATGTTTTACTTATCTTTTCACTAAAATTTTTCATCAACAAAAAAACTAGAAATTAAGTTATATTTAACTTATGCCCTCCATATGGCGTTGTTATTTACATTTACTACTATGTGGATAAAAACAGTTGAGTTTGTTCATTTAACGCCTGACTACAACGTCTGTTAAATTAATTTAAACAATAATCAACAAGTGACTGGTAAAAGCATTTAGTCTAATACATGTCAAAACCCCGCGCCACCTTATAAAAAGACTAACTTTACAATGTTAAAATAATTTTTTCTACCCTTCCTCCTCCAGATTTTATTTTATTTAATATGTGAATGTTATTTTGAAAGTATTTCTAAGCTCAAACATTATTATTATTCTAGAACCCAGTATTTAAATGAACAAAAAAAAATTTCAAATGACAATAGGCAACACAACAAATAAATCTAAAGTACACAAAAATGAAAGTAAAAATAATAAAATCCACAAATAAAAGTATTTGTTTAATAAAAGTTATTGTAATTTCTTATATAAACCACTATTTTTTTAAAATGTTTTCTAAAACTTAAATAAATTTTAAATATTTAGATGTATAATGTAAGAATAATATATAAATATAATTCACATAAAAAATGAAATTTAACAACACACCTGAAATGAAGTTATTATAATGAACTTGCAAAACAAGGTATTCAATATTATTACTCATTCCTAATTGATAACCAACATCTAAATGTCACAAAATATAAATAATACAATTTTATATCATCTAAAGCAAAATAAAAATTAAAAAAAAAGAATATAGTACTGTGCAGACTTCATCGAAAGTGAATGTTCAAATTAATAAATTTGTTTTTTTAAAGGGGATTTTGTATTAATATTTTATTAGCTCACTTAATTTTTTCATAGTTTTTATGTATTTTGAAATCAATTTTGATTATTTATTTAACAAACATTCTTAGCTTACAATAATAAACCACTTACAAAGTTTTTTTGTAAATATTTTCCATTCATTGGGCAATTGTTTTTTCGTCGAAAAAATTTCTGTTATTTCATCATTTAGAAATTTATTTTTGTATAACAAGGCATTGTTGCGGACTTTAATTCACATTTTTTGTGCAACAGTAACTTTTATTATATTATGGTTAAAAATTTTAAGAAATTTATAAGACCTTTTTTCTAGGTTAGAAATATTTTTTTATATGGCAGAGGAAAGGGAAGCTGAAATTATATTTCTAGTTCTTAATTTAGCATTCTTGCATTAATTTGGCATTATATTATATTTCTTAATTTGGCATTCTTGTTTTCAAGATCAAATTTTAGTTCGAAATTCGAAAACCACTTCATTTAAGAGCATCTTTTTAAATATGCATGAAGGAATTAAATACATTTTCATCAGATGAATTCTAGTTTTACTTGTTATTAATTGAAGCTAATATTTGTTTAAGAATTTGGGGACGGTAGTTTGAGTTAACATTATTAAAAAATAATTTGTAGTTCCTTTATTTCAAAGTCTTTTATAAATTTTTAGAGAGGTTAAAATTGACAACAAGAAAATTCACAATTTTTAAATTTATTATTATTTCAATTTAAAAGCTTTTAAAAAATTGTATGTTATCTGCCATTATTGAGAGCTAAAAGTCATTAATGCCAAATTGAACAAATGTTTTTTATTTATTTTATTATTCCATGGTTATAACTCATTTATTTTTAAGAGTATTATTAATTTTGTCCAATTTTATTTTGCTTTCATGTCCAATCTCACTTTTTGAGGGAACTAATAACCTACAAAGAAGTTTGTTTTGAGAATTCTGTTTATTACCTTTTTATGTTAAAAAGCTTGGACAGAGGCAGGTGATTCAATTCTATTTTCTAGTTTGTTATTTAGCAATAATTTAAACTTTTAAGTTAATTGCATTTTCCAAATTTCTAGGGGCTTTTTTACAAGAATTAGTAATATTAAAGCATAGAATTTTCTCATAGTTTTTACTACAAAAAAGGTAAATGTTACTTGTTTTATCAGCAAAATCCAAAATATTAGGGTTTAATTTAATCTTTTTTTATATCTAATATCATTTTTTTTGGAATTTGTACGGAAGTCTGCACAGTACTTATACATGCTACTCTTTCACTTTTTATATATTATATATATACATAATAAATGTAACATTTAGTAATATAACTACTTTTTGGTAACTTGAATGGCAAAATATTCTTATTCCACACATAAAGTAGCAAACCATTCTGTTGAGCACATGGTATAGTTTGATCACAATCCCTAAAAAAGTAGTTGATATAATTAAGAATTGGTTTTAGTATATATACTGGTTTGATGCAAGTCTTGATACAGTACTGGTTTGATTCTGGTCTTGATACAGTACTGGTTTGATACAGGTCTTGATACAGTACTGGTTTGATACAGATTTTGATACAGTACTGGTTTGATACAGGTCTTGATACAGTACTGGTTTGATACTAGTCTTGATACAGTACTGGTTTGATACAGGTCTTGATACAGTACTGGTTTGATACAGGTCTTGATACAGTACTGGTTTGATACAGGTCTTGATACAGTACTGGTTTGATACAGGTCTTGATACAGTACTGGTTTGATACAGGTCTTACTTAGATAACATGTTGGTATTAGATACTTATTATTATTGTTTCTTGTTTTTGCTTTCAATAAAGATTCATGCTAAAACATATTTGTAATATATTACTTATACTATAAAATGTTTGTAATATATTACTTATACTATAACATGCTTATAATTTGTTACTTATACTATAACATGTTTGTAATTTGTTACTTATATTATAACATGTTTGTAATTTGTTACTTATACTATAACACGTTTGTAATTTGTTACTTATATTATAACATGTTTGTAATTTGTTACTTATACTATAACACGTTTGTAATTTGTTACTTATACTATAACATGTTTGTAATTTGTTACTTATACTATAACATGTTTGTAATTTGTTACACTATAACATGTTTGTAATTTGTTACACTACAACATGTTTGTAATTTATTATTTATATTATAACATGTTTGTAATTTGTTACTTATATTATAACATGTTTGTAATATATTACTTATACTATAACATGTTTGTAATTTGTTATTTATACTATAACATGTTTGTAATTTGTTACTTACATAGTGTTTCACAAGAAGATGTGTGATTGCACGTCTTTGTATGACCACGCATGTATGATTTTTGTTTTGCTGACTTGGCCACGGCTTTTAAATAGTTTAATAATTTAATAATTTTCGCGCATTTGAAAAATAGCGCTCAAAAACGAAAGTTAACTAAATAAAAATTAAAACAAAAAACCAAACAAACTGAAAAAAGAAAATAAATCTTAATCTAAGAGAAACTAAACAAAAATAAAAAAATAAGCTATAAAAATAAATTTTTATCTTTTAAATTTAAAAGCGTTTTACTTAAAGTTTTGCTTAAAGACTTGCATAAAGATCAAAGTTTCAAACTGATTTATAAACAAAAATTTTAATAATTTTGTTGCAGTAAGTTATAGCAGGAATGAATAGGCTGGTGTGGGGGGGGTTTATAGCACACCATGTTATCTAAAAATTCAATGCCATTTGATTTAAACCCCATTTTTGGAATTTAGACTTTAGTACTACTTTAAATATAATAAATCGTAGTATATTTTTACATTATACTTTTATAAACAGATCACATGCATATTTTGAGTTAAGAATAGTTCATTTATATTCAGTTATGAATAGTTTAAAAATATAAAATTGGTTGTTGAGTTGCCACAAAATAAAAGGATTGGAAAAATGAGGCTTAAAAAAAAGATGATCCAAGTTCATTAAATTCGACTAAATTAATAATGAATAAAAAAAGATATTAATGTCACTGTACATTGATAAAAATTAATTTTTAATAATTAATTTAATGATTAACTTTTTTTTTTTCAAACTTTTATTTCTATCTTAATAAAAAAATTTTTAAGTTTACATGTCTAATTCCAGTATATCAATTCTGTAGGTTAATACTGTAGTAACACTTAGGAATTTAACTTAGTAAAGAAAAAATAGATTTTTTATTTATGTTTTTTTTATGCGCCATCTGGATTAGAAATTTCTTGATCGATTTGATGTTTTTGAAATTTGCAATAGGTGGAGTTGGCCATATATTTTTAAGATCAGTATCCTGTTCAATAATATTCCAGTGCTTTTTTACTATTTTATTTATGAGTTTTCCAACTTTTCCAAATGTTGTAACCATCAGTAAAATTCTCTCTTTTTCTCTTTTTTCTTTATATTTGTTGTAGATAAGTTCGTGTTGTGTATGTCACAGTGCTTTTTTAATACCTATATGATTTATACAGCAATAATAAAATGATTTATACAGCAATAATAAAAATTTTTATAATAAAAAAACAGGTGCAAAACCTGCTACACAGTTTTACAATTTAAAAAATCCAAAATTGTTTTTTTTAAATTTTCTGGTTTTTTTCAAGCCTTAGTGCGGCTATCACATTAACTTAAACAACTAAATTATTTCCTATTGAAAAAATATTAGTGTTGTTATGACTATTAAATAATTAATTAGTATAAAATATATTTTCTAAAGTTGACTAAAATCAACTAATACAATTTTAAAATTAACTTAGTCGACTAAAAGTCGATTTAGTCAAAGTATGGGAATAATTTATTTTTTTGAAATAAATTATAATAAAAATAACAAAGTAATTTGTATTCACTTTTTTTAACATAAAATAAATTAAACAAAAATGGGGGAGAAAAGAGCTGCTCCAACAATGGGACAATCTATTCCAAAACCCTGATTTAGGGACCGCCATAAATAGTTGTTGTATATCAAAAAGGTTATTACAATCATATTTACAATATGATTGTATATATTAATGACACTCAGATTTTGAAGCTACATAACTTAACTTTTCCCGAGCCAGCTTGGAGCGACCTTGTATTTATGAAAATCACAATCATCAAGTAAACAATAAAACAAAGAAATATAATAACTCACATTCATCACTACAAAAAAAGAAATAACTGACCAAGCAATTGCTAGTACATGAACCAGAATAACCAATTGGTGTAATACAAATTATGTTCAAATCAACAGTTACACAAAAAGAAGCAAAAGACAACTTTCACAAGTAGTAAAAGTTCAGAGGAGTCAAGAAGAACAAAGTGCAGCAGAGCAAGCTTTTAACAAATTATTTAATGTGATCTTGTGGATGCTGAATGAGCCTTTTTAATTAGGCTTATAATATAAGATGTGTTTGTATCAGCAAAGAACAATATGATCAAATTAAATTACAGTTACAGCCAATAGGAACAAAATGTAAAAATAGTACTCTGGTTGCTCAAAAAATTTAACTTTCTAAAATTACTCAATGCTTGCCATGAGCGGTAATTGAAAATAGCTTGAAACAACAACTATGGAATGTGACTTAGGATGTCTTTATATCTGGCAACATTAGGGTGTCTTTAAATCTGGCAAGCATCAAGTAGAATCTGCAGCAGCTAGAGAAAACCAAGTTCTTGGTCAACTCAAAAATTTATTTCATACTGAGGGTTAATGTTATGAAGGTACTCTACAAAACATGCGTTAGACCTCATCTTGAATATGCTATTCATGCCTGATCTCTTCACTTACAAAGCAATATTAAATCACATGAATGAAGTCAACAGCAAGCAAAGGTGATAACTTAGATCAAACACAAATATGAGAACAGACTTTTCTCGGTCTCACTACTCCAGAAAAATCACGAAGAAGGACCAATCTGATTCAACAATATAAAATTCCAATTGGGATAAAAATAGTTGACTTTGTAGTTCCATAAGTATATGCACAATCACTCTCAGAATACAGTCTGCCTTAATATAACCAATGGTTAACTCGGCAGGTTGTACAAACCTGTCAGGAAAAGGACAATTTCTTCACAAACCATTAAAAATTGGATTCTTGTTGATTTAAATTTTGATTTATAAATAAAAAAATTCAAATATATATATATATATATATATATATATATATATATATATATATATATATATATATATATATATATATATATATATATATATATATATATGTATATATATAAACTTTTAATATATTAAATCCTTACCAATAATATTTTTTTCTGATTGGCTCCTTACAACCATAAAGTAGCATGTGATCAACAACGTTCCTGTTTTTTAAACTAGGCTCAAAATTTACTAAATAATACAAAAACAGTTAACTATTAGATGACACAACTATATAGAGATTTGCTCAAATGATAAATGATTGTCTTAATAAAAAAAGTGAAAAAAAAATTGAAAATTTGCTGTAGTTGTAATTATTTATTAATTTATGTAAATTTTTAATTAAAGATTAGAGTTTTTATTTTAAATTATATTTATAACGTCCGCTTAAGCGCATAAAATTCTAACAATTCTAACAAAAAAATCTATGATCATTTTTAAATCATTTAAGAATGTAAATCCTTGTTTTTTATTGTCTCTACAAAAAATATTTTATTTCTCTTTTCATAAATAATAAAAAAATATTAATTAATCATAAAATAGTTTGATATAAACTTTGAGAATCTGCAACTAAAAAAAAAAAAAAAAAAAAAAAAAAAAAAAATTTTTATCAATCAAATTATGCATGTTTTAAATACATTATAACATTAAAATGAAAACGGTACCAATAAACAAACATAAATATTATTAAAAATTTTAATCAAAATTTTCAAAAATTTATTAGATTGAAGAAATAAATTTGTAATGTAATTAAATTATATAATAGCAGGTGTAAAAACAAGTGGAATGAAATAAAACTCTAGTGAGTGGAGTTGGATACAATTCTTAGAAAGGGAAGGGAGATAAAAAGATAACTCATAGTTAATGAGATACAACTGATAGTAAATAGAAGATACAACTAACACAACTAATATACACATGAAAGTACAATGTTTGCAAAAATCGAGTTGTATTTTATGTATTGGCACAAAAGGTTTGATTTTTTCATGCAAAAATAAACAAAGATTTTTGAGGATTTTTAAATTTTGTCCTTTATTTGTAAATTAAAAAATTGAGTTATTAAAAAAATAATTAAAAAATACTTTAAGAGACCTTTTTTAAAAATTTTATATAAACATGTTTAATCGGAAATTCACAAATTAAAAAAACTTTGAGATTTTAAAATTAAAATAAAAACTTGTATAAATTTGTAAATGATTTGTATTTTTTGTAAATAATACTTACTAGCATATATTTTGTCTAAATCAATTGATTCAAATGTACAAAGATAACCTTCCTAAAAAAAAAAAAAACCTTTTTAATGAATTATTTAATAATAAATAATAAAAATTATTTAATTAGCATTTCTGTATATCTTTAGGTATTATTATTCTTTTTAGGAAAAAAGATATTAATCTTTTCAACAAAATCAAAAAAAAAAAAAAAAAGAAAACAAAGCACAATTTAAAATCACATTTCTGATATATCAATTGCTGCTTATCAACTACATCATAGATACATGCCAGAGGAGGCTAAGTTACCATCAAAGATAGCATTGTGGCTGAAGAGACAAAATTTCCCTTATATATCATGCTTGAAATTAAACAAATATGGTGTGTAATCAAAATCAGAAATGATTCATTTTTTATCGGATGTAAGAGTTGTTCTCATGACTTAAGCAGTGACAATTTTGGGTTTTAGCCACTATTGCTTTATATAGCAATTAATTGTTTCTGCTTTGTTAATGCACCATATAAAATTATATTATTAGTAAAAAAATTAAAAATAAATAGGAAAGCAGGTAGGATTCGTACACTTTTTACAAGTCGTATAAAAGCAAGAATAATTGCTATTTTAAAACAATTATAATGCTGCTGAGTAACCTAAATATCTAATTTAATAATATTGTAGTTTAATTTGGAAAAAAACAAAACGGTACTATGACAGGTTTGGTCGGAAAGCGGGAGCGATCGCTCTCAAATACTGACCACGGAAATTATATTTAGTTGCGTAAAACTGGCCAGGTTTTTTAGTCGTTTTGAGAACATTTAAGTTTATGTACAAAACAAAAATTTTTGTCATTAATTTTTTTTATTTAAAGACTAAAGAAAAATACATACTTCATCAGCAGTGAATTGTTACTTTATTTAAAAGCGTTTTAATAATATAAAAGTATTAGTAAATATCAAAGTTATTTAATTCAAACGGTTGTCTTTAATAGAGTACCATTGCGGTTCTAAAAATAGATTTCATAAACTTTTCGCAAAGCTTTCTGGGATCAAAATGCAGACAAACAAAATGCAAAAAGACTTATTACTAATTCTAAAGAAAACGCACATAAAAGTGCAATAAAACAATATTATTAGGATTTATTCTCATCAGATTCTTGCTACCTTAAACGTTTGCTAGCTGACAATTTAAAAAAATAGAAACTACTAAAGATTCAATGACAAACTTGGAAAAAAGAAAAATAAAGCTTTCAAAATTATATATATTTAAACTAAAAGTTTACATCTTTTAGATTTTCTTGTTAAAAAGAATGAAAATAATATTAACATAGATGCAAGCAGGGGCTATTCTAGTCTGTTTTCAACAGCGTCAACCGTATTTGGGCGCCGCTAAAACTTAAATATGAGGAGCTTTTTTTTTTATTACATTTTTTAAGGTGAACGCCGTTTTTTTTTTTTTTTTTCTTTCCGTTTTGAAAAATGAAATAACTTAAAAAACATTTTTTTAAATTATTTCATTTAGAAGTTAAATAAGTTGTTTGTTATTAAATTAAAATGAATTAAATTTAAAATATAATTTTGATTTTAATTTGATATTTTTATTTTTTCATTTATTTCTGTATTTCAAACATTTTTCTATTAATTATTATTAAAGTTTGATGAGCAATTACTGCCGATCAAATTTGATCAACCAGATTTAATTTTAGGAGATCAAAATATCAATTTTTTTAAAAGTAGCTGATCATTGATCGTTGATCGGCCGCTATTTCGAGCACTGTGTATACATGTATATACACACAAACTCATATATACATACACATATGGATTCACATATACACATATAGATACACACATACTCGTATACACAAATACACATATAGATACACACATACTCGTATACACAAATACACATATAGATACACACATACTCGTATACTTATTTTTTAGTTTCATTTTGCATTTTCATGATAAACTCTTTTACTTGTTTAATAAACATATTTCTATTTACTTGTTTGATAGATTTTTTAATTTCACTAGGTAGGGAGTTCCAGGAATGAATTGAATGATTTTTTATTGATTTGATACCATACTTATACGCCTGCTTTGATAAAATTGATAAGTTATTACAAGATACTGATTTAAGATTGTGGTTGTGAATATTGCCTGTAAACTTAAAATAATTGTTGAAGCCCAATGGTATATTTTTGTGTACAACATCCCATGCAAATGTACTGTTCAACAATAATTTCATTAATTTTGATAGACTATATAATATATCCAAGTCAAAGCTATTTTGTTTTAAGTCGATTAATCTTATAGACTTATTTTGTAGATTTATAAGGTTATTTTTGTTTACAGAATAATTCTGTCCCCATATCTGGCATCCATAGTTAAGTTGTGACCCAAAGGTGACATACCAGATATTTATTAAGGTTTCATAGTCTACATAGTGTCTTACCTTTGCTAGCATCCCATTTGCACGACTCAGTTTGGTGGAAATCGACTTTAATTGATGATTAAACAATAGGTTTTCATCTAGTATTATACCAAGGTACTTGATTTTATCAACACTATATAGTTTTTGTCCACTTATTCTGAAATTCAAGTTTTTTTCAATTTCTTTACCTCTGGATTTAAAGAGAACAATTTGGGTCTTTTTTGTATTTAGGGAGATTTTGTTTGCATGTAGCCACTGAACTATTCCCCGGCACCATAATGAGACCACTTTGATAGCAGGATTTGGTAGTCAACTGTGTCCAATGCCTTTTGCAGATCCACAAACACTCCTCCAGCAAACTTTTTCTGATCAAGACCCTCTCTTATTGTTTCAGTAATATCAATTAGGGCATGGTTTGTACTATGATTTTTGCGAAACCCATATTGCAGCCTATATAAGATATATGATTGATGTAAAAATCTAGATAATCTAATATACATGAATTTTTCAAGTAATTTGCTGAAGTTTGATAGTAGTGATATAGGTTTATAATTACAGCAGTCCTGTCTGGAGCTATTTTTAAAGATTAGTATTACCTTAGCAACTTTAAATGGGTCAGGGTAGATTCCAGATTAATTAATTATGCTCTTATTTCCTTTCCAGGTGTTTTTCAGGTTGCTTACATTTTCATTAAAATATTTTGAGTAGTACAATTTTTTAGAGTATCGAATTAAATTGTTAATTTGATTTCTATAAGATTTAAAATGCTGAAAGTATTCTAAGTTCTGATTTGTAAATTTTATAAACTTTTGTGTATTTTATTTTTGATATTAATAGACTTAATGATCCCAGAGATGATTCCATGGTTTAGATAGAGTTATTTTTTTTTTATAGTAGACAGTTTGAATGGTGCATAAAAGTCAAGAAGCTTGTTGATAATTTCCAAAAATTTTGTTGTTGAATTATTGATATCCTCCTTCAATAACAAATATTTTCATCTGCTCCTTCAATAACAAGATCCCAACCTGTAACTTTATATATACATACAACTATATATTGTTATATATACATATGTATATATTATCATATATACATATGTATATGTAATACATATGTATATATTGTTATATATAACATATATTGTTATATATACATATGTATATATTGTTATATATACATACAACTATAAGTTAAATATATACATATAAGAGTAATTAATAGTTTGTTGTCAAAATTCTTAAAACATTAACGATATGATTTTGGGTGTAGTTTTTCAAATTTTTTGGAAGGTATTGCAATAAACTGTATAAGGTGGTCAGCTAGAGAATATGTTGGACTGCCAGATATGAGATTAGGTTTGTAAAAGATTTAAAATATGTTGTCTATAAATGATTTTGATTGAGGTGTTATTTTAGTAGGTTGGGTAACAAAAGGAAAGAGAGAGTAAGGACACATGGAATCAAAAAAATTGGAAACACCATTTGAAGAATCATAATTTAGGAGATCAATGTTAAAGTCCCCATGAATAAATATGTCTTTATTTTCAATGGATACTTTTTCAATGAGTGTTTGAAGGTAGAAATTATTAAACTCTGCAATGTACATACAGGGGTGGCTGTAGATGCATTCTATAACTATGTTTTTTTTTTACTGGACGTAATATTTCAATAAAAGTTGTCTCTAGCTTTTTTGTCTTTTGGATTTGAAGGTCAGTTCTTGTCTAGTATTTTAGATCCATTTTTATGTACATAAGTGTTTTCCCCTATTTGAGTAAGAGTCAGAGTGCTCAAAAGAACAGCCATTTTGATTGATATTAGTTTTAGGCAATTGATCATAGATTAAATGAGACTCAGTTATTGCTCTGATGCTGGGCTTGTTATTTATAAGGGAGAGCAGATTGTCAATGTAGTATGCTAATTAACGTGAAAGAAGACATTACAAACTTTATTTACAACATTGTTAAACTTGGAAGTAACATAGTATCTGCATTTTATTTTAATGTTTAAAAAATTTTTTAAATTCTTGATGGGATTTTTCAGATTTGTTTGTATTTCATCAACTAGATTATATGAAGGTCCGTTTATATTATTTATTGTAAGCTGAAATTTGCTATCTATTAGAGATGAGAAAAGTAGAGTGTTTTTCAAACAGATTAAACAACACCAAGACTCACTTTCAGTCTTTAAGGAGTTGTAGGTTTTGTTATCAATTCTGTTATACTTAATATGTATCCATGTGTCACAAGAGTCACACTGTAGAGCCCTATAGTTCTTTTTAACAGATTTATGACAAATACCACAAGAAAACTTTATAGCCATATAGGAAGATGAGATCAGAACTCGATAACAAGCATTTATGAGATAATTATTTCAGAGATTGAAAAAGGGGTAGATGATTTGAACTATTGAAAATGAATATTTTTATATATTATTGAGTTTTTATTTTAAGAGTTTTATATTTTTATTTTTATTTTATGGGTTTTATATTTTTAATTTTGTTTTATATTTTGTATTTTTATTTTATGAGTTTTATATTCTATATTATTTTATAGTTTATATTATATGAATTTTATATTTTATATTAGAAAGCTAGAAATTAGGAAATATATATATATATATATATATATATATATATATATATATATATATATATATATATATATATATATATATATATATATACATATATATATATATATATATATATATATATATATATATATATATATATATATATATATATATGTATATATACACACACATACATACATATATATATATATATATATATATATATATATATATATATATATATATATATATATATACACATACATACATATATATATATACATATATATATATATATATATTTATATATATATATATATATATATATATATATATATATATATATATATATATATACATATACATATATATATATACACACACCTATATATAAATATGCACACACATATAAACATAAAACATATATGCAATACAAAATATATACATATAATATAAACAATTTATATACTATGGAATAATATATAAATCAAATTATGGGTATTTAAGTAGAACTAACAAAAGTTAATAATAAACAACAACAAAAATTAAAACTGGAGTAATTTTCAATGAACAGTAGCTTTGACTCTTTGAAGAAAATTAATAGTCGCCACAAGATTAATCTTTAACTGATTGAATATGACTTTAGAAAAGGGGAGAACCATTACAATGAGTTTGTTGTGAAACATTTGAATAAGGAAATAAAACTTTTTAATAAAGTAAATAAACAAAGTAATACTGCTTTACATCAAAACAATGCTTTACGCCAAAGTGCAGACCAGCCAGTCTGATTTGGAACAAAATATCAATGTAAGCAATGTTATTGTAAAATGTAATATAAACTATCAATGTAGATGACTACAGGCCTTGTTACAAGATTTCGCTGCGTAACGGAAAAGCGAAACGTGAATAAATGTAACTTTACTCAATAAAGATATTTACATTGTTAAAAGTTAAATTACATCAGTTGCGTTTTTACTTCATTGTAATTAAATTTAAAATGACATTAAAAACTATTGTTAGTCTTTGAAACGAAACAGCTTTAAATTGAACAACATTGTTATAAAAAAAAAAAACTAAAGTTTTAATGTTGATTAAAAAAAAGTCTTCTTGTATTAAAATCTTATACTTATTTAAACTTAATTTTTTTGCTATCAAACATTCGTTTTATGATTGTTTTTTCTTAAATATATATTTTTTTTAATAATTTAAGTTTAACACTTGTTTATGGTTGATTTTCTTAAAGGGATTTAATTGTACTTACAACTAAACGCATAGATTGGGTTTTCCCCTTTTTAAAAAAACATTTGCACTAACTGGTTTTGATAAAATAGGTATTGTAAAGAAACAAAATTTACTGCTTTTTGGCTTTGTTTTTGTTTTATTTCCATTAAAATATTTTATTTTTATGTACAGTGAAACCTAATGTATTTTTACTATTTTTTTACTCAATCCAAAAAAAAAAATAGTGTTTTCGGTTTTAAGATGTTATAAGCAGAATTTGTTTTTAACAAATATCCTTATAATTTTGAAATTTATTCATCTTATATTTATAGCTCTAAGTACTAGTTTTGTTTTTAAAATAAAATTAATATAAGTTCGGCTTTTAAAGAGTTTATTTACTGATCGCGTAATTTTTAATGGGTTTGAATTTTGATATATTTTATAAAAAAAATTCTTTGGCAAACGGCTAAGGGAAAACCCAAACATAACATTTATAACTCAAGTTTAAAAGAACTTTTTTGTATTGACGTTATTTATTAACTTGTAGTTATAAAATGAATAATGCGCTTCTGTAAATAATGAATGAAACTGTAAAATAATGGAAAAATAAAAACTGGAAAATAATGCGCTTTTGTTCAGACCAGTATTTGGAACTGGAACTTACCTGAAACTTAACTGAAATTAAAATAAAGTTATATGTAATACGAACATTTTAAAGTAACTTGAACTAAATTTATTAAATCTTTTTTTACTTTGGAAATTTTATCCTAAAAAAAAATTGTAAAACGGAGCATTTTAAAATTAAGAAATTTTAAAATGCTCTATTTTAAAATTAAATAAAAGAATTATAATTAAATTTAATAAATTTATTTACTAAAAACTATGATTAATAAAAAAATATTTAAATTTAATAAAATAAATTGAGTTTTTTTTTTTTTTTTTTTGAATGTTTTTAAACTTATGAAATATAAAACTTAATATTAAATATGATAAAAAGTTTAAACTTAAAACAGTTATTTTTTTTAAACTAATTTTTAACAACAACAACAATAAAAATAATTTAAAAAATTTTTCTTTAACAAAAAATCTTTTAGTTACCAATTGCGGTTAAATGCTTTTACTTACGACTTTATTTTCCTCTGATTCAACGTCACATAAACGATATCAAATGATAATTTAAATATTCTAAAAGATTAAAGTTTTTGCGTAACTAAAAACTGCTGAACTTTGGAACACTTAAGTTGGGATATAGCAGGTCTTCATAAGCCGCCTCTGCATAGTGCTGGTTTGAAAACCAGGCCCGCGACCATGTAGTTGCAAGACAAAATCGCAAGTTATCCTCAGCTGTTCTCGCCAGTTTGGAAAAATGAAAAATGCAATAAGCGCAAAAATGCCTCTTGAGTTCCACCTGGCACTGTGCAGTGATGGCAGTTTGTGCTATTTGATACGAGACCATTTTTCCTCAATTTTGTAAAACTTGTATGCTTCACAAAGCTGAAAAAGAAATTTAAAGTCATCTCTCTAGCCAAGGTTCTCATACTCTGCTACCACTGCTGTGCTCTTGTAGGCATTTTTTAAATCATCGTAATGCTCCATAATCTAATCAATAAATTTGTAGTTAATGTTAGGCGACTGTGACTGTATAGGAAAAAAGAAATCCAACACATGTCGTAGAACAAGATCAAGAATGTGGTATTGGCAGCCGATGTATTGAGGTTCATCGAACCTCAATACATCGGTAAACATTAGCAGACACTTGTTGTTTGGAAAGAACAGGAAAATTAAACTTCTGCCAAAGATTTATCAATTCCTCTGATATTTTTGTTAGTCGATCATGTCGTCCTTTCAATTCATTAAAGAGTCCCAAGAATCTTCCAACGATATCTCTGTTGGAAGGCATTTTACACAATTTGTCGCTTATATCCTGTTTTACCTGTGGTATATTAGGACGGCACTTGGTGCTTGATTTCAAATTTTGTGTCCATAATTCACCAGCTGCTTCCACTGCTGATTTTGACTTTTTACTTTTAAAGGACATATTTTCAAAAAGAAGCACTAAACAGCAGATCTTGCAAATTAATACTGAAAATAATTAAAAAAATTTTAAAATACTTCTACTCACTATTTTAATCGCGCGAACATTAAAAAATACTCAACAACAAACAACAAACGCACATTAATTTGAAAAACAATCGTTAAAATTTGTTATTCAAAATTGAGTTACATAACATAAAAACAATTTAAAATTATCAAACTTTTTCATTCTATGTTAATTTAACTTTTTAAACTGTTTGACGCTCTCCAACTTGTAGTTATATTCAAGCATAAGGAAGTATGAACTGGGGACAAAATCAGGTGAAAAATTGAGAAAGTTAAAAGTGGCGAGGTGCTAGGTGCGAGAGGTTTTTTTGCGATCCAATGAAATAAACCTCAAAACAGTAATCTATTCGTAAAAGTTCATCAAATACAATATCAGGAAAATTAAAATTTTGAAAAAAGTTATTTTGTCATATACCTAATGACTAGTTAATATTGTTTCTCTCTCAGCTTTCGTAATCTCACTTCAGTGATTCAATTTTAATCAAAGTTAAGCATCCAAAGCAAACACTGTATTATTTAAAATACTGAGGGTAAACAATAAACATAAATTATTTAGTTTGTAATTTTCATCATTCTAGTCCGAAAATCAAGCTACCTGCTGCCATTTTTATTTCCCGTTGAAATAAATTTAAATATAATTTTTTTATTATTTTAAGAATTATCGATGTATAAATTAAAATATATCAATCAAGTTAAATAATTGAATTATAAAACAACATAAAATCGAATTCTATCTATCATCTTTAAATACTTATTTGTTATCAAGATATCTAGATATAACTTAGAATTTTTAGTAATCAATTTTCCTATCCAGGTTCAAATTTTTAGCTTGAGCTCATGTGTAGTTGTACAATAGTAGTAGAAAAAAGTAGTGAAACAAGCACAGCATAAAAATCAAGATGACCACCTAACAAAAACTAAAGTATTTTTGTTAGGTAATGGTTTTAATTTTAATTGTAACCAAATCTGAAATTTAATTTTGAAAACTAAAATATATCTTTCAATTTTCTCTTTTTAGTATTTGTTTATTTATCTTTACAATAACATAGACATGTGTTCAAAAATTTAGTTATTTCAATTTAAAATTTAGAGCACTTATTTATTAAGAACTACCATTAACTGGTATCATCATAATTTTATATATATAATAGAATAAAATCAAAACCATATTAGTAGAAAAAATTGGAAAAGAAATTTAAAATATTTCATTACCACAAAGCAATATTATATTGATAAATAAATCATAGCAATCGAAAAATGTATACCTTCTTTGGAGATATTAAAGGTAATTTAACTTCTAAATCCGTAATGTAGCATATTACCAAGTAAGGTTTTAGTAAAACAATTGCTGATAGATATAAATACAAATTCATTTTTGCATTTTCGCGTGTTAATTCAACATTTAGCATATTTATTTTTAGAATTAAAAATCCCAGCTTCTATGACATAATCAGTCAAAATAATTAAATTGCATGAGGACCTCGGTGGACAACTAACAAAATATCTCTATCAGAAGATCTCGAGGATCCCACGAGGTTTCAGAAATGGGTTTAATTATACAAATAAAATATTGTCAAACTAAAGAGAGCTACTTTTGATTAACAGTTTGACAACTTTAACGGAAGATAAATCGATTATCTTATTGTATGGATGAGAGTAAAGTTTGTTTTTTCACATTAATTTATTAGATAACTTATTTACTTTAAACTCTAGGTTTCTTAACCTGTAGTCCGTAGACCCCTGAGGGTTCCATGGCATGCATTCAGGAGGTCTATATGGATCTTCTGAACGTAACTATGTTTAGAAACATCATGCAAAGTTGTATATTGCATTCTGCAGAAACTCATAGTAAAATTCGCGTGGTAACGATAAAAAGTTAGTTGAAGTGGTGCCTATATTAAATATTGTCATCAATTCTAGAACAGTTAAATGTCTTCATACGATCATTTAAAAACTGAACTCATTATTATTTCTATTCAACATGCAACTGGAAAAGAGCAAAGATATATCACAATGTAACCAGCTCTTGGTGTTTGTACGTTATGTTTATCAAAAAATCCAAAAAAATGCAATGTGTGATAAACTCGATCAATATTTCAGTCCAAAAAAGAATATAAGATACGAACCTTGCGTTTTAACTAAAATTAAACAAAATTAATTCAACATTTTTCTATGAAGCAAAGCTATAGTAAAATAAAGCAAGTAAAATTTATCAGTGACGATATTATAATGTAAGTACTAGACAAACAAGATTTATTAAGAAAATTAGATCTTTTGTTCATCAAAAGACGGTCATTAGGTCTGAAACTAAATTTAAAAAAATGTATTTTTGCTCAAAAAAAATCTGCTACATAAGCAGATCATTAACCGCAGCCGGGTTATAATATAGTATTACAGAAAAGGAAGCTCTTGCGTATAGGCCATCTAAAAATTACTTTTATCATTATATGGAAAAATCTTTAAGCTTGCAGTGGAACACAAATCTTTCAAGTTCTTTTATTCTTCCGGCTCTATATTAAATGCGCATAATGCAAGATGGAAATTAAATGGCAGGCATTTGATTTTGGCATATCAAAAAGAAAAATAGAACATTGCAGATTTTATCTCTAGAATCTGTACTCTAAATGAAATACATAATAAGTCAGATAAAAATAAAGTAGCAGTGTATGCAAAATTCTAAGTGACAAAAATGGTATCCGAATAAATATTACTTAAAGACATAAAAACAGAGACAGCAATAGACAGGAGTTCCAGGAATTCCGATGAAAACAGCGTTCTTGTCTGGTAAATGGTATGACAATCCAATACTTAAACCGATCGTAGATTTCAAAATGCGTTAACTGACCATGAAGGGATTATATTACAAGGAAAAAAATTGTTTAAGCAGAATCGCTTCAAGAAAGAGCTTCATGTACAAGATGTCTATGAAGGTTTTTTAAGTGTTGAAAAATACAAAGGATTATTGCAACAAAAGGTTTACTGGGTCACTATGAATACTGGTATGAAAGCACATATTGAAATGTGTTTTGAATGCCAAGCAAGTTTACGTATTCCAAATCCTAAATCAATAAAAATGTAGAATTTACCAGAATTTGTTTGGAATGAGGTAGCAATTGATTTTTTTGGACCATTACCGTCAGGAGTGTATTTACTTTTTATAAAAGATTTATATTCCAGGTAACTAATTATTGATATATTGAAAACTTCAACAACTACAAGCATCATAGGTAAATTAAATTAATTTTATGCTATATAAAGTTATCCTGATAAAATTAGAGATGACAACCGATCACCGTTTTAAGTCAAGGCATTAAAACTATACTTGATATACGAAAGCAAACGGTATAATAAAAAAAATTTATGCTGGTAAGTTGGAAAAACAATTAAACCAACTCATTTTATGCGCAGATATTGGAAAGAGAATTCAAAGAATCTATCAAAATTATAGACGTGTACCCCATACTACAACTGTCAAACCACCAGCTACGTTGATCCAATAAAAATATCAGAAAAAAATTTCAATAAATATTAATTTAAAAATTACCGTAAAATAAAGAAGTGAGAGAATGCTAAGATAAAAAGCATACAAAAGTAAAAGAATGTTTTGATATGAAACACCATGCAAAGAAGAGAGATGATATCAAGGTAATAGATGAGTTTCTTGTAAAGCGATATATATTGTGAGTAAAATTAGATTTAAAATATTTAACCAAGAAATATATAGTTAAAGAAAGAAAACCAAATTTAATCATTGCCGTCGATCAAGAAGGAAACGAATTGGCACCTAATATACAATTTATTTAAAAAACTCCTAAAATCGTATTTAAAACAATTTAATATTCTTGGGACACCTAAAACAATCATAAAAAAAACACAACAACAACAACAAATACAAACTTTTTAACATCAACATTATTAATAATAACATGGTTATTATATATACAATATATATCGCTTTACAAGAAACTCATCTATTACCTTGATATCATCTCTCTTCTTTGCATGGTGTTTCATATCAAAACATTCTTTTACTTTTGCATAACCTCAATTATTCAAAGATATAATATTACTTAAATTATTAACAGTGGAATATATTTTAAAAGGAGCTATGATCAGATTTGTTGAAAACTTTGAAATTTTTTGTTTGGAACCTCGATTATTGAACTAAAATTGTATGAAAAATAATTATTGCATTAAAACGTATTTAATATCACATAATAATTGTTTTATAATTATTTATTGTTAAATTTTTTGAAAATACAGGGAGTAGTGAAAAAGTATAAACAATTGCCATTTTTGAAAACTGGGTGAGTTTCGAGGGAAACGTTAAATCCAATCCGTCAAAGTGCTATTTGAACAGTTTTTAAAAATTCTAGACCCGATTACGCCATTTACAATGTGATATAAATGTTATCAAATTGATATTAAACGAAAATATTATTAATAATAACATGATTAATAATAAATATTAAATACAAATGTTATTAAATGTTATAAAAATCTCAGAGTTTCTTTTATTTTAAAGTACAACTATATTTCCGTTGGAGATCGCATCGGTCAGTAAAATTTAGATTGCACTCACAAAAATTGGATTTAGTGTTTTCCGAGTTTCGACTGATTTTACTGACAAGTTTACAAAGTATAAAGTAGAGGTAAAAGTTGCATCAAGAAAATAACTTGATAAATATTTTTAGCGCAAACATCAAAATCACACACAAGCGATCGGACAAGATAGAACAAATTGTTTTGAAATCGCTAAGAAAGTATCAACAATTGCAATAAAGTATAAAAAAGCTTTCTAAAATTTTATGAAGAGCTTATTGAGAAAAATTCGACTTTTATCAATGAGCTAAAACTAAATCACTACTTAGACAAAAATTTTACTTTCCGGGAATTGTCACAAAAGTAAAACATAATATTAAACGCAGCACGATTTATCAAGCTTTTAATAAACAAAATCCAAATACCGAACTATTAATCAAATAAAAGAAATAAATAAAAGAAAAAATCTAACAGCCATCAGTGTACTATTTGAATCTATTTTCCATTGAACCAATAGGAAATTAACCAATAGTAAGGAGCGTACTCTCTAAGAGAGTACACTCTTGCGGAAAGTGTTGAGTTTTCCTCCACACCGGTGTATAGCTATAACTCCTAGACAGAAGTGTGGAGTTATTTTGCACACTTTTGTGGAAATTAACTTTTTCTAACTCGACTTCTGCACAGAAGTGTGGAGTTATTTGCACAAAATTGTGAAAAATTCTAAAAATATTAGAACTTTATATAAACCTAGAGATTATCTAAATAGAAAAAGTTTGACCCAACACTATCATTCGTTCATCCATAATTATATAAATTATGCAAATATTGCTTGGTGAAGTGCTGGAAAGAATAAGTTGAAACGTCTTTTTTCACGTCAGAAACACGCAATTCGCATTATTAATTTTTCCGATCGCTTTACTCATTCAAAACCTTTATTTAACGAAATGAGAATACTTAATATTTACGAAGTGAATTTATATAATACTCTATGTTTTGTATATATGTGGAAAAATAACTAATCTCCTGACGTTTTTAAAAATATTTTTACTTTGAAACCAGACAATAAGTATGCACTGAGAAATAATAATTTGCTAAATCAAGTTTTAAGTTGAACCAAGTTTAATCAGCTTTGTATTGATTATCGTGCACCTAATCTTTGGAATAAAGTTATTTTGCAAAATTTTGATCTACCTTCCTCTTTTTCTATTTTCAAAATAAAATTAAAAATCTAATTCTTTCTATGGAGAACGTTTTTCTATATTACTAGTGTTATGGGTTTGTCTACCTATTATTAAAACTAAGTTTACCTAAGTATATAGTTACATTGAGATTGTACTGAAACTGATAGCTGTGAATAGATGTATAAATATTTATTATTTGAGTTCGTATTGTATATTGCTTTATATTATATATTGCTAGTATGTATAAATTTTCAGGTTTATTTTATCTTTTATTTAGTATTTAAAAAAACAAAAAACAAAAAAAATTTATTACGGTTTTTATAACACGGTTTTGTAAAAATAAAAAAATAAAAAATAAAAAAAAAAAATAAAAATAAAATAAAATCAATGAATTATGTATAAATGCGTATGTGTATCTGTGTATGTATGTATTTATGTATGTATATCGGTATATATATGGGTGTAAGGGTGTATATGTGCTGTTAGTATGGGTGTGTGTGTGCTTGCAGTCTATGTATATTAAAAAAAAATAATAATAATAATAAAAAAAGAATAGTGCTGCATAACCTCTGGCGTAGGAACACCCAACTATAACTGCTTGGCAATCGTTGGACTGGATTGGGATTCGGTGATACCACCTATGATCGCTTGTATGGTAAAGATGCAAACACAATATATACTTAAAAAAAACAACTATATTAGATCAAGAGCTAATTATCAACAAGAATGTCCACCCCACTCTGATTTTATTTTCAACAATTTTAATGCAAGAAATGTTCAATTCAATTATTATTTTTTTTCAATCTATTCGATTTATACATAGTCAATAGAATATAACTATGGTCTGGAAGTCCATTGTTTTATGTTATTGTTCGCGTTTATTTGTGTCACGTGATCTAAGAGTGTGCAAAACAAAGTTCAAATAAACATACCAAGTTCAAACAAACCAACAAATTTCATATAAATAAAGTTAACACAGTTTTATTCAAAGCTACAATCAAGTTATGCCTGGCAGGAATTGTGCTTTTCCAACTTGTACAGTTTCTTATACAAGTAAGCACAGCTTTATGAGCAGCTTCCGAATTCCAACAAGAAAGTGTGAGTCTGACTGGAAAAATGATATCGTTAAAGTTTTAAATAAATACCGTCAAATAGATAAGTCATTACAGGAGAGGATTGATGCTGGTCGTGTTTATATATGTGAACGTCATTTTAAACCTGAAGATATTGAGTTGACAAGTAATTTTATTTTTAATTCGAATGTTGGTTATCGCAATATAATGTTGCTTTTACAAAACGTTAGTATTGGGCTATATATATATATATATATATATATATATATATATATATATATATATATATATATATATATATATATATATATATATATATATATATATATATATATATATATACATATATATATATTATATATATATATATATATATATATATATATATATATATATATATATATATATATATATATATATATATATATATATATATATATATATATATATATATATATATATGTATATATATATGTATATATATATATGTATATATATATATATATATATATATATATATATATATATATATATATATATGTATATATATATGTATGTATGTATGGTATGTATATATGTATTTAAGTAATTAAGTATGCACCTTTTGATTCTTAATTACCCTCTGCAAAATGCCTGAGGCCTGTAACATATTTGCAAGGTAAACAGCTAAATGTTTCTAGTTACTGTATGAATCATTAGTTGGGCTATGTGAGAATAACACAACCCAAAGGTTCCTTAGGCAATATATATATATATATATATATATATATATATATATATATATATATATATATATATATATATATATATATATATATATATATATATATATATATATATATATATATATATATATATATATATATATATGTATGTATATATAACTGTTTGTATACGTATATATATATATTTATAACTGTTTGTAAATGTCCCTCACTATTGTATATATATATATGTGTGTGTGTGTGCGTGCAGCTTTTAAAGACAAAATATATTGATTGATATACATTTATAGAATCTGGTCGCAAAACATTGAAACTTGGTTCAGTTCCAACATTGAATTTACCTGTGAAATCACATGAAACATTCACAGCTGAGCGAAGAAAACTTGAAAAAGTTTGTATTAATAAACCGAAAACCAAAAAAGCTGTTTGTTACAAGCACTGGGAAGACTTTGTGTCTCGTGCAACAAAATTAAAGAATGTATATAACTGGCAGGTTACAATTGACGATAACAAGCAAATTGCTCAGTTTAAAAATTTTGAGATACCATTTTCTCTACCGAAGTGCGAAGTGATTGTAAATGATTCTTTGGAATTTACATGTTTGGTGTTTGGTTGGAAACTTCCAGATGATCATATAATTTACAAAGATTTTAAACGAAGTATGACAAATGTATTGATACAGAACTTACTGCAAAAAATATCATTGCTCAATGTTTGCAAAGGAATTGATCAAGAAATAATAAATTCCAGCGTATTGAATCATGTTATACCTTTTGATTACGACCTTGATACAATATCTCCTATGCAATATAAAGAGTTAAAAAGACATAAAGATTGTAGGGTTTTACATGAAGAAAGTGAATGTGATATTTGTAAAAAAGTTAAAATATTAATGAAAAAACAATTTAAATCTAAAATAAAGATTGATAACACTGCAGCAAAGTTAAAAGCTCCTCTTACAAAAACATCAAAGAAAAGAATTGTTCTTGCATTACAACAAGAACGAGTTAAAACCAAAGAATTAAAAGAAAAAATTTATCGAATGAGAAAAGAAATTGATGCAAAGAGTGTGGAACTCAACAAAGATTTTATTAATGATATAAATCACATTATGGATTCCAACAACCAGAATATGACTCCATTTATGAAATTATTCTGGGAAGAGCAAAAAAAAGCTTCTACTAATCAGAAGAGTTTAAAATATCATCCTATGATTATCAGATTCTGCTTATCCCTTTTCATGAAATCAGCATCAGCATATGATGAACTTAGGAATTCCATGATACTCACTCTGCCAAGTCGGAGGACTCTTAGTGATTATAAAAATGCAATACGTCCATCAGTCGGGTTCAATCCTAATGTAATTGAAGAACTCAAACTGATCACTAACAACTTAAATGATGTTCAAAGATTTATAGTACTCTCTTTTGATGAAATCAAAATTAGTGAAAATTTAGTGTATGACAAGCACTCAAATGAGCTTATTGGCTTTGTTGATCTTGGAGATCCGCATCTAAATTATAGCACTTTCAAAGACATTGATGACCTTGCTTCTCACTGCTTAGTTTACTATATTAGAGGTGTTGCTTCCGATTTAAAGTTTGCTTTGGCATATTTTGCTACTAAAGGTGTTACTGCAAATCAAATTATGTCTACTTTTTGGAAAGCAGTGTCTGTGTTGGAATTAGAGTGTGCTCTTAAAGTAATTGCTGCTGTGTCTGATGGTGCTTCTCCAAATCGACTGTTCTACAAAATGCACAAAGGGATGGATAACATTGAATCATTTGTTGTGTACCGTTCAAAAAATATATTTGCAGACCGCTACATATATTTTTTTTCTGATGCACCACATCTTATAAAAACATTTAGAAATTCATTGCATCATTCTGGAGATAGTGAAAATCATACACGTAATTTATGGAATGAACAAAAAGTTATATGGAGTTATTTCGTGAAATTAGTGAATGATGATATTTTCAGAGATTTAAAGTTGCTGCCTAAATTGACCTTAGAGCATGTTCAATTAAATTCTTTTTCTGTTATGAATGTTCGATTAGCAGCTCAAATTCTTAGCAAAAGCGTTTCAAATGTCTTACGCTTAAAGTATCCCACAGAAACCCATGTAACAGCACAGATATGTGAATTAATGGATAAATTTTTTGATTGCACGATTACTCGAAATCAAAAGGAAGGCATTCTGAAAAGAAAAGAATTTTTGTTGCCCTACCGCAATGTTAACGATGCTCGCTTTGATTGGTTCAAGAACACTTTTCTAAAATACTTTGAAACTTGGCAAGAAAATATTAAAAATAGAACTGGAAATTTCCATCGGGGTGAACGTGAAAAAATGTTTATTTTATTACAAACATACGAAGGTCTCCATATAACTGTGAATTCTTTAATTGAAGTTACCAAGTTTTTATTAACTAGCGGAATACCTTTCGTATTGACTGAACGTTTTACCCAAGATGTCCTGGAGGAATACTTTGGGAGGCATCGCAGCCTTGGTCGCCGAAATGATAACCCTACCCTCATTCAGTTGGGATACCAATCAAATGCTATCAGAATGCAACGATCTGTAGCACCTGTTACTGGAAATACCATAGGAGCTCATATACAAAAGCGTAAAGTATCGTGGAGAATCGCTTCTGATGAACCATTAGGAAAAAGGTGTAAGAGCAAGAAAAAAAAAACAACAGAATCTGAGAACATATGAAAATAATTGATGATATATTTTTAAATACATAATTTTATTAATAAATAAACACATAACAAGTGGCATATACCATGCTTGTTACTCTTTGGATTGTTTTTTAAGAGTTTTACGAAGACCACCCTTATTATTTTTTTGTTTCAATTTTAGTTTATATTTGGTGGTAATGTCTTTAGCCAAAGAAAATGCTCGCACTCGAAAATAAAGTTTGACCATATTTTCTAAAAGGTTTTTACTAACATCATTATCAATGTCAACTCCGCATCCTGTTAAGATAGTTATAAAAGCTCACTACTTCTGTATCTTTCAGTAGTTCCATAGTCATCCTGTTAATATCAATTTCTTGCAAATGATTAATATTTGTTTTATTTCGAAATTGAATTTCAGCTTTTACAAGTATTTGCTGGCATTCATTATTAACAGCTGTTAGTCCACCACGATTTTGTGCCTCAATCAATTCCTGATCTGTAGAATTTTTGCTAATAGCGTTATTTAATATTTTTATTATATCTTGATTTTCATTGGATTTATAATTCAGGCTATTTTTCGATTTCTTAATGAACTTTCTGACAACATACCCAGCCAGATATTGCAAGGCACCAATTTCATCATTTGTTATATTTTTTATTTGTTTTGCTTCCTTGTTGGGCATTCTTTTGAAGTATGCAAGCACCTTGTCAGCCAGTTGTGTTGCTAAAAGAGTACTATTGGGTTTTCCTAATTCAGGAAAGTAAACATCTGCATTGATTACTATTTTATTATAAAAGCTGGAATAATAACTCTCTGCATTGTTTGTATTAATCAAAATGTCATAAATCTCTTTTAAATCTGCGTAAAGTGCTTCTGTTTATATGAAGTTATAACACTTGAAACATTCTCGTCGAGTTAAGTTGTAACAGTTATCCTCAGATAGATTTTTTTGTGACTCCAGAACTAAATCACTTAGTATTATGCTACTCATTGTATTTCTACTTGTATCAAAGGTCTCTTTTAGTTGTAAATGTTTACAGTTTCGGTGACGAGTAAGTCCCCCTTTTGATTTACAAATGTTCCCACAGTCGTCGCACTTAAAACTGCCTGGTGTTGACTCCTATAAGAAAAGAAATCTATAGTAATGTACATTTACATAGCTTATTTTTTTAATTAAATATAGTTCTTGCATAAATTTGCTTACCTCTCCAACATCTACAATATTTGCAATAATAAATTCTTCATCTAAAAGACCTTCATCCTGAATATCTATCAATAAATCTGCAGACTTTTGTTAAAAACTCGTTATTTGACGCCATGATATAAATGTTTTGCACATTCTTTGGTCACGTGATTTAAAAACTATTCATTTCAACATGCGCAGCGTAACAAAAAGAAATAACAATGGACTTCCAGACCATAGTTATATTCTATTGACTATGATTTATATTAACATCATTAACACACTATGACGTCATCAAACACATCAATAATTATACTGAAGTATATTATTTTTAACTATTCTATGCAACGGTTTATATAATTATTTATCGGAACAGATCCAATTCAAAAGCTAATAAAAACATTTACAAAAAATCAATAAAAATGAATTCATTTAAAGCGTTTTGATTCCAGAGGCTCTCTACGACAAGACCTCAAGGACTTCTTCGAGTTTCCGCTTTCTTTATTCCTAATTTTTATTGTTATATTTATTGTCATGTTTTTATTGTTAACGAAATCTTTATTGTAAATATTATTATTTCTTTTTTTTATGTCTTACGTTTTATTCACAAGTTATAATAGAAATTGTAGTAATGATTGTAATAAAGAAACCTAATTTTTCAATAATAAATAGGGTTAATGAAAAATCTTTTTTTTTTTTTTAACTCTAGTACCATTTTCTCTGGTTTATGTAAATAATAAATATTTTTTAATGTTTAGAGTGACATAAAAAATCATTTTGCTTGTCACTTAGTGACACTCCTCTCATAGGTTCGCTATCTAGACTGATGTGGCTTGCAAACTAGAATTCAAGCTTGTCACATTTTTTATTGTTTAAGAGTGTTATCTTAGAATAACACTCTTTAACAATATAAAAAAATAAAAAGCATTTTGACTCAGCAGTCACTCATAATTTTCTCAGCAGACATAAAGATTTGTTATATATATATATATGTATATATATATATATATATATATATATATATATATATATATATATATATATATATATATATATATATATATATTATATGTATATATATATATATATGTATATATATATATGTATATATATATATATATATATATATATATATATATATATATATATATATATATATATATATATATATATATATATATATATGTATATATATATATATGTATATATATATATATGTATATATATATATGTATATATATATATATATATATATATATATATATATATATATATATATATATATATATATATATATATATATATATATATATATATATATATATGATATATATATGTATATATATATATATATGTATATATATATATATATATAATATATATATATATATATATATATATATATATATATATATATATATATACACATATATATATAAAGCGTGACATATTAACTTACGTTAAAGTATCGACATTGATTACAATTTTAATTATAAAGAAAATAATAAATCATCTTCAGGATAATTATTTCTTATTTATTTTTTTTAAGAGTCCTTTGTTTTTCAGCATGTTCAACAGTTTTTTCATCCACGTACAAACCTTTTCGTTTTCGAATTTGATTAACATATTTTAAGGCTTGGTTTTCACTGTCAGCTTTTTCACCATACAACTCATATTCTTCGTCAGTTGTTGGAATCCAAAACGGATCAATGTCTAGAAGCTATATTTATAACTTTAACTTAATATACACAAACAGAAACATGAGACATTTCAAAACAAAAATTGAAACAAAAATTAATACTAAAAATAAATAGCGCTGACCTCCCAATGACTAAATATTAGTTGAGGACTTGCTAAGCCACTAGTTTTTTTCCGTATTTCTTCAGCAAACCCAAAACTTTCAGCAACTGGCAATTGAGCAACAATATCAAAAACATCAGAACCTTCTTTCATGTTCTCTTTAAGAATTTTTCCTTCTCTTTTACCTAAAACACCATATAATTTTCCTAAAACGTCAGAAGTTGTCTGTATATCGCAGCTATACATAGCAGCCATTAAACGAAGATGCTGAGCCATAAAAGCACGACGACAACCAGCTTTTAAAGCCGAAATATGTTGCCCAGAGATAGGGCCATAAGAGAGGGAATTTTCCACGTAACTATTTTCATTATTACCTATCAGAAAAATAATTGAAATATCAAAAACATAACCTCTAAAAAAATAAGGAACATTATAAACATTTAAAAGCTTATATAACCTACCAAGACGCTTCCAATCCTCTATAAAAAATGCCACACCCATCATGGGCTCTTCACAAATAGGACCAGCTTGTACGGCTAATTGAAACCCACTTATTACACTATTATCAAACTCACGTAAATGCAAACCTTCGTTTTTTAATTCATCAATAAAGCCACACCATATACTTGGTCTCGTGTAGTCATTTACATTGTTTATTAAAATGTTATCATTTACTCCTTTTGGTCCAATAGCCCATATTCGATTAATTATATCTTTCCATAGTTTGCCTGATCGTTGGAATTCTTCACGTAACTGGTCATAAAATTGCCGAATTTGAAGTTTTGTTTCTATTGAAAGGGAATTTATAGCAACTTGGAAATCGTCTTCATTATAAATTCGTTGAATTATTTTTAAAAGAAAATTGTGCTGCTCAAGACACTTTAACACATTTAACGGTAAAGGCTTAGCGTGTACGCAAACACAATATTGTTTATCAGCAGTAAAAGCTTCAATAAGACCAAGTTTTTCACGTTTTTTGGCTTCTTTTCGTAATGCAACAATTTCGTCTTTCATATAAAAGGTTTCAGAGTTTTCTTCTTCATACCTTTGTAGTTTTATGTTTATATCTGATTTTTCCTAAAATTTATTTAACTATTTTAATCTATTTATAACTATTTACATTTATATATAACTACTTGTATTATTATGATTATTATACTATTTTTAATTAAAGTTGACTAATTTAAAGTTTACAACTAATTTAAATATAATAGCAACAATAACATAAATTTATATTCAATAGCAACAATAACATTAATCAGAAAATAACCCAAATAAACAAACCTGCTTTCGAATAGTATCGCTAAAACTTTGAATTTCTTTTAGCATATAAGATGGCAGCCTTTGAGTATGATGTTTTGCATTTTTATTTGTACCGCTAATTTGTTCATTAACCATGTCAACCTTAGGAGGTATAACAATGGTCTCACGAAATGGAACTATTGGTTCAGAGGATTTTATTTGGATTTTAGCAAACCGTTGAGTCAAATCATCAAGACACCGTTGTAGGTGAACTTCCCCAGCAGCAACAATTACATATTCTCCTAAACATTTTATACACATACATAAAGATACATTAATCCACTTACGCAAATATATATATATATATATATATATATATATATATATATATATATATATATATATTATATATATATATAAATATACACACACATTTATTCTGCAGACTTTATAACTTTTTGAACAAGCTCTTTACTCCATAATTTTTTTCAAAAAAAAAAATAAAAAAATATCGGCTGTAATATTTAATTGCTTTTTAGAAACTTTAGGCTTTCCATATAAAAATATCAGTTATTAACAAAATGTGAAATTTTTTTTTTTTATTACAAACCTGTTTCTTGCACAAGCACTTCAACACATGGATCAGCTTGGTTTAGAAGTTTCATTCCACCAACTAATCTGTGTAATTGACTAGGTTGTCTAGGCTCAACAGCAACACGCACAATTGGTTTAGCTTCCAGTGGAATAGGAGTAAATGCTGGACACGCCAATGTTGAGCTCAACGTAGCTGATTTTAAAATATAGTCAGCACATCCATTAATACCTAACAAATAATGTAATAAAATAAATAAAATAAAAGAAAAATGGTAATAGTAGCATATTCCTTTTTAATTTTGAAATGATCCCCTGTGAATATTTTTCAATTTTGAAATGACCTCTGTAAATATTTTTTTCAAGGAATGTGTTGATCATTTTAGATAAATATTAAAAATAAAAGTTAAAAAAAAAGTAGTGCAAAAGAAAAGAAATCTTTGTTTACAGTTTTAAGTTACAAATTTGTATATTAATATATATATAATAACAAAAATAGGTTTGAAAACTATCAAAAATCTATATATTATCTTCTTTATTAAAAAGTATAATCCATTCACTTTAAAAAAATTTTTTAGACGATTAAAATTTTTTATATATATAAGGAGAAATTAAGGAGAGCAGTCAAATTTTAACTTTTATAAAGATAAAATAAGGAGGTTTTTATTTTTTAAGGATATTTAAGGTTTTTAAGGAGGTGTGGGAACCCTGTTACAATTTAAAAATAAACTTTTATAATGCTATTTAAACATTCAATGGTTTTTATCAAGTCACAACATATATAATAATCAATTAACAATAATAAATCACATTGTTTGATGATGATATCAATAATAATTACAGAGTTATTGTTCGATTACTAAATCAAAAGTAAATAAACTGATTGATTGACAATGAGTGATACTAGTTAATGGAGATAATCTTTTAAACAAATTACCAAGTATATTTCCAGCTGGAACAGCATCTAAAATGTTCAACTCTTTTCCCATTAAAAGATAAAGGTCACCTATGGTGCATTCTGCCATGTAAACACTTGAAAATTTGTGACCAAACACAACCTCTTCCACAGGCCTAATAACAGTTTCTCATAAAAATAACAAAAAAAGACCAATAGAAAAAAACTTAAAAATATTAAAAGTTTTCTTACTTGAGAGGGGAATCTGTTAAAGTTTCAGCTCGTATAAGAGGGCTATACTTAGGTCCTAAGACAAATAATTTTGAACCTTTTTTCAATACACCACTAAATACCCGAGCAAATGCAATAAAACATTGATCATTTTCTTCTACCTCAACAGAAACTTTTGATTCTTTAAACTCATCTCCTGCACATTCAGCAGCCATTTCTCTATCAGCCAATTTCTTTTTAGCAGCTTCATAACGAGATGCAACATCAAGCTCTTCAAGAGGTCTGTAAATATATATATATATATATATATATATATATATATATATATATATATATATATATATATATATATATATATAAATATATATACATAAAAAATTTAAATATAAAACCCTAGTAGATGGATTATCAATACAATTTATTTTAAAATAAAATAATAGAGTAGGATTAAACAATTTTAACATTTAATTTATACTTTTAATTTTTTTTGAACACAATTCGACTTCAAAAAAATGCCAAAAATTTTAAAACTCATCATAACTAACTTTTTCCTGTTCTTTGGTAAATCTGATTGAAGTACTGACAACATTTTTGAAACAAATACAATGACAGGAGATTCTGGTTCAGACCCACATTTTATGATGACTAAAATAATTTAAATAAACAGAAATGTATGTGAACATGTGAGAGAGCTGAAAATATATAACTAAATTCACTGACATTAAACAAAATTATCATCCTAAACATTTACCATCTTTAAGTTTTTGAGTATCTTGAGAATATATGTCAATAGTTTTATATCGTCCACACATTAAAGTCTTCACTCGCTCTTCAGATATGTCAAGAGGACTGGGCATAGAAGAACTCACCATTTTTAAAACAGCCTCAGAAAGAGGCAACCATTGATATAGAATAGCTTGAAGATGTGATTGTAAATTATTTGTTTTCGAATCACGAGTTGAAACTTTCAAATTAAGATTGGTTACAATTTTGCTTATACGATCAGTATCTCTGTAAACATATAAATAAAATCTTGTGTTTAGCTTTTTTTACTATATATTTTCTTTATTTTTAAGTGTACTTTTGAATATTTGTTCTTTTTATGTTATTTACTTTATATTAGTTATAAAACACAAAATTAAGTAAACAAATAAAATAACATTTTTAGTTATTATTTAGTTATAACAAACCTATTTAAAATAACAGCATCATATATGTTCCATAGATTTTCTAAAATAAATTGCACAAACAATGGCTTCTTCCCTTTTGATAAAGCACCTATTGCAATTTTTTTAGCTTTGATGTTAATATAATAATCCCCCCATAATGTTTTCGAAAGAACATTGTAAGATGCACCAAGTTTCTTTGAATAAATTTCAGCAAATGTATCGATGCTAATAAAATATATGCATATATATATATATATATATATATATATATATATATATATATATATATATATATATATATATATATATATATATATATATATATACACACACACACACATATATATATATATGTATATACATTTATGTATATACATACATGTATATACATATGTATATACATATATATATGTTTATATATATATATATATATATATACACACACACATATATATATGTATATATAAATATATGTATATACAAAGGTCTAACCATAAAACATAGAATTGATGTCGGAAAATATTTGCTGACCTCAAACACTTTCAGGCCGGCATTGCCCAATGCCGACATTATTTCCGAGGGTTGTGTATATATATATATATATATATATATATATATATATATATATATATATATATATATATAATGGCTAAATTGATAAACAGTAAAGTGACTTAACAGTATTTTTAATTAACAAATATTGTTAGCAATTAAGTAATTTCCGATCAACTTAACTATCATTTCACCACAAAGCATATCTTATTCTTTAGAATACTTGAAAAACTTCTTAGACTAAACGAATAACAAAATTGAAAAATGGCATTCTAGTGATTCTAGAGAACCCATTAGGATTTAACCATGACACTCATAACCCTTTTTTGCCACAAAGAAATATCTTCTTGTGGAACATATTTTTTAACTTTGACTGTTTAAAATCTAAAATTATTTTTCAGCTTTCTGCTCAATATAAAAATCAAAAATATTTTTTAAACTTATTATCTAATTTCATTATTAATACGAAGTGGATATTTTTACTGCAAATCACAGAAAATCAGCCTTCTGACAGATTTAAAATATTTGTGATTTTTAACTATGGTTTATTTAATAATTGAAATGGTAAAATCTGCACCAACACAAAATTTGAAGGCATTTAAACAAAATGATATATAAAAAGATTCAAAATATTGATATTGATAAATTAACATTTTTAATATCTGCCTAAACAGATATTAAGTATTTAATATCTGTCTAACCAGATTTACACAAAAAAGAAATAGACAGCCATAGAAAAGCTTTAAAAATTCACTAGATAAAATAAAAGAACAGATTTTCTTAAATCTATTTTGACAGTGTTGCAAAAGATATCTCTTTAGCTAATCTTCAGAAGACAAAAAATTGACTTATCTTTACAAAAAATGGATTATAAGACATTGATTGTGTATTAAAAAAATCCCTTCAAGTTTATGGAACTCAGTATTTAATAGATTCAATCTTAGAAGTCTGTTTGTAACAAATGATACAAAAAAAAAAAGGCATAAAACTTAATAATGATTTCTCAGAATTTTTCAAGAATAAAAATGCTAATTTAACTACTTTTACTTGCATTGCACACACAAAACAAATATATATATATATATATATATATATATATATATATATATATATATATATATATATATATATATATATATATATATATATATATATATATATATATATATACTCACACACACATACACATATCTATTTTATACACACACATCTACAAAATACATTAGCGAAGTGTATATTTACCCAAATGCCCAACCATCAATTGCACTAGCAAATACAACATTTCCTGCAGCAGGAGAAAAATATAAGTTTTCATCATCAGCATCTTCTAGACCAGAACTCCAATCAAATGACTTAAATAATATAAAAAAAAAAATAATAAAAAAATAAAAAAATTTCAATCAAAAGAATTTAACACCATTAAAAAAAGTGTTTAACAAATTTCTTTAAAACAGTTGCACAAAAAAAACTTTTTCTTTAACTTTTTTTTTTCCATCAAAAAAAACTTACAAGTTCCCCATCAGCATTTACTTTCGTAGAAGAGTTTTCAGTATTTATTTTGACATTTGATTGCTCCATAACAGAAGTACTGAATAAAGATCCCATAACTGCATTTACCTAAAAATTAAATAAAATCCTTATTTTACAAAATAAGTTTTATTTGAACTCAATGAAAACTTAAAGATACTTTAAGAATGAAAAACAGTTTTTTATAGAAATTTTATTTATTTTTGCTTTAAATTATTAAAATAAAAGTTAAGTAAATAGTATATAAAGCCATATTAAATAATATAAACTTTGATTTTTTAAAATCTTGCAAAAATGTCAACAATGTTTGTTACTTTAAGCAGAAACCAGGTTACAGTGAAAAAACCAACACACACTATTTAAGAATCAAAAAAGCAAAGTAAATTTTTAAAAACAATAAAATAATACTTGCTCAACAACTTTCTGTAACTGTAAGTACGCCTCCATAGGCGATAACTTAACTTCAGTGATTAATCTATCTATCTTATTTATCACAAGACATGGTTTAATTCCTTCCAGCCAAGCTTGACGAAGCACTGCTTGTGTCTAAAAATCAAAAACTATTTAAAATATTGGTAATATTTAGGTACTATTAAAAATAATATACAAAATAATTTTACACTTTTAAAAACAAATATTATATAAAAGAGCTTTATAGTTCATTTTTTTATGTTTCAAACTTTATAACTTCATACCAAAAATCTTAACAAACAAGGCTGCTTCATGACGAAATACCTTTACACAAAAACCAAACCCACCAAAGATGAGTAAGGACTTAACCTGGACAATTTGTAAAAAAAGACATGCATTTTAAGCACTACATCAGTGTAGTTTTTCATTTATATCTTAAATTATTTCAGTGCTAGAAACAATTATACATAATTGTCAATCAGCACTGATTGGCTGAAATATGAAAAGCAGACAATTAAATTATTTATTGGACGATTAAATTTGTTTAATTTTTACCTGATTTTTTTTTAAGCATTTTTATAAATACTTAATGTATAACACTCTTTGGGTTTGTGCAATATATATAGCAATATATAGCTTATATTGCTAATATATTAATATAAAACACTTTGTGTTAGTGCAATATATATATAGCTCTATATATAGCTAATATTGCTAATATATTTATATAATATAGCTAATATATTAGCATAATACTAATATATATATAGCAGTATATAGCTAATATTGTTGTTAAGCTAAATAACATGCAAGCCTCACTAATTTTCGCTTCTTTTTGTTTATACTGTTATTTTGTTTACTCTGTTTTTCTTCTAACTGTTTTATTTAAAGTTTACTTTAAATTTTCTTTTTCATTAATCTGTTGAGCTTGTTGAGCAATTTCTGTAAATCAAAATAATCTTTTATGATTAATGTTTTATTATTTTAAACTTTGGCAGTTAACTATTAACTTTTTTAGTTCACGCATAGCCTTTTTAGCTATTTTTTTTGTGAATCACCCAAAGCAAATGATCACCTTTTTGAGTTATGTTCTACATTAAAAAAAAATAAGTTTTAAATATCATATGATATATTAAAATAATTTCTCAAAAAAAAAATTATTGCAAGAACATTTTTTGCAAGAACGTTTTCCCTACCAATCCTAAACTTGTATTATTAATTTTCTACTAATTTAAATATATACATATAAAGGAATGAAAATTTCCTGGAAATTTTTAATTACAGAAATTTTCCAGAAATTAAAAAAAAAAGTTTTTTTTTATAGTTAATGATTAAAATTTTATGTCTATTAGGCAGTTGTTATAGACAATTTTATAGTAAAATATTGTGAAGCCGATTATAAAATATTTAGAAAGCCCTTTTTGAAAAACACTTTTTTGGTATTTTGTTGAGTTTTTTATCATAACTATAAGTAGCAACTATGACAAATTGTTTTCAAAACTTTTTAAAATTGTCTTATCCTGTTATTTGCTATGCATATCCACGTTCAGAGCCGTAGCAAGCTTTGTTTGAAACTAAATATAACTTGCGTCCTTATCCCTAAAAGAGGAGGGATATTTTTCAACGTCTATTGAATTGGCCCACAAGTTACTGAAAACTGTATATAGATATATAATTGTATATAGATAAATTTGATTAAATATTTAAATATTTAAGTGTTTTATAAGTATCATATAGCATTTATAACACGTACCTTTTAAAAAAACTTTTAAATGCAATCTTTACATTTTCTTTCTATTTTTTTTAAAAATATATAAGTTTATTGCAATAAATTTATTTTGAAATTTTCTGGAACATTCTAAAAAGTATATTTTATGAATATCTTGATTTTTTTTTTAAGTTTAAAATTACTTTAAACTTTCTTGGAAAATTTCTCGAATATTACTTTAAACTTTCCTGGAAAATTTCTGGAACATTGGGCAAATTCGAAAAATTTTGATAAATTTTCAACATATACAAAATATATATTTTTTATGCTTTTATTACTTGATGTTTAAAAGTTAAAAGTTTTTTATTCAAATTTTCTTTTTATCTTAAATTTAAATCTTTAAATTTTTACTATTCAATTTATATTATTTTAATATTTTTTAACAAAATATAAGGATTTTTCTTTTGGTGGATTTTTATGTTTAATTTATCTAGAAGTTTTTTTAGGAGCACATTGTTTTAAAAAACACCTCTATTTTTTATTAAACTTGTTTTATCAAACAAAAAGGTATAACTCTTGAAGAAATGCTTTTTTTAATGAATCAAATCGTTCCTTAGATAATTTTTTATGAGTACAATTATTAAATAACTATTTTTTGTGGAGAAGCTGTATTGAGTTATGCTTATGTATATAATTATCTTAAATAAATCAAAATTATATCAGTCTAAAAAAAAAAAAACTTACTTGTGGACAAACTCCCTCAACAACATCTATAACAATCAAAGCACCATCACAAAGTCGTATTGCAGTTGATACCTTATGATAATAATATATCTTTACAACTGTTACACCATATCAATCTAAAGCCTATCAATCTGACTAATCAGTTATTGCTATTACTAATAAAAATAACTAAACTCTTATGTAACACGCTTGAAATAAATTAAGAATATCAATTGCAACATATATTATTAAGACTCCAAAATACAGAGTAGGATGAAAAAAGCAAACTTCAAATACAAAGACAAGCTTTGTTTTATTGATTTAAATTTATCATAAAAAAAATTCCAAAAACTTTTTCTACTATTTTCAGCATTATTGATAGTTAATAGAAAAAAAAATCCATTAAAGGGATCCCAAACTCCCAACACATGCTGTGTTCGTATTAAAGATGATGTTAAAAAAAAAGGTTTAAACCAAGTTCTTTTGATTAAAAATAAATAATGAATGCATACCAAGAAAAACTAATGTTGTTGTTTTAGCCAAAGCTCGCCTTCTCAATTTTATTCAATAACTCGAAGCCTTTAAATTATACGTCCCAATCTACAGACTTTGGCAATTCCTTTGAAGCACGTTTGATTCATAAAAGTTTTAGCGTTTGGCGTCACAGTAGTTTTTTAACAAAAGAAAAGTGTAATTAAACAAAGTTGCATTTTTTTTACTTTAATTCAAAAAGTACGTAATTTTTTAACACAGCAAAACAACGTTTACAACAAATTTTTGTAAAAATCAAAAATAATAAAAGTTTTTTATTTCATAGGAGAAAATTTTTTTTTACCAATATCTTAATAATTTTTAGATTTATATATCTTACTTATAATTCTTTTGTTTTTAAATTAAAACAAATATTAAAGCTACTAACGAATCTTATGATTTTCATACGAGTGTTTTACATTATATAGAATGTTATGTAGACGGTCTCTCGTTTTTGTGCAAGAGAGCGCAGTATTTTATATACTGAATCTCACTTATTTTTATTTAAACAATGGGAACTTTTTTCTAACTTCTCTGATTATTTTTACGCTATGATATTTTTTGTTTTCCCGTCGAAAAAAAGTATTTATTAATAATTTATTTCATAAACTGACAGTATTAATTAAAGATATTTGATGAATTGGTAACTTTTTTTATTATAAAATTTTTTTTGATTACCCTGATTTATTTTAAATTGCTAAATTTGCTGAATTGGATACAGATGAAAAGGAAATATCATTTTATTTTACATTTGATTTTTGATAATGAAACTTTTAAAATGTCGTCAACTCCATACCAATTAGAACCTGTTAAGGTTATGAAAAAAAAAGTACTAAACAATACAGTTGACAATAGTATCAGATATAAAAATTCGTGAAAGGATATGTGAGATCCTGGTTTTGCATTAAAAGAACAATTAATAGCAACACAAGTTGGCATTATAAATTTTAATTATAAGTTTACTGTTCAATATTTTATAACCATCAAATAAAAAACAAAAAGTTTGTATATTTTTGCCCGTTTTATACAACTAATATTTAACAAAAATACAGACAAATTATTATTATATAATGCAATAATTAACACATTAATTTATGGCAATAATTCAAGATAAATGGTAATTTAAATTGTCAAAATGTCATAACGCGCGTTAAAAAACATATTATATTTGGTATTTCCCAATTTGTGTCGTATTTGGCATTTGTCTCTTAACATGAAAAATTAAAAAAATTTTAAAACACAACAAATACAAATTTTTAAGCAATTTTCTCTTTCAATTTTCATTTATTCAAAGAAAAGTTACTATTAAACTTTTATTTCTCTCATCTAAAAAAAGAACGAGTGACGCAAAAACAAAAAGATATTCTATACAACTCTTATTCATTCGAAGTTTAATTACACGAAACGTAATTAAACTTCTAAATGTAATTAAACTTCTTTCTCTTTTTATTCTACTCTTTTATAAAAAGAGCGAGTGATAAAATAAAAACCTTTCTTTCTTAACATAAATTTATACTTAGAGATAAAATTAAATTAGAAATAAATCAACAATGAACAAAGCAACTAACAGATTAATCTGGGACTATTTTGATATTAATGAAAATAATCAATATAAACAACATAACCAACAACAATTATCAAATAAACAACACAATATCGCATAATTTTAGGGGCTTTTTATTTTTATTGCTTAGTCGTTCTAAATAATAAGTAAATTTAGTTCAAGTTAATATTTCAATATTTACAGTGACAATATAATAAAGAAATAATGTTTAATGTTGAACTTTTTATTTAGTTATTTATTTTTTATCTACATTTGTTATAAAAAACTTTCAAACCCCCGCTATTAAAATAATTTGTTTTAAATATATTTCAAAGTGATTATTTAAACTAATTTTTTTCGTTTGACTTCCTGAACTTCATGCAAAGCCAATTGAGACGAAATATTGTCTAACCAAATAAAAATGCTGTTACTAAATTTATAAAAGTAATTAATGTAAAACAATTTTTTATCAGAGTCTTGATTGAGATAATAAATATTAATAATTTATAAACATTAAATATATGGCGCAATAACAATTTATAGCAACGAACCAGCATAAAATATTTGAGGTTTTTAATATCTTTTTAAATGTTAAAAATAGAAAAAAAAAACTAAACAAATAATCAAAAAAAGTTTGAATAAAAATAAATAAAAATATTTCCAGAGTTTCATTTGTTAAAAGTCTACCGTGACGTCAAATACTAAAACTTTTATGAATTAAGTGCTTCAAAGGAATCGCCAAAGTCTGTAGATTGCAACATATAATTTAAAGACTCCGAGTTATTGAAAAAAATGGAGAAAGTGAGCAACAACATTAGTTTTTCTTAAAACAACAACATTAGTTTTTCTCGGTATGCATTCATTATTTATTTTTAATCAAAAAAACTTGGTTCAAACCTTTTTTTTTAACATCATCTTAAATACGAACACAACACGTGTTGGGAGTTTGGGATCCCTTTAATTTAGTTATTTAAAATCTATTTAACATAGTTATTTAAAATCTAACTTATATTTAAAAGATCACAAACCTCACTGGAAAAGTCAACATGTCCTGGTGAATCAATTAAATTTACAAGATAGTTTTGCTTATCTAGAAAAAAGAAAGATTCAATAAGTTAAAATAAAAATAATTAAAAAAATGTTTATAATATTTATTTTTAAAATGAACACAAGTTTATTTTAGGTGATTAAGAATATTCTTGAATCTAAGCACTCAATAACTAAATTATCAAATCATAAAATATTATTTAAAAATTTAATTACTATTTTATTTATTAAAACTCATTTCCTAAATTTACTAGTTTTAACTAAAACAAAAACAACACTTTAAAACATTTTATATTTATTAATAATTAATAAATTTTACTTCTTCTACAAATGTACACTTTTCACTTTCTTACCAGGCTTGGTCGGGAAGCGGGAGCGATCGCTCTCGATTGCTGACCACGTAAATAATATTTAGTTGCGAAAAGCTGGCCAGATTTTTTAGTCGTTTTGAGAACATTTTAAAAAGCAAAAAAAAAAAAGCGACAAAGATTAATTGGACCGATGAGAGACAATTACAAAAAAAAAAAAAAAAAAAGTAGGCAAATAAAATATCTTTAAACGCGAAAAAACTTTAAGCTAAATAAATTACATTTAGAACAAATATTTATGAAACATCGCTTTTTTATAAATTTTTTTTATAAAATTAAGCGATGTTTTTTATATAAAGTAACAACTTACGATTGTTTAAAAGGGAAACAAATATTCTTTATTTAACTTTTTGCAAGTTTTAGTTTTACTTAAGCTTAATTTATTTTATAAATAAAAAAGTTAATTTTTTTAATAACTATTTTATGTTTTGCGTAGTTTGAAAAGTTTAACATATTTGAAGCGATTCTTCTTAGTAAGATAAACAAATGAAATAATTAAATCATTGAATTACTATAGGAGTTAAATTATCAAGATAGAAATCAACTAAAAAGGTTAAAAATACGTAATGACCAGGAAGCGAAACTGTTTCACAATATCGCTGATGATGTTTAGTGAGTGGGTTTTTAATTTTAATTAGTATTTAAAGCAGAAAAAAGTATAATGAGTTTTAAGAATGGCAACTTAAGCGAAAATAATTAGAGTTAGTAAACCAATATCTAGAAACTTTTCTTTATATCTAATTATTTGCTATTATATATTTGTGTTCTGTCGTGACTTCAGGCGCGATGCTTGTTCATCCGCGAGTTACTTTGTATGCGTTGTTTGTGTTAAGTAACCAGAAACTTCTTATATGTTTGTTACATAATTAGTTTTATTAACTTTAACGATTATAACTTCATTGAAAACGCAATTATTTTTGCAAGTCTTTGTTTAAATCATAAAAATTGCTTTAAAAGATACATTACGATAAAAAAAAAAAATACACAAAATTATGTTTACATAAAGAATACAATCTCTTTTAAAATAAAAAATAAGAATATACTAATAAAATCTATGTTTTATAATAAACTTTTAAAATTTTAACAATTTAATCAATATATATTTAAAACATTTATTTTCGTAAACAAATAATATATATTCGTAAAATAATACTAGAAATCTCAAAACGTGAATAATACAATTTCTAAAACATTTGAACAGAATACTCTAGAACTTTATTTCGCTTAATCAGCGTATTTTTTGAACCAATAGAATTAGTTTGTTTGTTAATTTGGCGGGTTTTTAGTGTTCGCAAATATTCTTTTTATTCTTTCACACAAAGATAATTTGAGAACATTCTAGTTTATTATGTTTCCATGTATGTCCGTAAAACAAAAATTCTTTGTTTCGTACATAAACTTAAATGTTCTAAAAACGACTAAAAAACCTGGCCAGTTTTACGCAAACTAAATATAATTTCTGTGGTCAGTATTCGAGAGCGATCGCTCCCGCTTCCGGACCAAGCCTGTTCTATTCCACTATACAAAACACATTTAGAGTATGGGAGCAGACTTCTTTTTTAAAAAAAAAAAATTGCACCCTAGCGCAAAAAAATCTATTTATCTAATTAGTAAAAAAAAAAAAAAAAGAAAGAAAAAAAGTTAAAATATTTTTACTACTATACCATTATGTCATCATGTCAAGTATAAAATGTCACCCTTTTACTGTGGTTTTCTAATTACTTTTAAAAATAATTGACTTATTCAGATAACAATTTTATCTTGAAAGTGTCTGAATCATTAGCTAATCCATTATTGCACTGAGATATCTCTAAGCAAATAATTGACAAATTATTTGGAACGACTTGTAATGAAACTTGTCTAAAGATTTAGATTTTTTCTTTTAGGAGAAACAACTTTCAAAAATCTCTTGAAATGCGCAAAACAGTTAGATTATCAACATAATATTTAACATTAATTAGTTTACTGTATCTCATTTCACCGCTATTATCTCATTACACAGATCAAACTTATGCTTAATATCACATTTTTTACAATTTTAATTAAGCAAACCACTAAACTATTTCGACTTTTTATTTTTTCAAGTGAGCAATGATTTGCAGATAGATTTATAGTCTGTAATATCAACATCATCATGTTATCTTAATTAAAATTAACATTTCGTAATTAAAATTAACATGGTTAACAAAATACTACATGGTTAATATGACATTACAAATAATTTCTAAATTAAATTAAATTAAATTTTATTTTTCTAAATAAATTGCGATTACAATAAAAGATGAGGCATCAGCAAAATCAGAACATTTTTATGAAATCAACAAATGTAGAAACAAAAAAATCAGAACATTTCTATGAAATAACAATCAACAGATGTACAAGCAACAGAACATTTCATAATCAAAATAACAGATTTTAGCAAATAAATACTATAAATAGTTTTATAAATTTTTAATATATCCTAAATTTTACAAATATGTCTTAAATATGTGGAATTAATTGTGCAAATTTTTTGTTGCAGAAAATACATTAAAGAACAATAAATTGCAATAAAATATTAATGAGAATATTGAGTCATTATTTATCTCATAATTGTAATGATAAGTTTTTCAGTCATGTTTTATTAGTGACATATTTAATTTAACACAATTTGTATTTAATTTTATCTCAATTAAAAAAAAATAAAAATACTAACAGTTATTATTTCTTTATTATTAACTGAACCATATGAAATAATTCTATTCATTAAGACTCTATAGAAAATATCAAAATAAATCAAACATTTTTATATTAATTCAGTTCAGTGAATTCTTTAAATTTTATGCATTTTGTTCATTTTTTTAAAGTTTCATTAATTTTCGTGGATACAATTTTACTATTTATATTAAGCCATTAAAATTAAAATTAGACGGAAAAAAATTCATTTAGAGAAAGTAATTATTAATGCTTTAGTTATTTTTTGTGTGAATGCAATTAAAAAGCATATAGGGTAATTCAAGATATATGCATCTATTTTAATTTTATTTTAACTTAAATTGTTATCATAAAGTATAGTTAGAGATTTCAAATTTTGTTTAAGTAAATGAAGCTTTTGTTTTGTAAACTAATAATTTATATATGTAAATTATCAAATTATAATTTATATAAATTAATTATAACAATTTAATAAAATAATAACATATTGAAAAAGTCCATGCCTTAATCTGAGCAGCATAAAGGGTTTAGGCCAGTTTCGTTAACAGATGGAATAAAAGCTGATGGTTGCTCAAGCAGTTGCAATAAAATTAAAGTCTTTAACAAAGATGCTTCAGATATTTTCAAACAAGATACTAAAAAATCACTACAGAGAGCCGTAAAAATTAGAAAGGTCTACAAACTTAACAAAAATTAGAATATTAGAGTGTAGATAAGTACAAGCACAATCAATTGAAAATGAATTTAAAATATCCAAATAAAATAAAACATCCAATATAAAAATATCCACTTTATTACTATATTTTTGTTTCTAAAAAGAGCTGATCACACAGAAAATTTTATCAGTACTGATATTATAGCCATAATAATTTATAATACTAGGCCAAACTATCAAAAGGGCGGTAACTTAGCAGACAATGTATCAAATTTGTTTTTATACAAATTATTTTTATACAAACGAAGATTTAATGGCATAGTGAATACAGAGATATAACTGTGATTAATTTACAAACAACCACAGCAATAGCATCTTTTTTATTTTGATGGTCCTAAATTATATTATGATAGATTCAGAACTTATTTTAAAAAATGTATTTTTTTATTTCGATATATTTGTTAAAAAATGTTTAGACAGTTTGCAATAACTTAAAAAAATATCTTAAATTAATACATAATATAAAAACAACACTAGAAACAACCAAGTCTCTTTAGAATACCATGTGTATAACTAGTATATGGAAGGAAACCATAATTTTTTCAAGAGAGCTTCTTTACATAATAAATTACAATTACTATTTTGCTAATTTTATCTAAGGTTTTGTTAAAATATTTTTAAATAATAATATTGTAAATTTCATAAAACAAAAATAGCATACTGAGTTACAAATCACAACAGTTGTCTAAGGGAATAAACGAAAAAATAAAGCTTTTTGCTTTATTGTAGTGATAAACCTTTGGTTTATTCTCTACAATAGACTTTTTAGTTATTTTTGACTACAATAGACAGTGAAGTTTGTCAATCTCCTCAAGTATGCATCATTTTGATACTTGCCACTGGAAATAAATTAATAATTGCCACTGGAAATAAATTAAAACAAACAACCTAGCAAGAGAAAATTTTTAACACTACAAGCTAGAAGAAGATTTTTTGAATAATTTATGCATACTTAATACAGTCTCACATTAAAAACATGGTTTATAAATTATGAAAAATGATAAAACAAAAGTTTTTTATCTTCTTTTATAACTGTAATCAAACCTAGCCATCATTCTTCTAAGAAGCACAGATGCAGTTAGTCTATTAGTGTGAGGGCAAACAATTGTGCGATAACTCTGAATGCGGCTTGAACAAAATTCCCTTACTTTAATCAGCATTGAAAGTCATAGTGTGCTCTTTTGTATATTTTTTTACCATTGAATGCATTGCAGTCGCCATTGGAGCCAAAATGTAGGTTATTTGCATAAAACAATGCATCCAAATAATAATTACTAATGAAACAGCCTAGTTTTGCTGCTTCTAAACGCTGCAACAATCCATTTAGATAAATATAAAATAACATAGGGCTGCATACTACACCTTGTCGAACAGTATTTTTATTATACAATACAATAATATATAATACAAATACAGTATTTGTATTGAACAGTACATAATAATAATCCAATACAAGATTTTTACAGTACAACAATTTACTACAAATTTTTAATGAATATTGTATAAAATTATTGAATTATACAATACAACACTTTTCATTACAATACAAGATAAAAACATCTTGTATTGTATTGAACAGTATTGTATACAGATAAAAAGCAATATTATTCTATACGATACAAATTCATGTACCACAAAAAACTTAAAAGTTTGTGAAATAATTTGTAGTAGCTCACACAATTGAAGGCTATTGATACATCAAGCATAATACAATATACAGAACTATGATAAGAAATGTAATAAGCTAAATTTTCCTTTAATAGCTGAGTGCTGAGTATTATTTTTATTATTTTATTATTGATATATAATTTTTTTAATCTTTTAATTTTTTTTCAATATTATTATATTTACTTGTATTATAAGCAAGTGAAATAGCACTTGACTTCATCGTGATACCACGCTGCTGTTCATCTTCACGACTATCCATATAGCGAAGCTAAAAAAAGAAGTTTATAAAATCTAAAAACTAAAAAAATAAATATATATTAAAATAAAGTATAAATCAATAGAGATATAGTATTAAAGTATAAAGAAATTTTTGTTTACCTTACCCGCTAATTTAGGAGAAATAATGCCATTGCTTGCAATTAAACAATCTGCAAGTGTTGTTTTCCCTAAAAAAGCATTTACAATATTACTGTATAATTACTGTATAAATATAAGTCATTTATTTAAATATAAAAAAAGTACAAATTTTTACATTATACAATAAATTAATAGTAATAATAATAAAAAACTATTTAAGTTTGTAATAATTCACCATGATCTACATGAGCAAGTATGCAAATATTTCGTATGTTTTTTGTGTTTTTTTGCAACGCTGCAATGAATTCTAATGTATCTGGCCCCATTAATTAATTTGTTTTCTTCACGCAATCAAAATTCAGGAAAAAACATGTAAATAAACAAACAACAAAATTCAAAATAAAATTAGTAAAATTTAAGATAAAAATTTACTTTAATTCAATACAAAACCTAAATACCAAAATTGTTAAACTAAAAAAATATAAATAAAATCAACATCATAATATAAACTTAGTCAATTATTTTAATAAATATTTAGCTTTAAAGACCAAATTGGCAATACTTTGTTGATTTCAAGACTATTAAACTTTTTTTTTTACTTCACCTTTTTTGACCCTTTTTTAAAAATACATTAAATACATTGAATTTTATATTATATTATACTTCCAAAAATTTCAATATTTATAATGGGTTTTAAACATTTATTATTTAAATAGTTTATTTTTAATTATATTTTATATTTTTTGATTTTATATTTATTACTTATCTTTAGTAAAATCAAAAAAAGAAAAAAAAAGGATTCAAACAAAAAATAAAAAGCAAATATGTGTAAGATTTTTTTTACATGCTATTTTACAAAACTATGTTATCAAATAACACATAAACATAAAATAACTAAACACTACAACTACAAATATTTCTTTATTAAAAGCAAAAACAAGGAAAAGACAAAGGTAATTTTTTTTCAAATTTTAAAATGAAAACTCAAAAGCAGTTTTAAAAATAGACATTTTTAAATTTATTTATGTAAAGAAAAATGAAAAATTGAAATATCATAGAAACTTTAATTTTCAAGAAAAAGAATATATATATATATATATAAAAAAAAGAAAGCTTAAAAAAATATTTTTAATTTAAAATTCTATCAGCCAATACAAAAATTAGTCAGTTTATTTGATCGTTGAACGTGCATAGATAAATTCGAAGATTATATATAAAATGTATAACTACATATATTATATTAAATATATATAACTGAATATATGAATTTTTTTTATACAAGTTAAGTTATGTCTATGTGATAAAGTCATCAACTTTAAAATATAAGCAGAAAAACATGGTTCAACATGAAATTCATCAACTCTATAAATAAACTGTAATGAAAGATCTAGCTTCAATTTATCATTTTTTAACTCCATCAAAAAATAGAACGAACTAGACACTACCATTCTGAGTCACCATTTGCTTTATGAAAAACAAAGTCCTTATTGCGCAAATTCATAATTCCATCTTTTAGGTGAAATTTCCATCTATTACGTGTTCTTGCAATCTAAAAAAGTGAAATATTTTTCATTAAACGCTTTTAAAAAATTGTTTAATGGTGGTTAAATGCATAATGTTGCCTTATTGTAAATTGTGCAAAATGAGGCAAAGCTCTACTCAATTATATTAGAAATATGTTAAGTTTATAGTATATATATATATATATATATATATATATATATATATATATATATATATATATATATATATATATATATATATATATATATAAATATATATATATATATATATATATATATATATATATAAATATATATATATGCATATATATACAGGGCCTACTCTAAGAAAAATATGGGCGGCGGTATCCCCCTTGCTCTGGCAAACTTTATCAGAAAATTGGCATTTTTTTTTTGCAAAATACAAACAATATTTGCCGTAAAAAAAACAAAAAAAAATTGTATATATATATATAAAAAAAGGTCCTTAAATTTTAATTTGCACCCAAATTCGGTCGATGCTATCTAAAACAATCTAGAATAGCCCCTAATATATATATATATATATATATATATATATATAATATATATATATATATATATATATATATATATATATTAGGTTTAGTATAGGTTTGTTACACCAAAATATCTTTTGTGTTTAAATCTATTCAAAATTTCAATATTAGGCTGAATAAAATTTAAATAGAACTAATTTTTAAAACTTTTTTATATAATAGTTTCTAACCAAAATTTGTTAAATAAAAGTTTGCACCTTGTCATATTGACAAACAACTACATTTTCTGTGTCAAATAAATCAGTCGGGTCTTCATCAGATACATCATCTTCTGAATTCAATGGCTCTTCTTCCTAGAAAATGTGTATTCAAAGTTAAAATTGTACACTGCAATTTTTACTATATAAAAAATTAAATGTTTTTTAAAACACCAAAAAACACACTTCTTCATCTTTAGATTCTATATCTCCATTTGAGTTACCACCTGCAACAGGTGCAATCGGATAATTATCAAAATCTTCATCATCGTCATCATCATCGTCATCATCTTCATCTATTTCTTCTTCAGAGCTCGAGTCATTTGTTCCATCAAGTTGTAATACAACATCAACAAAAGGTGACTTTTTTTTTAACTTATTTTTTTTAATACTAGTTAGTGCACTTAAAGAATCTGAACATCTTGATATATTGATCTCATCATTTTGGCCATCAACTTGAATAACATGTTGCTAAACAAAAAACTCTATAACAATTATTGCAATACAATTAATTATATATATATATATATATATATATATATATATATATATATATACACCTAAGTGCTAAAATATGCACTGTGAACGACAGAGGCCGCCAGGTTTTATGTGGTGCCGAATCCTTACAATACAATAGTATTATCCATATTGTTTCAAAAAAAAATTATTTCAGAAATCAAAATGCGTTGCTATCATGCATTTTTAGATATAACTATGTTCTAAAATTGTAATAAATTTTTTCAATTTTTTGCAGAATCTCCAAAAACTTTAACTTAAAAAATTGAATAAAATTTTTTTTTTTATTACTGGAAACCACAAAAAAAAAAAAAAAAAAAAAAAATTTTCATAAAAGAGGGTTTAAAATTTATTTTATAAAATTCATTTCTAAATATATTCCATCAAAATTTAGAGATTTTTAATAATTACACCATGAAAGCGTTTGATAATAAAAAATAAATTTAATGTTATAATTTTTAATTTGACTAATACTAATGCAGTTATTAGATAAAATTTTACTAAACTTACCCCCTATTTAACTAAACTAATATATTTTCTAGATAAGAAGATAGTTCAATTCAGTAGGTCAATAGTTTTTAAATTGCAGAAAGTTCAATCGCTCAATCCAATTAGTATTAGTATTTTTTTTTGAATAACTATGAATTCTACTTGTTGTTGCTGGAAAAAGTATGGCAAAAGATCTAAATCATTAAAAAAATGAATAAAAACATAGAGGTACAAATTCAGTTGTTTATCTTTCCAGGATATTGGATGAACAACGAATGCTATCCATCAGTTGTTTGTCCTGGGTGCAGAAGAAATCTTTATAGACTTAAAAAAGGAGATTTTCTTAGTCATGAATGGGGAACTAAAATATTTGACTTTTCAGCAGTGGAGGATTTTAGAGCAAAAAGAATTTAATTTTGTATATATTTGTAATCATATATACATACATCCATGATTTTTTTAGATACATAATGCAACCCTCGGAATTAGGAAAAATGAAGTCGGCAATAATTTGCCGACCTCAAATTTTTGGGGTCAGCATCAGGTATATTATTTATACAAAGATCTGACCATTAAACATAGAAATAAGGTCGGCAATTTTTTGCCGACCTCTAACACTTTCAGGTCGGCATTGCTGAATGTCGACCCTAATTCCGAGGGTTGATAATGTAATTTTTATATCTATAGATATCATGTATGCACATTTATCAACATATTAGATACACAAAAAAAATGTAAATATATCTACATATGCACTTATATATCTGTGATTTGGTAAAAAAAGTAGAAGTGATACTTTTAGTAGATTTTTTGATTTTCACTTCTTTTATCAAGCCACAGATATAAGTGTGTGTACACATAAAAATGTACATGATATATAAACATTCAAGTATATATTTTAATACATACATAGGAATATATGTATATTCATGTATGTGTGTACATTTATTTATGTATCTAAGTAGATGTATATAAATTTATATATTTATCATAGGTGTATAAATGTATTGATATTAGGCCTTCAGGGCCTAATATCAATACATTTATACACCTATGATAAATATATAAGAAAAAATAAATAAACATAAAAAAAATTAAGATAACTTCTTATAGTTCTCGCGTACATAGCAAATTAGTTTCTTACTAATATGGACTAATAAAAATCATGAATAAATTTCATATCAAAAATTTCAATTGTTGTTAAATTGTTATAAAAGATTTTCTTTTTTTGTTGTTGAAAATTTTTTCAACAACAAAAAAAGAATACAAAAGTTGTATAAAAATTTTATAGAAAATTTTTTTTTTAATTTAATTTTTTCAATTTATTAAAATTTCTAGTTTATTTAAATAAACTTGATATTTCGTTACAATTTTTACATTTTCGTTACAAATTACAATTCCTTTTTTAAGGATTATTTTATTTTTTCTTAGTATATAAGTATAGGTTTTTGCTGAGAATTATTGAAACGCTTTATAAGTTAAAAAAGAAGCGAACTGCTGTGGTGAGTTTGTCTAAAAAAATTATTTAAACGCGGACAAAGAAGGCGTTCAACTGCTTCCTGGAAGGCTTGTGATATGGATGTACTGTTACAGATATTTATAACTACGCGATTGTAAATGTTATTTACGTAAGAAATTAAATATTAACATTTATGTTTATTTTTTTCAGAGCCTTCTCTATTAAAAAATCTAAACAATTTGATGTAACAGATTAACTACAAACAAAAACTTAATAATATTAAAAAAAAAAAGACTTCCAATTTTAAATGCCGAAGATCCCCTCAAACTTACCCTTTTGCCCCGTTTTTGACAATTAGCACTTTGTCCAGATTTTAAAAGCTTACTTTTTGAAACCTACAGGACAAATACTTTTATGCGCAAAAAGTTTTATGAGTGCCACAACATTAAACCTGGCAGTCTCCTTGGTTTACAGTGTATGCTAATAAACTTATTACTAATGAATGAATGATAGCAAAAATGGTAATAATATTCAATATGCTCAAAAGTGATAATAGCCTTAATTATTTTAACTTTTATTTCAGTAAACTATCTAAACATCAGAAAAACAAAAACAAAAAAAACTTTTACTCATAACTCAAGTTATGAGTGAAAATTTTAAAAGCAAGGCAAATTTTGACCAACTGTTTTTCTGAAGAAGAAAGTGACTGGTGATACTTTTATGCACTTAATTTATGTGACTTTGAAAGTGAAAATATTTTCATTTTGTTTAAATATTTAGGTGATAATTTTGGTTAACAACTGAAGTAGACTGAAAAAGGATTTATTATTTAACTAAAATATTTTATGGGAAATCAAAAAATTTGTTTTTAAACTTTATATCAATAAATAAGATAATTAAAAATCATCAGAGATACTGATTACACTACTCTGACTTTAATCGGCATTAAAAGTAGTTCAAAAATTAAGTTTTTTATTTACAACAACAAATTTTCATATTAAACATATATCAACATAAATGTTATATCAAAAACAATTAAAAAATAAATGCCTTTTGATTTGAAACTTGATGTTGCTGCTGTTGTGATTGTTGAGGTGTATAAATTACTCGAGGACCACCAGATATAATTCTAGTATTAGTACCAAACACTGGAAACACTGTTGAAAAAGTTATCACAATAAGTTTTAACACATAAGCAAATAAGTAGATTTATAAAAGTAAAATAAGTTTACTTGTTGAGTGCTGTCCAATTTGATTACTCTAAATCAAAGTAACAAAATATTTCAGCAACAAATCCAAATTAAAAACAAATAAAAATTTTTAACAAATAAAACAAATAAAAATTTTTAACAAATAAAAAAAATAAAAATTCCAAAATTAAAATAAAATTAAAAATCAAATAACCAAAATAATTATACATGAAATGCAAAGAATATGAGGAAAAAGTAAATTAGATTTTAGCATTAAAGATTATTTTCTTATATGTAAATCTGAATAGCAAAAATAAGTTTAAAATTAGGCATTCTATGATAAGGAATTGTCCATAAATCACATTTGCTTGGTTGGGGAGAGAGGATCATCAAATGGCGTATATGAGATGGGGGGCAGGGGTTCAATTATAAAAGTAAGGAGACACTAAACTAAAAAAAATATCATAGAAAGTAGAGGCTACTCAAAAAGCGTAAAGTGAAATGCAAGGTGGGATGGTTAGGAGGGGGGGGGGTAAAGTCAAAATAAAAGCGTACTCTATGGATGACCCCTAACACAAACTGTTCTAAATAAAAAACTTGCTCTAAACTATAATTCAATCCAAAAAATAACAATCTTTAAAATATGAAAGTTCACAACTGTATATATTGAATTTTTTTTTTTAATTAAAATTTATTTAAACTTTTATGATTTATTTAATTTTTTTAAAAAAAATTTTGTTTTTTTTTTCATTATAGTTGTTTGATCACTATGAAAAATTTCAAGTCAAATATAATAACGATTCAAAAGTTATTAAAAAGTCAGTATGACCTCAAAAATATATAAATTAGTAAAAAATCTCAGTCTGTTAAATAGGTGATTCTGGACAATCCCAAAAGATTTAAAAAAAAAAAAATTATAGTAGGTGGGTCACTATGGAAAATTTCAAGTCAAATGTATTAGTGGTTCAAAAGTTATTCAAAAATCAATAATACTCTCATTTTCAGTGCCATAACACAGCAAATTTTCCATACTTAAGCCATATGACTTTTGACAAAAAATCATAAATTTTTCCACTACAAAAAGTTCAATAATTTTTGATCCGCTTCGAAGGCCGAATACCCCTCAAAATTTTAAGTCAATCCAAGCTCTATACAATAACATCTATTATATTTGAACATTTTAATTCCCAAAAAATTGTCTGGAATGGCTATCTTAGGTTAGGATTTATTTTCTTATTTCAGTTTAAAATTTTTGTTTTCATTTTTATTTTATTTACTTTCTCTTTTTAAGCGCCATTTTAAAAGTGTGCAAACATTATTATACTCTTTTAAAAGCCGTTGACAAATTGAAAGTATCACATACGTGACCATAAAGTTGTGCGATCGCAAGTCTCTGTGTGAAAGACTGATGTCAGTTGATAAGCATTATTTTTATGCATTGATTTTTGTTCAATTTATTGGTTAATGAGAATTAATTAAAGAGACATGATAATTCTACAACAAAATGCTTTAATTTTTAAAATTGTTAAAGACTTTTTAAAGTTAAAGATTGTTAACCAAATATTTTATTGAACAAAATTTGTAAAAGTTTTAAAAGTGCTACATAAATTAAAATTTTTATAAATATTTTGACAATCTGGATTAGTTTAATATACTATTAAAAAACTTTTCTAAAATTCTAAAGGAATTATGATTTAATTTAAGTCAAACATTTGTTATAATCTTAATAGTAAGAGATTTAAAAAAATTCTAGTATTTGGGAAAACTTAATTATAAGAAAGATTTTTTACTTGCTGCATGTGAAGAACTTGCTGAGCTTGTTGAATACTAGGATTCTGCTGAGACGCAAGGCCACTTCTAGATTGCGCATTTTGTAAAGCTAAAGATGCTTGAGCAGCAGCATCAGACTAAAAAAGAATTGTTTAATTTTAGATAGAAAACTGATGTCACAATTAAGAGTTGTAATTCATAGCAACTTATTACTAATTCATAGCAACTTATTACTGTCAAAATTATGAGTTGTCTTTATAATACGATAAATTAAAACAAAACAAATTAATAGTAAAACAATAAACAGGATATTACCATTGGCCCAACATTTCCAAGAGTTGGGTGATTGCTAACATAAAGAAAAGGTCCTCCTGTCTGAGATTGCATTATTCGCGAAGACGAACTTAGTTCTGGTGAATCCCTTCTTTGAGGTAATGCCGAGGAACCAGCTTGTTGATTAATTCCTTAATTGAATAAAAAAAATAATAATAATAATAATTATATTTATATATGTAAAAAAATAAAAACAACAAAGACATCAAGGATGAAATTTTTGGATGGCATCCTACTAAAAAAATTGTTACATTTTTTACAACTATAAAAAACATTTTTCTTATAGTTATATTTTTTTTGTCATGGATGATATTTGGAATATGTACCAAAAATTAGGACCACCTTGCTGCACATTTTGAACAGACTGCAGTTTTTTTTTTTTAAAAGTCTTTTCAATTCTAAAGTAAAGGGAATTGCAATAATCTAGCTGTGAACATACTATGGTGCAAAAATCTTAGTGCAGTAAGAGTTTTTTTATTTTGGATATTTTGTTCAATATACTGAAGCAGTTTTTAACAATCTTATTTATTTGTGTTTTTAAAATTCTTTGTTAAATATCACACCTAAATTTTTTGTGGAGTCAACAAATCTAATGCATTCCTTGTTAACAAAGAAACCTTTAATAATAACATCTTTTTGAATGCTAGGAAACGCTTGTTTTTGATTGGTTAACACATAAAAATGATTGACTCATCCATTTAGATATGTATTCAAGACATTTGGGTATATTCAGGACTAGTGCATTATATTGAGATAAAAAAAGAAGTAATTTTAGAGTTTAATGATCATCTGAGTATCTAAAAGTTTTAACATTCATTAAATTCAGATTACGATATTTGTAAAGTGGTCTCACATAGATATCGAAGAGTTTTGGACCCAGGACTGTACCCTGTGGTGCTTCACATTTTATATTTTGGTTCATGGAATATGAGATACCAATTTTAACTTTTTGCGTAAAGTTAACTAAAAACAATTCAAACAATATGTAAGCTGCATCAATTATACTAATTTCAATAGTTAATAGCCCAAGTAAGTTTAGATTATCAATAGTGTTGAAGGTAGCACTTAGGTCAAGTAAAATTAGTACTGAAGGCAGTCATGGACAGAAGAGGCGTGCAATCGCACTCTAATCTTGACATGCATGTATTTGTTTTTTTGAAAGCATGACCACAACTCTTTAGTTAACTAAAAACATACTGAATAAAACCGACATAGGAAAAAAAATAATAGACAGGCTAAACTATATAAAAAAGAAAGAAATCTTAACAAAAGACAAATTGAAAAAAAAAATAAAAAAATAAATTAAGAATATGAATTGTTTAAAAAAAATTACTTTCATTATTAGAAAAAAAAAAAATACTTTTGTAAAAAATAAGAGTTTAATTTAATTTTCTATGATTAATTACTTTATTTAACTTAGTTTAATTTAAATTTTATTAGAAGGTTTACATAGCGTAACAAAAAAAAAAAAGTTATATTTTTGATTATTAAATTTACAGATACATTTAAAAGTTTATTAAAACAAATATTTTTCATTTTTGTTTATAAAAATAATTGTACAAATTGTTTTAAAAAGCATTTCCATTTGTCGTAAAAAAAAACACTTTCTTATAATATATTTTTCAATAATTTAAATATATGTTTTTTATGTTATAAAACCTTTAAAACCAATTTCTCGCTACCTTATACTTTATTTAGCAGATTTTTGAAATGTTTTCGAAAATCTAAAATATGGTTAAGTTGCACAAAAAATAAATAAATGCGTGGTCAGGAATAGAGTGCAATCACATGCCTTTTCTGTCCACAACTGTAATGGTGTATGTTTATCAAAGAGTTCAAATAAAACATTGGTAAGGTTAAGTAAAAGTGTTTTTAGTGATGTTTATTGTATCCATATTAATATTCTATATGAAGATTGTTTGTTGTCTTGTGGGAATTAAGATGATTGGAAACTACTCTTTCTATTAGATTGCAAATGAATACTAAATTAGAAACTAGCCTATAATTTTTAGTATAAAATTTAGTCTAAAGTTTTCAGTATTTGAGTCTAACTTTATTTTTGGAAGTAATGTAGCACTTTTTAAACAACCCATGCTGCTTGATTTTAGCGATAGTTTTACTATTTCAACCAATATATCTCTAAATGTTTGTAAATTATTCCTTAGTAGATATGCTGGAATCAGTTCATCATGAGGATAAGAACTAAGTTTACTGATTTTTTTTAGTGATATAATTATTTAAGTTGTAAGCTAGTTTTTCGTCTGAATCTGCTAAAGGTAATACATATTCTTGAGTTTAGTACTAATAGTAGATTTTTTAGCAATGAGAATAGATTTTTTCTTGTAGTGTTTTTATTTAATAGGTCAGAGAAATATGTTCTTTTTTATATAAGCAATTATTGTTGTTTTTTGTTCCTGAGACATCTATATTCCTTTTTGTAACTTTCATTTTTTGTTTTTTTAAACAATTTTTCTGCTTACTTTATTTTTGCCTAAGTTGCATATATTCTTGGTCAAACCAAGGAGCTGTTTTGGCTATTTTTACTTCAGTTTTCAAAGCGGCATAATTTCAACACAATTTTTTTCATTACTTAGTTATATTGTTATTTTGTCTTTCATATATCAGGGCTCGAATTAACGTAAAAAAAATAAATTTCCCACCCCCTTATATCTCAAGCGGCTTTGCGAGAATGTGGTGGAGGGGGGGGGGGGTTGTTACCATAATATTTCTCATATTTAAATATTATCTTAATTATCTTATAAATATCTCATTTGGCGGAGTTTAAAATAGCATAAGTTTCCGTTAAAATTTACAGCTTTAATTATTTAAAGTTTAGTTGCAGTGACAGTGTAATGTGCAAATAACGTTTGTAGAAATTGTTAACAAAAATACTTTAAAAAAAAGTAAGTAAAAGTAAAAAAGTAAAACCTAGAGTAAAAAACGTTACAATATTTAAACTACTTTAAATAGTTAAGAAAACAATTTAATACATTCATGCTGACGATAAAACACGTGTTATTTTTAAAGAGTATTCAATTGTTATTTTAAAAAGCTATAAAACAACAATAAAACAAATTGCAAAGTTGTTTAAAAAATATAAATAGCTTATGTAAATCGTCTATAAAGCAATGTAAAAAAAGGTTTATAGGTAATTTTTTATTTCTTGATCTAGTGTGCTATTAAAAGTTTAAGTATAATTAAGTTTTTTATCCAAATGATTTTTAAATTGATGTTTTCATTTAATTTTTTTTATTCAAATTGTTTTCTAATAAAACTGCTACAACAAAATTTGCTTTAATAAATTGATTTATATTTCCTTAAGTTTAAGAATATGCTTAGAAATGTCGAAGCAAAAATGTTGCTGGTTTCTATCAGCATTGAATAATTATAAGAAAAAAAATTATAAAAATTATAAAAATTAATTAATATATATTTTAACATACTTAAAGTAGTAAAATTATTAATATAAAATTGTTGATAAAATAATAACTTAAATTATTAATAAGTTAATTTGGTACAATGTTTTGATAAAAAAAAGATAAAAACTGTTTTGTTAAAAAAGAATGAAGAAAAAATTCGCTTTAATGTCTTTTCCTTCTTCAACTTTTTACTTTAATGACCTTTTACAAATTATTCAATTATTATTGCTTCCACGCAGAGATTTAAAGTAATTTAAATTTGAAAATGTTTTATGTTGAATGAAAATTTCTGCATAAAAGAGCAAATTATCATCTATTCAGAAGATAAATTTAGTATGATGCACTTGATGACAAAAACATTACTTTTAAGAAATGCCAAAAAAAAAAAAGCTAAACTAAAAAAAAAGCTGAACTAAAAAAAAACAACATATTAATCAATCATTTATTTCACTTTATAAAATAAAATTAATACAAAGATAAGATCAGTCACAAACAGTTATGTAATTGACAAAAAGGTGACAACCTACAAATATTATTAGTAAATTTGAAAAAGTATATAAAATAAATAGTAAATTAATAATAAAAACAAAATTAATAATAATAATAATAATACAGTAATAATCATTGTAACAATAACAGTAGTAATAACAATAATAATTATAATTATAATAATAACAGTAGTAATTTACAACAGTAACAATAAAAATAATAATACCAATTATAGAGATAAAAATAATACTTAAACAATAACAATAAGAGCATAAAGCGTGTACACGAAATAAATGTGAAAGTAGAAAAATAACTAAAAAAAAGTTCTCTTCAATTTTTATTTATTTTATATTATTTTAATTATTCCTGTGGGAATCTAATAAAATTTCGAACTTTTGCTTTGGTGGTACCCATAAGCTTGAGCACAGAATAAGAATTAAAGCCATTTGATGCTTTTTTAAATGATATTTTAATATCTTTAATATTTCTGCAAAGTTTTTTTTGTTTTTTTCATTTTTCTTTTAATGATGGCCCAGTACTTTTCAATAACTCTTAATTCTGGGCAGTTTGGAGGATTTTCTGTTTTAGGCACATTTATATCATTCCAAAGCTAGTTTGCAATAATGAATTGAAGCTAAATCTGGCCAGAATACAGGTCTCTTACCATGTAATTTAATGAGAGGTAAAAGGCTTTTTTGTAAACACTCATATATTTCAACATACATTTCAACATATATTTCACCCAAAAGCATGGACTGAGAAATTTAAGGTGCTGATTTTTTGCCACAAGTGCAAATAGCTTGCCAGATCAAGATTTTTTTTAGCAAACTTGTCATGTATTTAAATTTCTTATCTGCTTTTCCTCTACATTTGGCAATATAATAGACGGCACCAGGAATTTGCTGATGATCGTACTTGATATAAGTTTCATTGTCTTCAATAATACAGAAATTTTTAGAAATAAAATTGTCATACAACTTTCTGCAGCGGGTTTTAGCACTTTTTTGTTGAGTTTCAGATCAGTTGGGCACTTTTTGTGCTTTGAAAGAATGAAAACGATTAAAACCAGAAAGTCCATAAATGTTTGCGCGCTCCCTTAGTGAAAGGGTTGGGTTATTCTAAAAACTCTTAACCAGTTTTCTAACTAGTTTTTTATTTTTGAAACCCTTCTTTCTTCCACTACCAGATTTACATTTGATCGATTTTGTTTGAGAAAAACGTTG